TGGGTCGTCAGTCCGCTAGAACGACACTTCTTAATAAAACAAGTAGACCAGAGCAATACCGAGTCACTTCAGCTCAGCCTTTCAAGACTGAGCTGGAAGGGGCCGGTTCTGATCTCTATATCTTGTGAGCCCAAAACATAACACAAGTTATTATCTCTAAAATATTTCGATATGCACTTGTGAATCATTTAGTTTTCCAAGGGACATGACAAGCTTGGTGCAACGGTTTGGCCGTGCAGCGCGACGCAAGGATATCAACGGCCGTGCGATTCTCTATGCTCCGCCAGTCTCTCACAAGACTGTTTCAGATGCACAAGTCCGCCAGTTCCTCCTGGATCACCACAGCAAAAAATGTCTTTGGAGGTTTATCGATGACTTGTTTGGCAACGAGATTCGTGTTTGCAACAACAACTGTTCAGCATGTCATACTGTTAATTGTCCCCCTCTACTCCCTAGTCGCATTGTCGCCAAATCTGTCATCAGAGGAAGATGGCCGAAACGCTCGAAAGAGGAGAAGGCTCTGGCATTACGGGAACTGATATCATGGAGGAAGGATGCCTTCAAGAGGTGGCAAGCAACACAACGTTACGCCAATGGTGCAGAAACCGGGATCCTGCCGGACATGACTGCCAAGAAGCTCTCGCAGCAATTCTCAGGGATCAGAACTGCTGAGGCAGTCGCAACCTTCGCATCTTCTTCCCTCTGGTTTCCTCGTGGAAACCCTCAGAATTGGTTCGTCGAGATCGCACAGCTGCTGGCTAAGATCAACAAGAATATTGATGATGGTCTCATACCAAGTAGCCAGCTGATAGTGGCGTTGGCTCCAGACCTACCAAACGACGGCTCTGACGGCAATGACGATGGAAGTGATGACGGGGAGGATAGATAATTTTGTCCGCGTACCGCAACCAGTTGCCCACTCTATTCCCTCCACTTCCAACTCCTCTTTCCTCCTCCCTTTATTTTTACATCCGCTATTCCTTACTTTCTTCTTCTATCCTTTGTTTAGTTAGTCATGCTTTTTTTAATACTTTCATCTGCGTATTCAGAGCAGTATAACGGCAACAATAACAAAGTCATGTTCAAAATAGTATTATATTTTAATTCTGATCGATAACATTTTCGAGATCCTCGGCTTCTTCAATGTCCACAGCATTACCCCACAGTGATGTATGATTATCAAAAATCTTCCTATCGCGCCTCCGACCATCTTCTCTTCGCCAACACGCTGAAGATCAACCACCGGTGGTCCTTGTTCGCACTCGCCGGAAGTCCATAAAATGCCACAGCCTTGGAAGTTCTCCTGGATCCTCGAAATATCCAATGCAGTCGACGGCTTTTTGTGTCTAGTGCTGTTGGAACGAATGCCGACCTCTCGTTCGAACATCCGTGAAATGACCTGAAAGGTTTTGATGTTGGTGGAAATGGCGTCCTGGAGGTATTCCCAGCTCATGTTCGAGCCTTTGGCTGAAAAAATGGCTTTGATGAGATAGTTGTGGTTTTCCTGCATCATGTCCGTTGCCATCCATCCACCAGCGACGCCTTTCGGGTTCACAAGCATACTTGACAGGACCCTTCTCGCCCATTCATCTGTCCAAAGATAGCGAATGCCATAGAGGAGGCGTAAAAGCTCTAGGGCATAATTGGTGTTGCCACCCCCATGCATCATTATAACGATGAATGGCAGCAAATGCTTGATGCGGCCAATATCGCCAGCTTTGATGGCCGCGCCAAGCTCAATGTAGACGGCTACATCGCGCAGGAAAAGAAGAGCGTTGGTATTGGCGGTAGTACAGGGAAGGCCAAGGAGCAAAGGCGAAGGCTGAGAGCAATATGACTTGGTGATGCTTTCTGTAATGCTCTGAACAGAAAGCTCCTTTGATACACCACGATCCCGCAAAGACTGATAGAGCAACTGCACCTTCGCATCAAAGACTACCCGCAAGAGCTCATCGGTGGCGTGAAAGATGATCTTGTCCCTGCTTAGGCCCTTACGGTTCAGCAGACATGCAATCGATGCCAGGGTCCCAGGAAACTCTTTGGAGCCAAGGTGAGTCCTCCAAATGGTACCACACAAATTCATCTCCAAATGAAAAAGTTGGAGAACAGGATGTACCTGTCAAGTTTGAGGGATACTTTTAGTTGTCAAGGAATGTATATACAGGGCTATGCTCCTGTGTAACAATCAAGCACCTTCTTTCCGCCTCACATCACTCTTTATTAACTTTGACTTTCACGTACCCACGACAGGCTATGGTAGGGATCAGGATCGAAGCACCGGTGGACCTTGAGCGTCAGCAGCCTTGACACTGTCATTTGATCCCCAGCGAAAATTGTGTTCTTGGGATCGGCAAACCAGGCTTTTGGTAAATTGAGACCGACCTCCGTAATCCTCTGCAACACTGACAGGTTTCCTGCAATGGTAGACTCGTCTAGCTTCATGACTGGAAGTGGGAAAACAGTACTCTTGGTGAGGTCAAGTTGCTCGACAGGAACAACAAGAATGACGGATGTTGTTGATCCTTCCGGTAACGAGCGCACAATGGAGTCCGAAACATGCGATTGGCAAGCATTTACAAAAACCTCAAGGTCGCCGTTGTTGGGGAAAAAAAGGTTGGCATCTGCCTCCGGCCTCTCCTCCACTGGACGAAAAAGAGTAGGTGCGGGCTTGCTCTTTTCTGAGGGTAAAAGGATGATGGTGGCAGCAGTGCCATTGTCGAAAATATCCCGTTTGTTGACGCGCTGATGATGGTGCTTAGCGGCGATATTGATATTATCGTAAACGACATAAAAGTCGTTCTCCTTGACTGCCTGTATTACACGCCTGCACGCATCCCTGGTCAGCGACTTGAGGCAATTGCGAACTTGATTGTACGAGATCGAAAGCCCAAGGCCAGAAAGGACCTCAAGAACTCTCCTCGGACACCCAGTGCAGTGCAGAAAAATGCCAAGGATTGTCTGGAAAGCACTGGCTTTTTGTGACGACATAAAGAGCAGCATTGCTGAAATGCAGCCGCGGACTGATGATGGCTTCCGAGCACGGTGACGCCTCAGTGCTCTTTTTGTGAGATTTTGGACAGGTACATCCTCTTTGAGCACGCCCTTCAAGAAACGCGTCAGGTACTTTGCGCCACCGCCTTTGCCACTGGTGTTGGGACCTCCATCCATATGTGCCTTGTCCTCCACCATTCCATCATTCTTGTCATCTGCCGTGCCAGCAGCGTAGCGATTGAGGAAACCAAAGTCGTCAAGCAAGTAGCCGGCGATCTTCTCCTCTGTGACATCGGTATGTGGAAGCCGCCATTCTTTTTTGACATCATTGTCACCCAGATGCCTGAGAGTGCGGTCGACGACGACATCGACGGCACTGTTGACAAACGATTCGTCCCACCGCTCATGCCTTTTGTCGTGTCGGAGCTGCTCGTCCCAGATCTGTATAAGTCGCCGTGGACCATGTGCCTCGTAGAACGGATTGGTGTAGTCAGTAGCTGTCTTGTCGTCAGACTTGAACAACTCAACAAGGAATCTAGGCAGGGACAAATCCACTGCTTTAATACATTCTAGAACCGTACAAAGTTTGTCTGACATGGAGGACTGAAAATTATACATCCATCTGTTAGAAGCTAAGGCACTGAATACTGTAGCTCGTTTCATTTTCATCAAAGTCAATGCATTTTAAAATTCAAGTTGGCTGCTTACACGTGTTTTGCCACTGGAAGCTGAGATCAGCACAGTTGGGTCAGATCCTTGGCTCGTTGAGTCAGATCCTTGGCTCGTTGGGTCAGATCCTTGGCTCTCCGTCGAAGAAGAGCTGACCATCTAAGTAAACAATAGGATGTATAATGAATGATGAGTTCTTGACCATATCAGGTTCTCGCCAGAGAGCATAAACATTTAAAACAGTATGTCTCATACCTCCAAGGCAAGTCGCTGTCGCTCCATCTCGGTTGCCCTAATATTGGCCAACTGTTTTGAGCAATACATTTAGCAAAACGCATATTGCATTAATAGGTCTGATCTTTGTCCACAAGTAACGCTTGACAACCTACACGTTTGGCAGATGGCGAAGCTAAAGCTGCAGGCACAATTTCTTTGAACGCGCGAATACTTATGCCTTGGTCCAAGGGTGATTTGGCCATGTTGACTGCGAACGATTCTTCTGCAGCGGTGAACGCCATGGCGAGCTGCAAGGAGATTGATGCCGCTGGAGTGGAACACGCTCCAGTCAGGACGGGCGGGGCTTCAGTAGCTCCTTGCGGAGTATCCTATAGAGAGAAAAACATAAAAGGACAAGAAGTTCGTTAGGATTGTGCTTGGAAATGAGTGACTGTTGTCATGCCAATCATCGGTATGTACTCACTGGATTACTCCCTCCTAAGGACGACGCGACGGGAATATTGGCGCTGAAGGAGATCAGACCTGTGGGTATGTCATTGCGCTATACAGTATTGAGGGTCAGGACGTCAGGAAGGGTGACAACCCCAACAGCTACAAACTCCCAACTCCTGTAACAAAATGTGTCCTTGCTTTGTAAGTCCTGCGGAGGGTTCCAGGAGTGTTGGGAGTTTTGGGAAGGCACTTGCGAGGCGTGCGCCGGGTCTCTTCATCAGGTGGATTGTCACTGTAACAGGAGACATGAAGGAAGAGGATGCAAGAAATAAGCTTGGGCAGCCCGCGTACGATCACGTGAACAAAAAACCACCGAGCACTTTCCTTTTTTGGGCAAAATGGACTAAAGGGTGACCCCATAAGAAAGTGAAAGATTTTGTCCCAGCCCCTCTGCAGTGAAAAATTGAACAAAGGGGGATGGGTTCAGAGCTTCAGTATTTAGGCAAACGGAATCAATCACATTGTCTCCCCGCCTTTTCGCCTTTTTGGAACGTACAGTGTGGGACGCCTCAGTCCCGACCAAATTTAAAATTGTTAACTTTCCATGCTCCAATAGATAAACAAAATAAACATTCTTTAGTCAATTGTCGACAAGGGGTCGAAGATCCCATGTCTCTCACGCCGCTGAGGAGCCGAGTTATAATGCTTCAAAGTTGGACACTGTATTAAGGTTTGGTCGGGACTTGTTACTTGTCCGTCTAGCTATTAGTCTAATTCTCATAATCGCGAAGAAGTAGATTCTTTGAAGGGGGTCCGCGTGTGTTGATGAAACAGTACTCGGATGCCCAAGGTGTGGCAAAGTTCAGGGCCGTGTGCAGGTTGACCTCTGTCCAGAAAGGCCGCAGACCCTTGGACTCGAGTTTTTGCCACCAATGCAAAAAGTCGCTAAAGGCAACATGCTTCCGATCCACATGGAGCTCGATCTGCAGCTGCGAGAACGGCAAGACATCAAAGTCGTCCATCATGGCGTTAAAAGTCGGGTATTCGGATCCCTCGATGTCAATCTTGAGAATATCGATCCAGTCGTGACCATTCTCCTTCATGAGTGAGCGCAGTGTTCGCCATGGAATGCTCTTTCGATCCACATAGTCCTTATCGCCGACAAAGTATGGTCTGAAGTACGCCCCTGGGCGACCATGGGTTTCTTGAAAATAGAAAGAAAAAGAAGACGGTCAAGAAGCAGCTCTCTAACTTTGCTTGGTATTTATCAATTCGGCAGCAAACATACCTGGACCCATCTGCTGAACCGAGGCATCGTATGCCCAAATCTCGCACTCGGTTCGATCAAGCATTTCGCCTTCGAACCGCGTCTCGTAATTAACACCGAAAGAATAGATAACACACTTGGACCGAGGCTTTTCTTCATACAAGCTCATGCCGCAGACCCACTTGCCTAAAGATGAACGCAGGCAGTAAGTTGAAAGCACAGCAAGGATGGAGAGGTAAAAATCATGGTTCGAGCCAAAATATTAAAGACATTAGACTGGCGACAGGTGTACTTACCACCATCGCTCAAGGGACCCACGCGCTGGATGTCAAATGGACAATTGAAACTAGTTCGATTTCGAAAGAGAAAGAGAGGTTTAGAGTCGTTGACCAACTGAGCAGCTAGTTGCCTGAGAAGGACAAACACGAGGCCTGATCGTCGACAATTCTTAATCCACTTTACCTTGTGGGAAAATACTACCACCAAAACATTTTGTCCCATGGATTAAACTTTCTATTGGCCAAAAATAAGAATAGATAACGTTGGACGGTTAGATTGAGCATATTTCCCTACGCCCATGTCGAGTCGATGCACAGAGCGATTTAAAAAAAAAAATGAGAGAGACGTACGACGAGCCATAATTGTTCTCCTTGAGCCACTATGCACGCTGCTCTAGGGTGCGCTGACTCTGACTGCTGAAGAATCGAATGGGTGTTCCTAAGAGCTCGATCCTTAAAGACTTGATCTCTGTCAACGCCCTGGCTGTTTCGTTTAATATCGACTATATTCTCAATCTCCTGGAGTCTGTTGCGGAAGGGCTCTCTTTCATAGATAACGTTGAAGGTGAGTAAGAGTCCAAAGCAGGCGATGACAGTGAGTCCTGTGGTGACAGCTCTGGAGGCGAGAATAGATCTGGTTGGCGCCATGGTATTATTGTTGGTGCAAATAAGACTGTTGGCAATAAGTCGATACAGGCACCGAGCTGAAAGAGAATGAAGGAAAGGGAGGAGAAGGAGAAAGGAAGGGGGAAGAAAGAAAGAAGGGTATTTGTACACGTGCTGTGAATGGCATACCAGGGATTTGCTCACTTGGAAGGTTCTTCATACCAGAACCTAGTGCAGGCAGGCTGTTGTCCTTGTCCTCGTTCTTGTTCCCGAACGAGGGCGAGGGCAAAATGAGATGGGGATGGTATTAATTCAATTCATTTATTCATTTTATTTTGCATCATTGCAACAAGCTAGCAGAGCAATAGTTGTTTGTGCCCCAACCAGGAGTGTATGAAGAGGCAATTGACTGTTAAACTATCCTGGCATCATTCATAGTACCGTCCGCACCGCCCATGCGAGTCCACACTGCCATAGTACAAGAACCGTTACGCGTGAAAAAAATAAATTTCGATCCACACGTCCACACTCAAACGAAGGATCACGTACAACGGCCAGTGGCGTGGCTTTTGTTTATTCATCCAACCTCTGCGTATTTTTTTTTTTTTTTTTTTTAACCTTTGGACTGTTGCTACACCGGGCCTTTACCCTTCGCACCCTTCTTCCTCTCCATCGCCCATCGGCACTTGAATGCGTTCGGGGTCCACCCATCTTTTCTCCTCACTCACGTTCATTTACCATGCCACCAAACGCAAAGTTCAATACGCTGGAGCGGGAGCGGATTTTTAAGAACCCCTCGGACAAGTCCTTCCAGACACCTGCCTTGCAGGAGATGGTCGCGCCCCATATCGAGGCCTTCAATGCCCTCACAGAGTTTGGCTACGGCTCCAAGACAGGATTGCTTGATCTTGCTATTCAGGATATCGGACAGAAAGCTGTCTTTGACACACACGGTGGTGGACTGGGCAACAAGCTGACCTGTATGTACACGATCCATGATATCACTCAGAGCATTCAGCCAAATCTGGTCCTTCTGTCACCTTAAAAATGCAAACTCATTTCGATTATTGCTATTATCGCTACTCTACAGTCTGGGTGGATGAGATCTCCTTGAACAAGCCCACTTTGCCGGACAAGGAGCGCAATTCGACCACCCGCCAGATCTATCCCACAGAGGTATTAAATCATGAGAGCGATGGGGGTATCGACAAGTCGCTGTAGATCTTGATCATTGATTCTGTTCAATTATTCTGGTTCATAGGCCAGAGAGAGACTCAACACATATCGCGGAAAGCTGCAGGCAAAGCTTGCATGGCGCGTCAATGACGGTCCTGTCGTTGTGGAGGCCCGTGATCTGGGATTGGTCCCCATTATGATCCGTTCCAACCGCTGTAACTTGGAGGGTGCATATCCAAAAGAGCTCATCAGACATCACGAGGAGTCAGAGGAATTCGGTGGGTATTTCCTAGTAAACGGCATTGAAAAGTTGGTCCGTTTGCTCATTGTCCCTCGGCGCAACCATGTTATCGCCCTGATCCGTTCAAGTTTCACGAACCGTGGTCCCACATATTCCAGCTATGGTACAGCCATTCGCTGTACAAGACCCGATCAGACGTCTCAAACCAACACTGTCCACTACTTGACCGACGGAGGCAGCATGCTGCGGTTTGCTTGGAGGAAGCAGGAGTACTTGGTCCCCACGATGTTGGTCTTGAAGGTATGATGTGAGAATTGTATTGCTGAATGATCACATTTGCAGCATGGCAATATGATTCAATTGCAATCGGTATCTAACTTTTCACTGCTACTCATAGGCGCTTATCGATACTTCGGATAAGGAAATTTTTGACAGCATCATGTTGGGCGATCTGGAGAACACCTTCTTGACCGATCGCGTCGAGCTCATGCTCCGCAGCTTCAAGGCGTATGCTCTTCACACACGCGAACAGTGCTTGGCTTACTTGGGAGACAAGTTTAGGGTAGTCATGAACTTTCCTGAGGATTATACGGATGTGGAGGTCGGTGAGGGACTCTTGCGCAAGATCGTCCTGGTCCACTTGAAGAGCAACCGCGACAAGTTTAACCTCCTGATGTAAGTCGGCATGGATCAATCATACACTTGAATGTATTTGGACGTCAATGTCTAAGGGTACTTTTTGCTAACCATTGGTTCTTTGCTGTCTCAAAACAGTTTCATGATCCGCAAAGTATATGCCCTGGTTGCTGGCGAGTGCTCCCCCGACAACCCAGATTCCCCTCAGCACCAGGAAGTGCTTTTGGGTGGGCACTTGTACGGTTCCATCATCAAGGAGAAGATCGAGGACTGGCTGAACGGTATTAGAGCTCAGATCAACCAGGATGTGCGTCGCAAGACCGCTGGAGTTGACTTTTTAGACAGTGAGTCATCTATGCGTCTTCTCGGAAGAGTGTATGCAACTCAGTACCAGCGTTGCTTTTGAAGTTAATAGCCCAACTTTTTATGATTCAACTTGTAGACCGCTATTTCACAAAGACACTTCAGAAGACGTCAGGACTTCAGGACATTGGCCAAAAAATGTCCTACTTCTTGGCAACAGGAAACCTGGTCTCAAATACTGGTTTGGATTTACAGCAGGCTACCGGTTATACCATCGTCGCGGAAAAGCTGAACTTTTACCGTTTCATCGCCCATTTCCGCTGTATCCATCGTGGCTCCTTCTTCGCTGAACTGAAGACGACAACTGTACGCAAATTGCTTCCAGAGGCCTGGGGATTTCTCTGTCCTGTCCACACCCCAGATGGTTCGCCATGTGGTCTTTTGAACCACTTGTCGCATACTTGCAAGGTCATCACCCAGCCCGCTGATGTTTCTCGCCTACCCGCGATCTTGGCATCTTTGGGCGTGACTCAGACCCTGGTCCCCGCCCGCGGTCAAAAGACGGTCGTCGTCCAGTTGGATGGTCGCATTGTCGGATATTGTTCATCGGAGGAGGCCAAGAAGGTTGCGGACGCTCTTCGCCATTACAAAGTCTCGGGAGCATACAGCGGCGCCGTCCCCCTTGATCTGGAATTGGGCTATGTCCCCATCTCCCAAGGAGGCCAATACCCTGGTCTGTACATTTTTTCGACACCAGCGCGCATGATGCGCCCTGTCCGTTACCTCCCCAACGGCAAGACGGATATGGTTGGATCGTTCGAGCAGGTTTACATGGAAATTGCCTGTATGGATGACGAGATTCGCCCCGGCGAGAGCACCCATCAGGAACTCGCGCCAACTAGCATGCTTAGCATTCTCGCCAACTTGACGCCTTTCTCTGACTTTAACCAGTCTCCCCGTAACATGTACCAGTGTCAGATGGGTAAACAGGCTATGGGAACCCCTGCCACCGCTATTAAGTACCGTACCGATAACAAAATGTACCGCCTCCAAACCGGACAAACACCCATTGTCCGTCCTGCTCTCCATGACACCTATGGCATTGATGGATTCCCTAACGGCATGAACGCTGTGGTTGCCGTCATCTCTTACACCGGTTACGATATGGAGGATGCTATGATCTTGAACAAGTCGTCGCACGAACGTGGATTCGGTTACGGTACCATCTACAAGTCTGAGATTGTAGATTTGAGCGATTTCAGGATCCGTGGCGAGCCTGTCCTTCATCACTTTGGTCTTGGATTGGATGCTCCTCGCTCATGGAGAGAGAAGCTGGATAAGGATGGTCTGCCATGCATCGGTGTGACCCTGAAGGAGGGCGACCCAATCTGTGCCTACATTGACGACACCACAGGCAAGACCTCGATCAAGAAGTACAAGGGCATGGAGGAGGGTATCGTAGATGAGGTCCGTCTCCTTGGCTCGGATCTCGGTGACACAGAGCTCCAGAAGATACATATCAAGCTCCGTATCACACGCTCTCCCATTATTGGAGACAAGTTCTCGTCTCGCCACGGTCAGAAGGGTGTGTGCTCACAAAAGTGGCCGTCCATTGACATGCCGTTCTCAGAGTCTGGCATTCAGCCCGATGTCATTATCAATCCCCACGCTTTCCCCTCACGTATGACAATCGGAATGTTCGTGGAGAGCTTGGCTGGAAAGAGCGGAGCACTTCATGGTATTGCTCAGGATGCAACACCTTTTACATATAACGAGACGTTCACGGCGGCTGACTACTTTGGAGAGCAGCTCAAGTCAGCCGGCTACAACTACCACGGAAACGAGCCTATGTACAGCGGAATCACTGGAGAGGAATTCAAGGTCGATATTTACCTCGGAGTAAGTGCGCTAGCATACTATCATGCACCTGTTTTTCTGTTTCTATTAACCTGATTTCTAATGGTGTTCTGACTTGATATTATTTGTTCAAATATAGGTCGTATACTACCAGCGTCTGCGTCACATGGTGTCTGACAAGTATCAGGTGCGCACGACAGGACCTGTGCACAACTTGACGATGCAGCCTGTTAAGGGACGTAAGCGCGCTGGAGGTATCCGTTTCGGAGAGATGGAGCGCGACTCGCTGTTGGCTCACGGAGTATCATACCTATTGCAGGATCGTCTGATGAATTGCTCAGATTACTCACTGTGCAACGTGTGTACGAAGTGTGGTAGCATCACCTCGCCGATCTCGACGCACTCGTCTAGCTCGTTGTCGAACGTGCGCGAAATCGAGTGCAGGGTCTGTCAAACGTCGGCGGGCATTGACATGATTGCACTTCCATATGTGTTCAGGTACCTTGCCACAGAGCTGATGAGCATGGGTATCAAGGTCACACTGAAGACACAACCTTAGAGCAGTTTTTATGGAATCCCATTTCCGTTCTTCGTCGTTTTTTTCAAAATCATCATAGCATTCATCGTCTTTTAATAAACTGGCATCGTCTTGTAGAATCGTGCGTGTATAAGCACCATCATTGACGTGAGCGTGAATAGGTGATCATCTTGCTCACCAAGCTGAGCACACCAAATGACGCCGCGTCGTTTATTTGGTCGTGCAGAGTGGAATCTTTGGCGCCAGGGTGCTGGTTTTATATGTCGTCTAGAGCTTCAAAAGATCCAGGGCACTAAAATACTTTTTGCGCCACCAATTTTCGCAAGTTGGTAAGTCTATACCATTTTTTGTAAGCTGGGTTAACCAAGTCGAGATTCCTGATCTACTCATTTGTTGAAACGAACCACACCATGTGATTCAGAAGGGTTGGGCTTCTTACACTTCTTTTGCGCCAGGATTTTACAATGTCATCTGGATTATGAAACTCTACCTTCAATGTAGGCTACAACATGTTGCCTCCCTTGTCTATCTCCTGTGGACTGAGGAACAAGCAAAAATCACCACTCCGGAACGAGGGTCAGATCAAGGCGATCTGCTTGTTCGACACAACCAAATGTTTAGGCAAGCAAGGCTGTGATACATGGTCAGAGTATTTTCTGGACACGGCTGCGGGGAGAGATGGTAGCACGGATATCTTACACCTTACCATGGGTGTAGTCTAAACACTTCCCGCTCTTTCAACGGCCGGTGCGGTCACGGGCTTTTGGGTTTGAAGGTGCAGCAGTGGCGTATTTGTCAAACCAGAGCGCGCGATTCTACACCGTCTCTCCTTATTTCCTCCCCGCCTCCTGCAGCATCGCATTGTCCATCGTTATAGCTCTTCTTGACATCGTATTGCCCGCTAGTTGATTCGCCCCGCACTCAGCATGCAACATGACGTCCTGCAGATGGACGGCTACGAGGCCCTGGAATCCATCGGTTCCGGATCCTTTGGCTTGATTCGCAAAGTCAGGAGAAAAGCCGACGGCAAGGTAAGGCGCTACCGGGACAACCTTGCGTTCACTCGTTATTTCTTATGCAGGGACACTGCACTATGAAGGGCACCGAATCCTGAGTATGCACTGATGCAGTTCCCTTTCCCTCTCAATTTAATCATAAACTTATGGGCAACCCACAGATCTTGGCGAGAAAGGAGATCGACTATCGTAAAATGAGCACAAAGGAGAAGGAACAACTTGTAGCGGAAGTCAACATCTTGAAGGACCTCAAGCACCCAAATATTGTCGAGTTTCTAGAACGCGTCATCGACCGGGAGCACAGCTTCATCTACATTCTCATGGAATACTGCGAAGGTGGGGACCTTGCAGCAGTGATCAAGCGGCATAAGGAAAGATCGTAGGTACCAGGCAATAAGCGAAGGAATCGAGCGGATACTAGGACAGCAGCTGACAAAACTGACGAAACTGACGACCTGATTGTTCCATTTCGTCAACTTAATTAATGTTACCTAGGATTCCTATACCGGAAGAGTTCGTTTGGGGCATCATGACGCAATTGGTTTTGGCATTGCACGAGTGTCACTGTGGCATAGCAAAGAACGGGGATTCCAACGAGTTGACACCGCGACCCATTCTTCATCGGGACTTGAAGCCTGACAATGGTATATGGATATTCAACACAGGAACATGGAGCAAGGTTTCATTTGTGCGCAGATCTAACTTCATGAACCTCTCACTCTAGTATTCTTGGACGCTAAGAAGAACGTCAAATTGGGAGACTTTGGACTATCTCGATCGCTTACGAATCCGCAAATGGCCTTTGCGCAAACATATGTTGGGGTTCGTGCTGTTTGATAAATCGCCGTTTATTGTGCCGCTGCACTAAACGTGTACGCTCTTGATATCGGCTAACGTCTTTTTTCTATTTATCTTCAACATAGACACCCTTCTACATGTCTCCTGTAAGTCGACCACGCTGGGTTTCACCCGGAGGCGGACGACGACAAATCTTGTTAGTACTAACTGCTATTGGAATATGTAATTATAGGAGCTCATCAGCGAGTCCGTATATGATGTGAAGTCGGATATTTGGTCTTTGGGCTGCGTCGTATTCGAGATGTGTGCACTAGAGTAAGGTGTTCAAGGGTCATATATCTCATTCACGATTGTGTTGTGTGCCAGTATTAAGATTTATTGATCGCCAATATGTCCTCTATAGGCCGCCTTTCCTCGCCGATACGCAGGCCGCGCTTTCTTTAAAGATTAAGATGGGTAGGATCCAGATGTTGCCAGCTCAATATTCTCAGGAGTTGAATATGGTTGTTAGAGCCATGTTACAAGTCAATGTACGTCGATCTATATATCGAATAATGTGCCTTGCAGGGTTGGCGATACAGATACGGAATTGATAAAATGAATATCTGTACTTTTACCATTAGCCAAAGAGGCGGCCGACCACAACGGATTTACTCGCAAATCCGAGGATCAAAAACATCAGCGTTCAGCTCGAACTAAAGCGAAAGTACGTTAAACAATGGACGACATGGACCAAGTCGCTCAGGGACTATCAGGAATGGATTAAATTCTTATTGTCTACCTTCTCTTGATTTTTAGATCTGCTGAGCTCGATCATATTATGCGCTCACTAATTGAAAGGGAAGAGAAGATCAAGGAGAAGGAGGTGTATTTGATGAATGCTGAAAAGAACTTCCAGACAGCGGACCAAATGCTGAGAGAGAAGGAGACGGTGCTCAATTCTCGGGAGGAGATTTTACGTAATCGGGAATCAAGTCTGACTGAGCGCGAGATGAAGTTGACCTGGGAGCGACAACAGCTAGATGAAAGGCGACGCGAGCTCTTACTGGAACAGGAGAAACGACAATCCATGGCTCGGAAGGTCATGTCCTCTAAGCTTAGTGAACCCATGGCAATAGACAGTGGGAGTCTCCACGACACCACTACTGTTACCACTACTGCCACCGCCAGTAAAACTAATAGTCTCTCGACTAATACCACAGCCTCTCATGCCATGCACTCTACCACTGCATCTACAGCATCAACCTCTCAGGCAAATGTCAGCAATACGATGGAACGATTTTTTGCGGCATTGGCAGCAGATCAAGGGCAGAACACGCGGACGTTTCCTCGGCGTAAAACCGGCTTGTCCGCAGGACGACATTCACTGCAGGCAGCTAGCGTGTATCGCACTTCAGGATCAAACGGATCAATTACCAACGTATTCTCCGCGCAGCAAACCTCTTCCTCAGAAGCATTGGATTTGGGCGGCACCTATGCGTCCGGCCAATTGGCAAGCAACTCGGGCAATGCTCCGAAAACCGCTTCTACCGAGAATCCATCCACTGCCTCAAAACTTCTGCAGGGACAATCTTACACGTATCAAGGCGCTAATGGCAAGGAAACGAGACTTTCAGGAAGACTTGGACAATTGCCTAGCTTAAGTTCTGGGGGCTCTGCCGCGACATCTTTGTCTACTGCAGACTCTCAGAGACTGAGAGGGAAGTCAAAATCAGCATCTGCGCTAGTGGCATCCATGTCGTCGACATCACTATCGAGCAAAACTCCAGCTCCTTCCTCCAGTATCAACCCATTTGTGGTGCCTGAGTTCATGAAACCAAGCGCGGCGACCACATCTGCAGGAGGCCTGACTGGCGTCTCGTCCAACCATAATTCAATACCAGGTCTCACCTTCACAGCGTCTACGACCCTTCTCACGACATCCCCAACCACCAATCTCGATATGCAGATGTCAGATACAACGGACTCTTCTTCCCAGCCATCAAGTGTTTCAGTGAACACTGGCAATTCCCTACGACCAACATCCACGCCTAATAGTTCATCCAGTCGAAGCCTGTACCCGCCCTTCTCTTCATCATCCGTGACCACTAGTCGTCTTTCATCAATTCGACCTCATCTAATCCCCTCAATCGGTCATAGTCGATTCAATTCTGCCTTGGCCTCTTCCTCGGCTGGGTCAAACAGCCACAGCACCCTAAGCACCGCATCCGCCTCGATACCATCCTTGAACAGCAATGACACCCAGTCTTTAGCGGCGGCGAGTGCGACAAATGGCAATGCAGTTGCTCAGGATACATCGACTACACCGTCAAAGTCCCAGAGCGCGACGAATTTCGGCGACGAACGGTTTCAACGGCACTCTACGCCAGAACGGAGCCAGCGACTCGAGGACGAGGATCTAAGGATGGAATGGGATGATGATATTCCGAGTCCGTTTATTAAGAAGACGTATCAGCGGCCACCGCCCGCTGGCTCAGGGGGCCCTTTGCCGTATAGAAACCTCATGGGATCCTGAAAGCGTTTGTAAGGATGTGTCACAATACTATCCATCCTCGGTTATTGTAGTCGGTGTAATGTATTTTAGTAAAGGAACATTATTATTTTTTTAATAATGATTTTCAAGAACGTTTATTTGTCTCAGGAAAGTATATTTGGAGACTAAGACTAAAAATAAAAAGTTGTTACAGCTCTGATGTGAAGAGAAAGAGAAAGGAAAAGAAAAGACGACGAAAATCAAGAACAAGGAGCAGGGGTGTCGTTGAAGGTATGAGGACTGCCTCCTCCTCTTCGTTCGCGTCTGCTTTCAGTCGGACAATCCAGAGAGTTCGGAAAGATCGTCCAGCGAGTCATTGTGCGCGTCGATCTCCTCATCATCATCGTCACCATCCCCCTCCTCTTGCTCCTTCTCGTAATCCTTTTGTGTGTCCTTGCGCTTCTTGTCCACATGTTCAGAGTTGGCCATCTTGCGCTTCCTTGTCGCCTGGACGGGCTCATCTGCTTCGTCTTCGGGTTCAGAAGAAGAGGAAGAGACATCATTGTCGTCTGCTCCTGCGGACAGTTTGCTTGACTCCTTGGTACGACGGGCCGAGGGCTTGACAGCGTAGGGTGATGTCGACTTGCGGTGGTACGGCAGCTTGGGTGGCATCTTGAAGAAGTATTGCTTGTCCTGCAGGATGAATAGATCGAGTCGTTAGCATTGCGTCATAATTCCATTGCTGTCATAAAAGTAAAAGGATAAAGAACGGACTAATATTACCTTCAGTGTGCACTTGCGAGCGCTTGGCATGACCTCCTGTCGAGTGAGTTTGCGCATGACATTGTGGTCGCACTCTGGAATATAATACCATTGGTTCTCCAGCGGTTTGTTGTAAGCATCTTTACCTTTGCGTGTGATCTTGCCGACACAGCGGGCGGCCGTCAGGCACTGCATCATCTGCTCCTTAATCTCCTCGGGCTCGTGTGTCGCCATCAACGAAGGCTGGCTCGCAACCATCTCATCAAAGAGCTCGCTCAAGGTCATCGATTTCTTCTTGCGCGCAAAGACGAGGGTGTCGATGATCATCTCCGTATAGTCCATGGGCGACTTATTTGCCGGGGTCTCTGGCGATGATAAAGATACGTTCTCATCATTCTCTTGTGCCTTCTCCTCCTCCCCCTTCACCTCTTTCTTCTCCTTTTGCTGCCGTTTGATTGTATCGGTCGAAATCTTTGCTGATGCCTTCTTGGTCGCCTCAGTCGAGCTCTTTTCCGAGGCCTTTTTGACCGGGCTTGTTGAATCCTTTGAGACGAGCTTGACGTGTTGCGCCTTGGTAGGCGAGGACGATGGTCGAGATTTGTTAGAGACATTGTCTGCTGATTTTCCTGGACGAACGTTCTCTTTCGCATCCATGGATTGGGTGATGCTCTGCAGTGCCATCGTCTTCTCAAGCTTCGCACTATTGGTCTCTGTATTCCCTGATTTCAACGACGCAGACATCTTTAGCACGTTGCTGGGCTTCGCCTTGATGAGCGCAGAAGCCGTCTGTGACGGGAGTCCAGTGGCTGAACGGTTGATGGCTGTCTGGGGCCTAGAAATGGTCGACTGTCCGTTCTCAATCAACGACAGTGGCGCCAAAGGTGCACGCTGGGCGGAATACTTTGATGGGCTTTTGGGAGGTTCGTCGTCAAAGAAAATGTTGCCTTCTGATATGGGACTCTCCAGGCCAGCAGGTCGACGAACGGGCGAGGTATCCAATGCAAAGATGGGTTTCGACTTGACCGGAGATGATCCGAATTCGTTCCCTGTATCGGATGATGGTGAGTCAAAGGGATTCCTGGTTATGGGCGAGTAATCGTATTTCAGTATCTTGTGTCGCATGCGTGCTGTGGGCGTCAATTGAGAGGGCGAGCTCAAAGGGTCACGAATGGGCGAGGAGTAGGTCGGAGTCGCCAATTGATGAGCTGGCATGATAGTGTTCGTTCGCTTGGGAGTCGACAGGCCTGCAGGGACTAAGAAGGGATCGCTTTCGTCTGCTTGAACAAGCTGATCCTCGAAGTTCAGATGTGCCTGCGCAGGAGCTGGCCCTGCAGGTAAAAAAAAGCGCATTTTGACGCCGACCAAGTCGACGATATCGCCTTCCCGAAGTGTTGTCTGCTGTCCCGAGGGGTATCCTATGCCATTGATGCGGACACCGTTCTGGCCGAGGACCGTAATCTGAAAAGCCGATGCTTCCTTGGACCATTGAACGATAGCATGGCGTCTCGACACCTGCTTGTTGATCCTGCCGAGGTTTAGTGTTGCCTGGGAGCCTCTGCCCACAATCACAGGTGCATCGTAAGAACCATTTAGAGCCATCGATGGCGCCTTGGGCTTCTTCATGCCCGGCTCCTTTGCCTGGGCAGTCTTTGTCGCGGCTTTGAGCAACAAGTCAAGCCCATCCAAGCTGCCATTATTCCATGCAACTGGATATTGCATAAGAGGGTAGAAATTGCTTCAGTATGGATGCTCAAGAGAAAGGGTGTTCTGTTTCTGTTCCTGCTCCTGTTCCTATCCCAGGATGAAGAATGAAAAAAAGTGTGTGCATCTTACCATCCAAAGGTGCGGGCTGATTTTCTTTCATCAGCTCCATGATGAATGGAAGGTAGTGGCGAGTGGCGAGTGACGATGGATAATCCCGGAAATCGCAGCAAAGACTCGGGGAAAAGGAATAGGCGAGTGTTGCAAAAGCGATGGATGTGTACAGTCGAATGAATGTGATGTTGTTCAGTGTGTATGTGATTAAAAAAAATTCGGACGCGTCCCAGCAAAGGCTGACTCACGTGAACCACACCCCCCAGACGCCTGTATCCGCGACCCGGATTGACCTCGATCGGGGCGGAGATAGTCTAGCCATCTCCGCTTGACTATTAGACTATTATAAATTCTGTGATCAGCTTGACAAGTTGACAGACAAGAAAGAATCAAAGTGGAGAGGCTCGGCTCTATTTCAAGACGCTTCGTGAGACTAATAATGAATAAATATGCTTTTTGGTGAAAAGAAAAACAGTCTATGGTATTACACGTCTACTTGGAGAGGCTGAAAGAGACGAATGAAATGGAAACAAGAAGGGGAAGGGAGAAAAATGCAGGGTCTCTGTTTCGTCAGGCTATCTATCCATTGATATTTTTGGTGAGGAGCTCGATGAAATTAGTGGGCACATTGGAGGTAGTAGATGTCCCTTGGGTCTGCGCTTCATGATGTACCGAAACAGAGTCCAGTGGTTGAAAAGCAGTTGACTCGGAAGACATTGGCATTGTCGCACTACCGGCCGATGATTCAGTAGCTGAAGCGCAAAAAGATAATGCTGGTGGTGATCCAGCAAACTTGATTACAGGCGCGTTGGCTGGCAGTACTGAAGGTCCTGTAGACAGTAGCGCTGGATCAGCAAAGGTCTCCGGTGCTGCTGTAGCCGCTACTTCCACAGTTAATGGTGACAGAGTCGCCGTCTGGCCGTTGGGTACTTCATGTGCCTCATGAGAAGGATATATTGGCTGCGGTTCACGCTGCTGTGAGGGCTGTGGGTGCATTAATGCGCCAATCATGGTCTGCAGCTCACCGACGACCCTCTGAGACCCCATCTGGTCCTGTTTCATTGCTGCCTTGCAGTCTTCAATGTTCCTGGTCCGAACTTTGAGTTCCTCCAGCGCGGCATCCTGACTGTTCTTGAGAACAGCACGCTGTGCTGTAGCTTGATTGTAACTCTGCTCCAGTGATCGCAGCTCCGCATCCAGTGTACGCCTCTTTTCAAAAAGTGCCATATTGTCCTCCTCGAGTCGTGACAAGTTATCCTTGGCGTCCACCAGCATCCTCTGAATGTCGCGAATAGAGTTCATCGATTGCGCCTCAATAGGTTTGTCCATCCTCCGAGCCTCAAGATCAAGGTCAGAACCTTCATGAGCTCGTGAGCCATTTGGCTGCGCCTGATTCCCATTCGACTCTGCTTCTTCCTGCAGCGGATTGAAGTCATTGTCCCGAGCCAGCATCCGGCCCTTTTGGTCTCGATACTTGTCCCATTTCATCATCTCCCACTCCAGATGGGCCTCCAACCGCCTGATGTTCTCCTTTGTTCCAGAAATCGCGGACATGTAGAGCGCACGCGAGTCCCGGATCTGTCGGTCCATCTTCAACGTCAACTCCTTCGTGCTCGCAATCTGGTCTCGGAGCAATTGGTATGCATCCTGAGCAAGCCTATTGGAATTCTCCAAGGTGGGTTCCACCCATGGCCCATCCATATCCACGTCAGCGGCAGTGGGTGACATGGTGGATGCATCTGATACATTACGCTCTGATTCCGGTAACAGTCCCTGTAAATGTGCCTGCTGAACGTGCATTGATAGGTCCCTCATTGTGGCGAATGTCTGCTGACAATCCGTCCATCTGCAGCTCATCAGCGAGTTAATGCCTATGTCGGTACGGCTCCTATCCAAATCTTCCAATCCCATGGCGATATCACCATTGGCTCGCGGATGCTGCAGTTTTGGGTCTGATGGTGTGATTGCTGCTGGACCCGATGATATTGCGGGCGTCGATTGAGAGTCTTGATCTGATGTCTCTGCAGACCCCGTTGCTGTTGACGGAGGTGCGTTGGATAAAAGCTGTGATGGATCGTCCGATATTGATTGGTACAGTCCGGATCCTATAATATTGATGTGAGCAGAGTTGGTGAAACGTTATACAGAGATAAGACAGTGACCATGTACAGATAAGGTCAGTATTGTGCCGGTAAACATACCTTGCAAATCACCCTCCATGATTGCAGATACTACTGCACGTTCCTTCATTACGATACCCTCTCCAGGGAGCCTTTTGTGCTCCAACAGCCTCTCTGGGATTGACAACGCTTTCACAATGCCTTTGGGGACATCTAGTGCTAGAAACAGACTGCTGGATGTCTCTGGACGCTCCTTGACTTCGATGAGCCACGTCTGTGACTCCAGTAGCAAAGCACCCTGTGGTAATCCTAATTGTTTATACGATAAATCGATACAGTCCGAATGAGTTCAACTGCCCATTCGCTTATTAAAATAAAACAACATATGCCTTAGACGTACCTGGGTTATTGGGATCCTTTAGAAATCGAATCATCTCTGCGCGCATGTTTGCATCCTTAACCAGAGCTGATTTCTCGATGACAGACCGGAAGAACGCCTTTTCGTGGTCAAAGTCCAGCTTCAGCAGTCGGATAGTGGAGGGGGCGTTCTCGTTACTGCTCAAAGCCCGTCTTCTCATAGCGTATTCGCCAGGTCGATCCAGATGACTGCGCACCGACTGTCCATTCTAATCATCGTATTGAATTGTCAGTAATATAGTAAATCGCACATGTCCTTGTCCTCGCCATAAAAGATGTAAACACTTGTACCTTTTGTTGCTTGACACCTTCTAATGCATCAGACTCCTCTGGTGATATATCTTCCAGTGTTCTTGAGCCTGCTACTAGTAATCCCAGGTCGCCGGCGACTCCAGAGGACAGCCTACGTTTGGAGTACCTTGTATTGTCCTGTGACGGTCTGTCCCGTTTGGGCTGTCCACGCACTGTAAGGCCTCGATGTGATGGAGGAGGCAGTGGCGGGTACGGTATGGGGTAACTGGGATGGCTGTACATCGGCGGGTATTGATATGGGTGACCAGCATAGAACCCTGGTGGCGGGAGCGGAGGGTAAGGCTCCAGGACAGCACCATGTGGCATATCCGGATGATTCATCGAGGCCCCCTCAGGATGTAGTGACGTGCTCATCTGCATTATTGAATTTGGCTGCAAGGAGCGAATACTGTGCCTCGAATCTGTTGCACCGTCCCATGGCCCAGGTCCTTTTGTCCTGCTGGGAGATGTTCGACGCTGTGCACGCCTTGCGGCCTGCCTGCGCTCGAATTCCTCGATGAGCTCCTCTCCCAAGACGTTCTGCTCAGGCTCCCAAGAGTCCTCAAATTGTTTTCCTTGTGCATCCGACCCCTGCCATCTGATTAAATATTCGACGGCTCCTGTCTCTGCATCAGTCCTCTTTTGAAGAATCCGCTCGACCAAGCAGAGGTCCTGGGTGATGGACTCAGACATTATCTCCGGGGGGATACACTGTCCCCGCGCTGACAGTCCAGGCAGGGGTTTCTAATGGAGAGAGAAAGCAAGGAGCTGAATGTTAAAAGCTGAATATAGCGACGGACCTGCCACGTGTGAGTCGATATCCAAGGGTCAGACTGGCCCTGAGGACACTTGCATCTCCTTTATCGTGTGCTTGATCCTTGATTCTTCTGGCGGGTCCTTTATGGCATAAAAACGTACAACAATACACAGCGTCAGTACGTCAGTCCATTCCTCACTCGCTCCATGGTTCCCATACTCCTTATTTAACGCAGCATTGGGTGGGTGGGCTTCTTCGTGGCCATTCTCTTTCCTGTAAGTTCACCCGAGACTTACCCTAGGAAGCGCGAAGAGAAAGACGGAGCCCGATAGCAAGTGGTATAGTCCTGTTTTCTGGAGGGTACGTAATTCGAGTTACAACGGCTGTCGAGAAATGCTGATGAAAACGCGGATGAGAATGAGGAAATGAGATGTTTTGATGAGTGATGAAAACAAGCGATCAAGGAAGCGAGGATGATGAGATGCCTTGAGCGTAGGCCGTATTTTCGTCTGTAGTCGCCTATGATAGCTGCAGGAAGAAAAGAAAATATGAAAAGGCGCAGGAAACGCGAATGCCTAGACGGATCCCGTGATCAGTCCACAAGTCACAGGGCCCGATTCAAGGGCGAAAGTTATTGTGCATGCATGGATGAACAATAATGCGATATATTGTCTACGAACATTCTAAACCTAGGCGATCTCGCAACCGAGGACGCTCTGTACGCCTCCAACAAGGTGCAGACTTCCCGTCACCAGAACCTGGACGTGGTCTGCACCGTGCTCAATCTCATTCTTGACGTAGTCGTCGATCCAGTTGACAGAGTGCTCGATCGATGGCAACACAGTCGTCCTGACATCCTCCTGTCCTTCCGATTCTGAGCCAGAGGCTAGCCCAACTTGCTTGACCCAGCAGGCCGCCAATGTCTTTTGCGTCTTCAGTTCCAGGTCCATTGGAGCATTGTTGTTGACCAAGTCCCCCTTGTATGTGTTCGAGGCAAATGTGATTGCTGGAGTGAATACCGCCTGATCAAAGTGAACATTTGTCTGAATCTTGGCTAGGGGTCCCAGAAGGGTATCACCATCGCGGGGGCCGGTGCAGTTGAACATAAGCACCTTCTTGACGGCTCTAAATGCCAGATAAGCCAATCGTGGTGAAAGTTAGCACGTTGCCGAGGATGTCAAAGCAATTTTTACATATGGTTGCTGAAGGACTACTTACCCTTGGATATCCTTGTGACTAGCGTCCTTGAACCAATCTGCACAGACGCAAATACTCTCTGCAGTGTGGGCACCGTCAAAGAACCAGGTGATCTTGGGCTTGTCATTCCTGATCATGATCTGACCACGGCCCGGCCAGCGGGCACTTGCAAGACCCTTGACAAACTCCTTTGGAACAACGCCATTCGCTGCTGTAATCTTTTCGCCAAACACCTTTTCGATCCATATACGACAAATAGCAGATGCTAGTGCAGCATTTGCTACCTGATGCTTTCCTGCCAGCCCGATGGTCACGTCGCCCAGTCCCTCGTTTGTAAAGGCAGGAACCACTTGAAGGGTTGCCTACGGTTACAAAAAATCAATCAATCACTGAGTGCTTTGCATGGTACTCAATGAAGAAACTGCGAACTCATACAGCCAACCAGCTGCAATTTACCCCAAGTTCCTGTGCTCTACTTTGAAGGACAGTGAGGCCCTCCTCAACCTGTTCTGAGGAAACCGCCGGGACATCCTGCTTGAATATGCCTCCCTTGTTCCATGCAATCTCTCCCAAAGTCGATCCTAAGACAGAGACATGGTCGATGCCAAGTGCTGCGACAGCGCAAACAATGGGCTTGTGAATAATGTTCGTAGAGTCATACGCGCCACCGACTCCAACTTCAAGGATGGCCACGTCAACCTTTTCCTGCTTGAAGACATGGAAGGCCAGCACAGTCAAGAAACGGAAGTAGCCTGGCTTGGATTTATCCTGCACAGAACAGTGGCAAAAAATAAAAAATAAAAATAAAAAAAAAGAGTCAGATATCGCGTCATTTTGGCATTCGTGTTTACAGACAAGCTCAAATGACACTGCACACTTACCCCAGTTGAATCGAGACGATCCCAGACTTCAAAAAAATATTTTGCAAAGAGATCCTGGCTGATAGGCGTCCCGTTGATCCTGATTCTCTCTCTGACTTCCATAAGATGCGGCGAGGTATACAACCCTACGAGATACAAGAGAATGTAAGCGTTAGTACAGCGCATCATTTATAGAGCAGCAACATTATCTTATAATCCGTCCATTGGGCATTACCAGTCTTGATCTGCTTCTTGCAATTGTAATTGCGGAGGATGGACTCTGTCAAGGCGCAGGTGGAGCCCTTACCCTTTGTGCCAGTTACATGAATCAAGTTCAATTCGTCAAAGTCTTCGGGCTTTAAGATTAGTAAAGATAAAAGAAGGGAGGGAGCGAGAGAGGGGAGAGCGTTATGGAAACGGTTCACAGCATCCTTGTGGGATTCAGGAGACAATTCAATTGAGCGCTGCGATTCCTGTTGAGTTCCATACATTGTATCCGCTTCGCTGGACAAACTCGACCACTTCTGATAACGAATTCTTGTTGGCGCTGCCTCCTGACTTGCGAACCGCCTCCAGAACGGCAAAGTTAGTTTGAAGGCCATTGAGCTTGTCAACGGCATCCTAGACGTTAAAAATATCACACACACACCTCCTCCAGGGTTAGCGCGAGCTGTAGACACAGGAGAGAATGAATCTGTAGATCAAAGTGGAGAATTGTCATACAGCGTATGAGCGAGGCATTGGGCTGGGAAATATCTTTATACGTTCGTCCAGGTGGACAAGGTGATCTGAAGGTGGTGTTGATGAGGGCCCCTTTGGGATCGAGTGGGAAGAGAAGAGGCGTGTAGTGGAGAGGGTGGATCCGATGGGTCTTCCCAGTCGATGCAGTCGCGGCTGTGCAGGTGAGCGATGCTGGAGTGTAGCTGCAGCCTGGCAAGAGGAGGGTCGCGAGGGATGAGGGAGGGGGAAGAAAGAAGAAGAAGAAGAAGAAGAAGAAGAAGCGGTGGAAGAAGAAAAAGTGTGTAAGGGCAAGTGCGAGGGCGAGTGCGGGTGCGAGTGGGCGACACACGTGCTGTTTCTGCTGCCGCGTGGTAGAGAGGAGTGGTGAGCGAGTGATCCTGATCTGGATGCGATGGATGGGGTTGAGGGAGCGGGAAGGTGGCCAAGGAGAGCAGCGCGTGTCCCCGGGCGGACAATGAACATGGCGCGAAAGGGAATCGGCCAGACAGACAGTTTGGGGTGGAAAGTGGAAAGTGGAAGGTGAAAAGTGGAAAGTGGAAAACGGAAAGCGTCAATGGCGAGTGGAAGAGAGTGTCGAGGGCAATGGAGGGAGGTCGAGGGATTGCTCCTTGTTTATCGGCGAGAGCGAAGTCAACTGGGATGGGATCAACATCCGCTGGAGGGATCCGCTTTTCCGTTGATCCCCTCCGGCAGCTGGACAGACTCAGCTGCAGCAGGAGGATAAAATGCCCGCTTCTGGTTGGCTGGATGCAGACCCAGGAGCAACAGCAGCAACAGTAGCAACAGTAGCAACAGTAGCAACAACAACTCTGACGCAGGAATAAGCTTTTTTTTTTTTTTGCCTGCTTCCGAAGAAGACCGGTGAAATGGTCTGCACACGCTTGAAACTTGAAAGACAGGGAGCGCAGAGTGCTCGAGAGTGCGACGCGTCCTAAACGCACCTGAAAAACCTTGTTCGTATCCCGAGTATGATGCCGCTCCAGATCTCGATGGCCTACCAAACTGTCCTGAGCAGGAAGTGGAGGAACAGGGTTGTCGACGCTATCCTCCAGTTACTCTTCTTTCCTCTTCCGTCCTTAACCGTGAACCATACAGCTAATTGACTTTTGTACTTTTTCGTCGTGTCTGAGCAAAAAGGTGAATAGCATGCGCTATCCGTGGATCGCCTGTCGCTATTCCTCAAAAACAGGCGTTCTCCGTGTCCTGACGGCTAGACGGAGCACGTCTACAGACACCAGCGATGCATCCCAGCCAGGACCAAGAATTATCGTGTGTTTGGTATGCAGGTCAAACACCTGGGTCATGTAGAAAGAGAGCGGTACGTTCCATTACCTCACCCTTAATCGCTTCCTTGTTCTCGAGTGATCCTGAACATTAGCTCTATTGACCATCCTTCTGTTAAGCTCATCTCAGAAAACTGTGCGAAGCTCAATCGGGTTGATAGAAACTTGGCAGCAGCAGGAGACATTAACCATTGACCTTCAATTGTCCCTATACATGGACAGAACAAAGCAAACCCGTTTGGTACACGCTCTCCATGCTGCACCGTCAGCACGTACCCATAATGCAACAGGTTTCGCCAGGACTCCAGGCGAGGATCATGATTCACGTCAGGGAAGCGTTAAGCTGGCGTCTCCATACAGCTCCTACCGGGAAGATTTTCCTTTTTCGAAAGGTATGATGTTAGAGACTGATCCATATGCTTCTGCTCATACGACACTATGGATGCCATACATGTACACACGATAGTTAACAGTGAGCCTGTTCTCGCTCAATAAAAAAGGCGATCATACTGGCTTCATATGGGTGAAATATCATAGACTGAGTACCGCCCATCGCAGATGAGTATTCGTATCCAGTATGTATCCTCGATGCCCCAAGTTCATCAACAATCGAAGATTAGTGCTTCATGCTAAGAGGCTGTCAAAGCTATACATGAATACACTACCCTACAGTTGCCAGGAGTATAGTGTGGCCACCTTTGCTGGATGCGCAGATCAAAGGTCTCTGCTTCAAGTGATCGACTTGACGCATTGTTGAAACAGTTACTACACTACGTTCCATAGCAAACCTGCACCTTGGTGCGAAACAGTCGTTCTGCTAAAGAAATTCGACCTTTCTGGATCGCGTGGCGATAAAATTGGTGGCAAAACTAAATTCGGCGCGGCCAAATTTACGCGGTCGTTTCACTATCTTTGTTTACGTCCAATCGCTTATCTGTCTACGCAAGTCCTCCCAACATCCCACGCCATTTAAACACCCCCCAGTCTCTATCCTTTAGTTCAATTTTGTCTCTCATTCCTTCTCACCATGACTATTATCGAACAGACACCAGTTCTCAGCGCGCAAGACCAAGGTCCACCTGTTGGAACACCGATCCGTTCCTTCGTATTAACAGACGAATCCTCGCCTGGCATGGCATGCCAGATAATCAGTCTTGGTGCGACTCTCACCCATCTTTGGGTTCCTGACAGCAAGAATGGAACCAGGGACGTGGTCCTCGGTTTCGATGACCTGACAGCCTATCGGACCAAGTACGATCCATATTTCGGCGCAAGTGTAGGAAGAACGGCCAACAGGTACACCATCGCATGGATATCCTGCAGAACCTATGTGCATTCTTCTCCGTCTATGCTAATTAACACCTACAAATTTTCCACTAGAATTGCTCAAGGCCAATTCTCTCTACCTCATAATCCGAATGTCATCTACAAGCTAGATCAGAACAACGGTCCTAATTCGCTTCACGGTGGCATCGACGGCTTCTCGTTTCGGAACTGGGATGTTGACCTACCAGCTGAATCGGATAAAGGAGAGCACAGAGGAACCACTCTGCGCCTCAGCCTGACTTCCGACCACATGGATCAAGGGTTTCCTGGTAAAATCCATGTCCAATGCACGTACCGCCTTGTCAACTCTTCATTAGAGATCGTTTACGAGGCACAGCTTGCAGGGAATGCCAACGACGACAATCAACAAATGACGATCGCCTCCTTGACAAACCATGCGTATTTCAATCTCAACGGTGTCCCTACACCGGAGGCAGTCAACGAGATCTCGACGTCCCTTGTCACAAATCACGTTGTGGAAATGTTCAATGTCGACAGCTACCTGGAAACGGATTCTACGTCTGTCCCCACGGGCACTATCCTGCCGCTCGACGTGGCCTCTGTGATGGATTTCAGGGTGCCGAAGACGTTCGGGGACCACATCACTCAGACCCCTGGTGGCGGACATGGCTACGACCACTTTTACCCTGTTCAAGCTGCCATCAACTCACCCCAGGACTACCATCTCACCCAGGATATCCATCGAGTGGCGCCAATAGCCCTAATCAAGGTCCACTCCCCTGAATCGGGTATTCACATGACTATGGCAACCACTGAACCTGGGTTCCAGCTATACACGGCCAATTTCGTCCAGCTGGATCCAGATCAAGTCGATATGAACCCTGACAACAGCAAGGATACGACAGACCACTTTCGACGCGTTGGAAAGGCACGCGGTGGATACAGGCCCCACTCTGCTTTCTGTCTGGAGGCATCCAAATTTCCAGACGCGATTAATCATCCTGCGTGGAGGGACCAGGTCATCCTTCGTCATGGCTTCAAGTACCAGTCCAAAACCACATATGCCTTTACAGCAAAGTAATGGTATGCTTTATATATATTTTTTCAGTATTAATAAAACAACCGGCTCCGTGCGCTCGAAAAGCATGGGTTTAAGCTCCAGATCTGCTGTCGTTAATATGGCATCCTCGAACGACGGTCTCGTGCTAGCAGAATATGCGGGAGAGATCCGAGATGCAGCGTCCTGAAAGAGCCGGGGTATACTTGATCCTCCTAATCTACTATCGATGTGTTCAGCAAACCAACTGCACCCTGGGTCCACCGTGTTGCTCAAACCGGCTTGTTGATCAAGGCTGAGACAGTGTCCTGGGCATTCTGAATAATATCTTCGAGTCGCTCGCCATCGCACAGCTTTTTAGATAGGATGATCCCTGGCGCCGCGAAGACGACCATATGAAGACAAAACCTGAGGCCGGATATAGAGTCCTGAGCCGAGGAAGCGGTTGACTGGCTGGTCGAGGAAGCCTTAGCCGGTGGTAATCGAAAGGGGATTCTAGTCAAATGAGATGCTGCAGACGGAGGGTGTCTAAGTGCCGGAAACATCCTGGCAATAGCAGCGTTATAGATCTTCCCTGTTGCACCCGCTAATCCTGCTGTAGTTGACGATGTCATTGCTCTTTGCGTTATGTGGAAATCGGTGCCGATGATGCCTGTAGATAAAAAAAAAAAAGATACGGGTGACGTCACTTGGTGCGAGGACGCGACTCCTCAGCAAATTTGACCCTTGAGAGTACGTTTTTGCTCCATTTCATTTCTGCCACTTTTTGAAGACACGCACACGCAACACCCTCATTCACACAATTCTTCTTTCCTCGTCTACTTCCCGCCCTCTTTTAACCAGCAGTACTCGAGTCGCAAGACGCCTCTGCCAATCGCTACGAAAGTCAATAACCAACAAACCCACCAAACAAAAGGAGCAGGACCAATCAGAAGGACATCATGGTCGAGAACAAGGAAGTCGCTATCACCGTCCCCGCCGCAGACAATTCCCCCATGGAGGAAGACAAGCCTTTGAAGAAGTCGCCAAAAGAGCTCAAGGATGCGCCTATCAAAGAGGAGCTGGTAAGCATAGGACAGGTCTTAATCAGGTCTGCATTCATTTTCGGCACAAGCACCTGATCACCTAACGACGGACTCTCTTTTATCTCTCGATATAGTCTGAGGAGGATCAGGAGCTCAAGAACCAGCTCGAGATGTTAATCGACAGGCTGAAGGTAAGCCCTGCGTGTGTGATCAACGCACCTGAGGATCAACCCTTGTACCATCAGCTAACGCGTGTGGCACGCTTGATCGTCTCCCATGTTCATAGGAACCCGATACGAAGCTTTACAACGCAACGCTTGAAACCCTTCGTACTCTCATCTTGACTTCGACGAGCTCTATGACTTCTGTCCCCAAGCCGCTGAAGTACCTGCGCCCCATGTACCCTGATATGGTGACGATTCACGAATCCTGGCCAGAGAGCGCAGACAAGGTTCGTTGTCTGGAGTACTTGAATTTATCTCCTTATATTTTTTTTTTTTTTTTTTTTTTTTTTTTTTTCAAAAGGCCTTTGATCTCCAGCGTAGTATGCTGACTCGCGAATTCTTTTCGCATCTTTAACTTCTATAGAAATTCTTGGCCGACATTCTCTCGATCTTGGCCATGACTTATGACGACGACAAGTTGGACACCCTCAAGTACCGCAAGTTGGGTTCTCAAAACGCCATTGGATCATGGGGACACGAATATGTCAGGTAATGAAAGCCTCTATTGTGCTGCGACAGGTACTACATAATACATACTTCGGACACGCGTTGACTCACATGAACCTCGACGTCTCATAGGCACCTGTCGACAGAAATTGGATTAGAATACGAGAGGCGACAGGAGAGTGAGGCTGACACATCGGATCTTATTGCCCTTGCGTTGGAAGTTGCGCCATTTTTCCTGGCTCACAATGCCGAAGCAGACGCAGTCGATCTGCTGATGCAGCTGGATATCATGCCAAAGTTGGTAGACTTCGTGGACAAGAATTCCTATAAGCGTGTCTGCCTTTATATCTCAAGGTTTGTGCCTATTGATCTGGATGATGCCTGGAATTGCATAGAGAAATGGCCCTTTGGCGTCTAACAAATGAAAATCTATATATCGTTATGTCGCTCTTAATTAGCTGTGTGAACTACTTGGAGTCGCCAGATGATGCTATCTGCCTACGTACCGCTCATGACATCTATTTGAAGCACAGCAAGTATGCCGAGGCCCTGTTGATCGCCATCCGCATGTCGGACAAGGCGCTCATCCAGAGTATCTTTGACAACTGCCAGGACCCGTAAGTATACCACATCAAGACTGGCAGTATTCGTTACCTCATTATCATCAATCTGTTAACATTTTTCTTCCTTAGTCTCTTGAAGAAGCAGCTTGCTTTCATGCTTGCAAGACAACAGCTCTCGGTTGAGACTGAGGACGAGGACCTCCAAAACTGCATCAACAACACCCACCTGACCACCCACTTCATCAGCCTCGCTCGTGAACTCGATTTGATGGAGCCCAAAACGCCCGAGGACATTTATAAATCTCACCTTGAACACAAGCGTAAGTATTATTCAAAAGAACTTGCTCCTTGCTGCGCGCTACGCGGATCTTCAGCGAGCTAATCCATGTTTTATTTTTATTTTCGTCATGTAATAGGCGCCACTGGTGTTGCACAGGTGGATTCTGCCCGCCAGAACTTGGCGTCAACCTTTGTAAATGCATTTGTAAATGCTGGCTTTGGGGTTGACAAATTGATGTTGAGCGAGGAGGACGACGGTGGCTGGATCTTCAAGAACAAGGATCACGGCATGCTTAGTGCTTCTGCCTCCCTGGGCATGATTCTCCTATGGGACGTTGACATGGGTCTAAACCAAATTGACAAGTACATCTATTCGGACGATGAGAATATCAGAGCAGGAGCCTTGCTCGCTGTGGGTATTGTCAACTCTGGCGTCCGCAACATGGCCGATCCCGCATTGGCTGTTCTCTCGGAACATTTGGAGGACACCAAGTCAACCACGAACCGCGTCGCTGCCATTCAGGGTCTGGGTCTTGCATATGCTGGCTCTGCTCGCGAGGAGCTTTCTGAACTACTTCTGCCCATTGTCAGCAACTCTGATATTGCCATGGAGCTGTCCTCATTTGCCGCCCTCGCCTTGGGTCAGATCTTTGTCGGTACATGCGACGGAGAGATTACTAGCACCATCTTGCAGACGATGCTTGAGCGTGCAGACGGTCAGCTCGGCGAGACGTTCAGTCGCTTCATGAGTCTCGGTCTTGGCTTACTTCACCTCGGTATGTTCCTTGATCTCTTGGCACTAACGTAGCTATTTATGAGTCGTTGTTTGGATTATGGACATGTTATCTGACGCTCAGCTTTTTCTACGACACTAGGTACTCGTGGTCAGAGCGATGTGACCTTGGAGACTTTGAAGGCGATTGAGCATCCTATTGGTCAGAGGACAAGTGTGATTGTTGAGATTTGCGCATACGCTGGCACTGGCGATGTGCTCCACATCCAGCGCATGCTTCATTACTGCAACGACCACTTTGACGCCGAGAGTAATACCGACGACGAGTTCCAGGCATTCGCTGTCATCGGTATCGCCCTGATTGCTCTCGGAGAGGATATCGGAGCAGAGATGGCCTTGAGGTCCTTTACACATTTAATGCATTATGGTGAACCAGTGATCCGCAAGGCTGTTCCACTGGCCATTGGTCTCCTTTGCGCATCCAACCCCGTCTTGTCTGTTCTGGACACCCTCGGCAAATACTCCCACGACACTGACATCGAGGTTGCCTTGAACTCGATTTTTGCTATGGGTATGGTCGGAGCAGGAACCAACAATGCACGTGTCGCTCAGATGCTCCGTCATCTCGCTTCTTACTACCACAAGGATGCTAGCTGTCTGTTTGTCGTCCGCCTTGCACAGGTAAATGAATATATTTTGCTACGAAGCAGAGCGTCAACGGTGAACACACAGCATCTTGACATTGGCTAACGAACTTTGTATTCGTACTACTAGGGACTGTTGCACATGGGCAAGGGTACTCTGACAATCAATCCTCTCAACACCGACCGCCAGATTATGTCACCCGTTGCTCTGTCAGGTCTTTTGACAACCCTGTTCGCATTCACGGACGTCAAGACACTTATCTTGGGTCGCCACCACTATCTGCTGTACTCGCTTGTAACGGCGATGTACCCAAGGTTCCTGATTACGTTGAACGAGGAGTTGGAGTCCGAGGCTGTTGCTGTTCGTGTGGGTCAGGCTGTGGACGTTGTTGGACAGGCTGGTCGGCCCAAGACCATCACCGGATTCCAGACACATTCGACACCTGTCTTGCTGGCTTACTCAGAGCGCGCAGAACTCTCAACAGAAGAATACTTAGCACAGGCTCCTGTCTTGGAAGGCTTCGTGTTGCTGAAGAAGAATCCGGATTACGTGGAAGAAACAAAGGCATAGACGGTGCGGCGGACTCCTCAGGTCAAATGGGAGAACGGCATGTGTATATCAAAGAACAAAAAACAAGAACTCGCTCGTCTCCTTTGCGCCCAGTTCGCTATGTCTTTTTTATTATTCCCATAGATGCGGGGATGGTACAGGTCATTCATTGTCGAATAAAGCGAGAAATGAAAAAAGTGTGATACTTTACTTCACGGTCAGATGCTACGAATCATCATGATGGGGGTAAAGATGGCCCTAAGATCCTTGTCTTCTTCGCCTCAGCTTCTGTTGGAGTATCGCACTCATTCTGACGCTTGCCGTTCCCAGAAAATGATGATAACAGCGATGATCGGGAGTCTGTGTTGTTGTTGTTGCTACTCTTGGAGGTTGCACCAGCGCCAGCGCCGGCTCCGATTTTGGCCATGATGTCCATTGGCTTTGTATACGCGATGAGTGTCTGCAGCCGCTTCTCCTCCTAGAATAATACGGTGTAGTTTGTTAACAGAATATCCCCAGTAGACCGAATGCAAGGAATCGCGGGTTGTCTACTTGCTTTTTTCATGGCCACCAGATTTTGCTGCATCTTTGCCTTGGAATCACCGCCTGACTTTTCTAGTGAAGTCATATAGACATCCAGATCGCCGGATTCCTCCAACTGCTTTCTTGCTGCCGCTGTTGCATCATATTCTTGGATCTTGGCCTCTAGAGAAGCCATTTCTGCCTGCAACGCCAGCTGTTTCTCCAAGAGCGACTCATGTGTTTCAGCCTTTTGTTCCGTTTTTTTGGCCAAAGGCTTCTTTTTCACTATAGAGGGTAAGGTCGACAGGGTCCAGTGGATACGTTAGAGCTGGTTCGGTTCACGTTGTGTTAACGGAGACGAATAGATTATGGTGCCCGTTGATATGCCTTACCAGTTCTGTCATAAAAGTCGTCATCATCATCAGATGACTCGTATTTGTTTTTTGATTGAGTTGCACCTAATTGTCAGTAGAAAACCAGGGATCCCATGCTAAATATAAAAAAAAAAATCCTCTCCTGGCGGATAGCATAAAGGAGAAGAACAGGTACATACCTTCACCAGAGGATTTTTGACCAAACATGCCTCTACTGTCCAATTGTATACAGGCATCCAGAGCAGCCTCCCTCTCTGCATCGCGCCTCTTTCCAGCAGTGGCCTGTCCATAGACCGGACCCATCGAAGTTTCGATCGGCAGTCGAATCCTGGCCGTGTACTCCTTCGCGTGTTGAGGACCACTTTCCTCGACGTCGTATTCGCAGCTGTATCCCTTATTCTCAAGGTAGTTTCGGAGCGCCTTTTTGGGGTCCGCCCTGTAAGATGCGTCCGGATCGACGGCTCTCCGCACAGTCCCATCCATGGTAGCTTCGTCAATCTCTTCTTCGTCTACAGCGTCCTCCTGCATCCCCCTGGAATAAGGCGAAATACGTGTTAGCCAACATATTTAGGAGAGTAATATGGAGAGAGATCATGCTGCATACTTCGCTTCCTTACCAATTAAACTCCCTGTTATCGTTGCCCATGTCCACTTGCTGAGCCCTAGATCTGTTTTGTTTTTCAATCATAGCAGTGACCAGTTTCCGATCCTCCTCCTCTTGGTCCACCTCTTCTTCTGTCTGAAAGAGATATATCCTGGTACTTTCTCCGAATCGTAGCTGATCGCCCGGTTTAAGCGAGACATGCATACCAGGCGGAATTTTAGTCTTGTTAAGTTTCGTGCCATGGCTGCTGTTGAGGTCATAGATGAAGCTCTCTCCGTTACTCTTGAACTGGATCACAGCATGATACCTTGAAAGCGACTGCAATGGATGACGAAACACGATGATAGACATATAATCGCCTGTTAGAAGATGAGCCAGCCTGACATGATCAAGACAAAACAAAGAAAAAAAATAGCCTTACAGGATGCTCCATCTCCAGATCACACATAGGTAAACGACCAATCGTAAGATACTCCTTCTCCGGCGCCTGGATTTTGTCGACAATGATTCCATTCTTGATGACCTCAAAGTAGAACTGCTGATTCGGATATCCACTCCAGGCTGGTTTTTGGTACTTTAATGGCGGCACATTAGAAGCTGAGGATTTCGAGTCCTTGGCAGGTGGTGCTCCCTTCTCTGCTTAAATCGATGTGGAAGCTGTGTGAAAATCGATCGATCTTTATAGCAATATATAGGCCAATTGAGGATGCGGACAAAACTTGCTGGAGCAATTACCTGCGTCACTGTCCGTGGTTGGCTGTCCTTCTTGTTCCTTTGGGAACAATGGAGGAGGAGGAAGAGGAGGAGGCATAGCTGCTACCTTCTTGACGGGTAAGGAAGGCACAGCAAACACAGGCTTGGACTTTTTCTCCTCCTGATTGGTCATTTCAGCATCAGCCTCCGCCTCGACATTGCTCTCGGCGGCAGCGGCAATGCTACCATCGGAGCTCTGTGGGTTACTGGTTGACACTTCAGGGGTTGCAAAAGGCATTCTGGAAGTGGTGTGGGATTTAGCATCAGAGCATGCTGCAGAGGAAAAGGTCTGATGGACGCACGTGACACCTAACGCGAACAGTTGAAACGTGGCCGGAGAAACGGGCACTGTACACCATAGCCAGATTGACAGCACGATGCCAATTGAACAGAGACCCAAAGCGACAAGGAACTGGCGGACATTGCATCTTGAGATGGAGCGCAAGAAGAAGCCCAGTTCATCGTCCTCATATATAATTTGGATATCCTGGGATCTGGCAGGGGAATAGAGGCCGAAGCTGGGACATTTTTTATTATTGGTACATCTGGTTGTTAGTTTTTACTCTCGGGGAGCAACAAACTGAAGCCCATGAACAGACATGCCATGGACACATATGGGCTGAGACGCTCGCCTAGAATTACGGGCAGATAATCGAAGAATTGGTGTGGATCTGGTTAGTATTGTCGTCACCACTCTCGTCGCCGATAACAACCTCGATGCCTCCTATTTGATAATGGAAGAGGTCCTTACCTATCCTTGCTGCTTTCCAAAAGATGCCGAGAACCCTACAAATAAAAAAGGTAGTGCAGTCTATCAATTTCTGCAAAGCTGCAAAGCTGCAAAGCGTGATTCCTGGTTTCTGTAGACGCTGAACCATGCGAAAGCTGTTGTTTTTGCTGCAGAAAGTATTGGAGACGTACCCAGTTCTGTTGCGATCAAGTAGGCGTGTCTGGGATTGGACGTAGGTGCATGTGCAGATGACCAGGAGGATCACCAGAAGAAGACTTTGGAAATTGAACAGGGCAGACTATGGATGGAATGAAGACATGCGAAAGTGTGTTATTGCCAGTGCAAGGTGCTACGCTTCCTGCTGACCCTGCCTCTTTGCTGGATATCGTCCTGTTATCCGGCTTTCCATGTGCAATCGGTGCTTTACCATCCTCGGGTCGAATAGCTGTGGTAGCGGGAAATGGATGAATGGTGGAGTGGAGGTTGATGGCAGCGGTCAAGGTAAGTGCCAATATCACGTGCAGCAATTGATCTATACCAACAAAAAAAACGCGTTCAAGTTGACCAAAGGGCTCCCCCTGCCAGTCTATCGTGCAGTCTACTGTGTAGAATAGATGATCAAGCCGCGTCTTTTTCCGCGTGGGTTAGGGATGGCGCCGAGGAAGACTCCAATCAGAGCAAAGAGGCAGAGCACGAAATCCGCTTCGCGTCCTTTCAGAGCCGCTGGGTTCTGTTTGGCTCTAGCCTTGGCCGCTGCTCTATATATACATGAGGTGTAAAAATATGTTAGGAAAGGCGTCTTCGTATCCTGCCCTTCATCCTTGGTCCTAAACACACGGTCCAGTCGCACTCAAATCGTGAGAAAGACGCGTCAGTGCGTGGTGTCTTCCGCCTGGAAAGGCTATTTCAGCAAAAGAGGCGGTGCTTTGAAAGAAAGAATGGTGTAGGTGTAAGTAGGGATCGAAGGAGGGCATTAAAGGGTGTCTTTTGTTTCTGTTGGGTGAATATCACGCGTCGAACCTATCCTGTTGAAAGCCGAGCCCGTATAAAAGGTCTCCCTTCCTGCTCCGTCCCACCTCTGCTCTTTAGTTCATCCCACACCCTTTCTCATCAGCAAAACATCTCCACTTTTTCATCCCATTCATTCACATCAGCCATGGCAACCCTTACTCCTGCCCACGCCCACACCTCCAGTCAACAGCCCCACCATCCGCACACCCTCTCAACCTTGGTAAGTGGCCATCGAAAGATATACCTATCAATCGTATCAGGCATCAGGACCTATTGGCCACATGCAGGATTCATCGCGGTTGTAAATTGTCTATCAATGGCTGCTGTCGAATGCCCAGCAAGAACGGACTGTTTAGAAACGGTCAGGAGTGGTGCGAGAAGTGATCAACGCTGAATGTTCTTGTCCTAGAAGAACTGAGTGGATCAAGTCGGCAACACCGTCCTTTAGTTTTTCAGCAGCATCCGTTCATTATCTTGATTAGAAATCGCATCATCGACGTTTCATTCTGGTTATCGATCACGATTCCCGGTCTTCTGATCGCTTAATAACTCAACGTTATAGGACTTTCAAGGGGCGAGTAGCGCGGCAGCAGCAAATGCTATGCGCACAGAACTAAACCTATTGATTTCCCGGGTCAAGGATGAGGGCGAAAGACAGGTAAATGAGCTTTTTTTTTCTTTTTTTTTTTTGCGAAGAAGATCGAAGAAGGGTCAAAGAATAGGCCCAAAACGTTTGAACAACTGAGTCGTTTTCAGTCCCACAGCAATTGTTCCCATGGATGGGCATGGTGCCGGCAGATCCCGACGATATGTTCCATAGCAATGAGCCCGCGGATACGATAAGAGGCCTGGCTTGATGAAAACCATCCATCATTCATTACCAGGGATCTTTTTCGTTTATTTTTGATCCCCCTCGATCGCGGAAATTTTAATTCTTGATTGTCGATGTTAATGACGTCGTCGAAAGCACACAAATGAACCCTGCGGGTGATTTTATCCTTATCTTGTGTGGATGGGGTCAATCAGCAAAATTCTGAGTGCGCGAGATAGCAGAATAACAAGCACAATGACATTGAAAATCCGTACGTCTCTTACATCTTATCTTCCAAACTATGTAAAATATAGCAATTCGCGACTGAAATGGGCAACTTCTTCCTGCTCTTCAACCGCTGGCTGGGCGAGCGAAGCAAGGGCACAAAGATCAACTGGGACAAGGTTAATTCGCCTCCCGAGGACCAGGTCGTGCCCTACGACAGCATCCCCAAGGTTGAGTCCAGCCCATACCTCAACAAGCTTGCCGTCCTGAAGCTGAACGGAGGTCTTGGAACCACCATGGGCTGCGTCGGTCCCAAGAGCGCTATCGAAGTCCGCGATGGCATGACCTTTTTGGACCTCAGTGTCCGTCAAATCGAGGTATATAAGCCGGTCTCAGAGGACGTTCGGTTATCGACGCAACTGCAACGTGAATGACAAGGCAAACATTTGCTAAGCAAGGGCGATTTTTTTTTCTGGTCTGTCTCTAGTATCTGAACAAGGCCAAGAATGTCAACGTGCCCTTTATCCTCATGAACTCGTTCAACACGGATGAGGAGACCAAGCGTATCGTGCAAAAATACACTACCCACAACATCGACATTTTGACCTTCAACCAGTCCAGATACCCTCGCGTCAACAAGGACTCTTTGTTGCCCACTCCCCGCCGCCCTGACAGCGACATTGCGGACTGGTACCCCCCTGGCCACGGAGACTTGTTCGACTCCCTCAACAACTCGGGACTTTTGGATAAACTGATTGAAGAAGGCAAAGAGTACGTCTTTGTCTCGAACGTCGATAACTTGGGTGCCACGGTCGACGAGGGCATTTTGAACCACATGGTCGAGTCTGGCGCAGAATTCCTGATGGAGGTCACCGATAAGACTAGGGCCGATATCAAGGGTGGTACGCTCATCGACTACGAGGGCCAGATCCGTCTGCTCGAAATTGCCCAGGTGCCATCGGAGCACGTCGAGGACTTCAAGAGTATCAAGAAGTTCAAGATCTTTAACACCAACAACCTGTGGGTCAACCTGAAGGCGATCAAGCGCGTGGTCGAGGACAAAGAGCTGAGTCTCGAAGTCATTGTCAACAACAAGACAACGGACTCGGGAGAGAAGGTTATCCAGCTCGAGACGGCCGTCGGTGCCGGTATCAAGCACTTCCACAACGCCCATGGTGTCAACGTACCCCGTAGCCGTTTCTTGCCCGTTAAGTCGACCTCGGATCTGTTCTTAGTGACATCAGACCTGTACTCGCTCAACCATGGTGAGCTCTCGATCAACCCCAAGCGCATGTTCAATACGGTGCCCTTGGTCAAGTTGGGAGATCACTTTAAGAAGGTCAACAACTTTTTGGCACGCTTCAACAACCCGCCGCATATTCTCGAGCTGGATCACTTGACTGTTACTGGAGATGTGTCCTTCGGATCGGATGTTGTTCTCAAGGGTACAGTGATCATTGTCGCGAATGCTGGATCCCATATCGACATTCCTTCGGGCAGTATCCTTGAGAACAAGGTTGTCTCTGGAAACCTTCATATTCTGGACCACTAAAGATGTTGACATCGCTGCCGGTCTACGTGTAGTATTATCATGCCTTGAATAAAGCATATGCAGTCCTCGCTCATACTTGATGCGTTTGCCTCTGTAACGTAGTCCCAAATGGGGCCCGTGTCATCTTTACTCTACCTGATTTTATGCTCTTCTAACCCTTGCCAGGGTCCTACAAGTACAGCAATGATGACTTTTAAACCCAAATGCCATTTTCAGGGACCATTCCTCATTCGTTCATGCATCTCGAGCACTGGTATAGATGTTCTCGCAACAACTTTACACCGGCTTGAGATGTTGCCTGAAATTTATGGAAAACATGTCCTTTCTTCCGCTCTCTGTTCCTTGCTGCTATCTTCTGCTCCTTGTCGTATGGGATGTGGACTATCACAAAACATATCCAAGCACTGCTTTGGCCATGAACTGCACTCATAAAACATAATAGGCTACATGTGTACAAAATAGGTGTTAAACCCGTCGGTATTTTGACACCAAGAGCCCGTTCTCCAACGGTGCATGCGGCGATTAATAGCAAAAGGGCTACTAAAAATAACTACTAAACCTTTAAGCTATTGCCCACACACCATACAAATAAAAAAATAAAAAAAAAAATCGGTTTAGGTTTCTTGTTTCAAGTGGTTTCTGCCTGAAATCCTACGATTGATGGGGATACCTTTCAGTGCTGTAATAGGGTGGGTTTGAGACGTGTGCGTGGGCAGGAACAAAGCAAAGCCAGGGGAAGGGGTCTGAAACCCTATGCCCTGGGGTGTGGGTGTGGATAGGTGGCAATATAACTCAATGCAGTACCAAGAGGACGCCAGTCTGCTCTGCCTCATTTCTATTTCGAGATCTAGTCCATCTAGACCACAAGGGCCATGCTAATCTTGTCATAGCGCCGTGGCCACAGGATCAAGTTTCCTCCCGCGACAACGAGAAAGAGATATATGCACATCGACGCGCCTCGATGTCGCATCCAACGTGATGTAAGAGAAATGCGTGAGGCGGTGTAGGACGACGACCCCGCATAGCCTACAGCGCCAGGCAGCTAGATGACCATGAGGATAGGAGTGGCGGTGCTCGCAAAAATCCTCATAGAGCGACAAGGGTCTTGGAGGAGGCGTACCTAGACATATGTTTAGCCGCTTAAACTCCATGTATTGCTTGCACTGTCCGCGAGGTCGGCCTTGGTGAAGGCCCCCCTTCCCCTGCTTTTAATAAAGATGTTCTACCATGGTTGCCCCACATAGAGGATAGGTCCAAAAAGGAAAAAACAGACAAGTGATTGAAAACCAAACATGATGTTTGGTGGGATGAATTTAATGGGTGATGAGCGATTAAAATGAGGGGCTTCTGAGAGCACTCTTAGACTTACTAAACTAGCTACCATGATGCTTTACAAAACTGTGTTCTCTGTTTTTCGTTTATGCTTTGTCACCCAATCCTTAACGACTCTCGTGTGTGTTTGTGTGAACTATGGATTGTTTGTGCTTTACGAATGGTATATGCATGCGGTGGTGTGAATGTGGATGCATGCTCTGCCTCACTATTTAAAATTTGTAGCACCAGGCGTATGTCTTCTTATGCATCCCAACGTCGAAAAAGTGTTTTTATACGCGGTTTAATATCGACGAGGAAATGCGCAACAAGGAACACATGCAGGCCCTGACAAATCTGTATCTGTCAAAGACGGCAGCCATATATCGGTCGGTTCTTTAAAAAGATGGAGTTAGCACCAGGAATGGGAAGGTACACGCCCTAGACGATCGAGCAATTCTACGCTAATGTCTCCTTGCGGTGGTCACAGCATTTCTTCCAGGAACTAGCGCTACACAAAAGGACTAAACTGACAGACACGATTAGCCGCAAAGACAAGCCAGCAGGCCAGATGGTCGTAGACGCAGGACAGGCATTGGGCGCATCATGACCGTTTGGAAGAAAAATAAAGGACGTTGAGGAACGTTGCCTTTGTGTTGCCATCAGATAAATGCATTGAGAGCCGCCAATTTCCCATTAAGCCTCTCCTTTGGTTTCCATGGTCGCGCGATCTATACTATCGATTTATGCACGAGGGAAAAGGTGTTGGTACGGTAGATGGGGCTGCATTATCGGGCCCGACAAAGGCCGTCTGGCGACCGGTGCGGCATCCTGTTTTTGTCTCTTGCTAATGTTAAGCGGTGTCATTGATCGACCTTGGAGAATTGAGGCGCCGCGACTCTATACCCTGGTCGTCAGTAGTTGCTTGATGTTTGCTTGCCGATACCATCCAGGCACCTTTTTCGCTTATTTTTCTTCATCCAATAGACCTTCTTGCCGTTCGATCTTTTTTGACCTTGCTGCACTTTAAATGACGGTTGCACACGACTTGTGCAACGACAGATGTTTTTACTATTGAAGCAATGGTATATGTCCCCTTGTCTAAGCTTCTGCCCCTGACATGGAGTAACGAGTGGGAGGCGAGTGACCCACTGCACGGCCATCTGCACGGCCATCTGCACGGATGCCAGAATGTGTTTTAAGAGTCATCGTTATGGAAAAAATACGGCAACCTCGCATCATTGCTGGTTGTTTCGGGTTCCAGAGAGGGTGGCAGATACACTCAGGATCTTCGGGTATATATTTCCGTTCCGTGTGGTTTCGAGCTGTTTCCCGATTGTTGTTGCTGCGTAATTGTAAAAAGAGGAAGGTATCTTTATACCGCTATAGCTATGGTTACTAATGATATGAGAATGATGCGGACAGAATAAAGGCACGCACAAAGATGGCTGTGAAAGAAAGAAGGGTAGAGGAGGGGTAGAGGTTGATACTCCACGCTGATCTCCACGGCCAAGGCTACGTTCTTTGTTGGGAAGAAGCACCACAGCCTCAGAGATCATACCGCCTTTGTTTTTTGTTTTTGTTTTTTTTTCTAGAAAAATATATTTTCGCCCAAGTCTGCGCCCATGACCAGGAGTTCTTTGCGTATAACCAGAGAGTGTATCCTCAACTTGCTGGTTCCTCCAATGGCACGGACACGCAGCAGGAAAAAAGTATCCAGAAACCCCGGAAGAGCAATTTTGATGAGAGCAGGAGTGATATCTTGGGCATTCTGAGCAGAAAAAGTATTATGAAGTGAGCACACAAACCCTTCCGCGCGCGTCGAGGTTGTGCGTGGTGCCTGCTTTGAGGGTCTCTCCTCTATCCCCAAACGGGGTCGAAGGCTGGACCCCTGTACATAGCCTGGCCAGCCACCGACATATCCGGAATGTAGCGGGTGAAGGAAGGTCTAGCGAGTGAAAGGAATGTTCTATTTTTTCAACAGCAGACAACCTAATGGAGCAATGGGGAGACTTTTTTTTTTTTTTAGGCGCCAATAAACAATCCAATACAAAATAAATGAATATGCAGCAGAGTAACATCTGATAACGGTGGGCCTCCTCTTTTCTGTCTTCCCGCAGGTGGTACCTCTGTCTTCTGTGGCGCACTATTACGAGAACGAATCGAGTCGCAGCATCGCCGTCTGTAGCCGTGCAGCGTAGTCGTCTGTAAAAGAAAAGTACGTCTCAGCTATTTGAGCAGTTTAGCGCCTAAACTACCCTTGCCTATTCATTGCCTCTGATTACTCCATAGACTATTAGGCTATTCAGTGCTCATCATAGTCCTGCTTGGTAGGTTTGCTGGTGTGAGCATCCAAAATGGTACAAAAAGGACCCCTTCCTCCCTGTTCACCTCGCATTTTTTTCTTCTTCTTCTTCTTCTCCTTCACTCTTCACTTCATCATTTCCACGACCCTCCCTACGCAACCGCATTTCGCAACCGCTGCCTCTCTACTCCACCTTCCTGTAACATAATACACGCGTAATCATCATGCACCTCAAGTCCATTGCCACCGTCCTCGCCGTCGCCGGCCTCGCTGCTGCCCAGACCAACACCACCGAGCTCAAGCACGGCCAGGCCCACGTCGATATGAGTATGTCCAACAACCCTTTAAAGGACCTTCACCAACTGGAGTGACACATTCCCCAACATTTCACGATCCAGCACAGCAAAGCAAGGAAGAGGGTGCAGCCATACTCGTCGTGTCTTTCCCCCTTATATTTGTGAATACAGCCGTTTTCGGCCAAGTGACACCACTCTCTTGAGTGTGAGGGGTGTTCGCTACATTCCTGCTTGGTTTCACCGCATCTCTTGCAATACCTGCAATACCACATCCTCCAGCATGCAGTCTTTCATGCTACCAAGGGGTGGATCCATGGAAGCCTTTTTTTCTTCTCTTTTTTCCTTTTTTTTCCCTTCACCTTCAACTAGCGTGGTTCTCAGCCTTTTGGGTGCATCTCGTCGCTGGCGATATGACAGCGCTGATGCTAATTTTATCATTGGCAGTTTAATTTACCTCCCTGTTTGTCTCTGTGCGACCGTCATCCGTGGTAGCGCACTAGACCGCTTTCCAAAGCAGAGAGAGCAGCTCTCATTTCAATCATCTATTTGTCGTCTGCCATCGACAGATACACACCGCATTCTCATCCATCCAGCCTACACCACAGGAACACGTTTTCTAACCTAGCATTTCCTCAACTTGCAATCGAATAGACGGTATCGATGCCACCTTCACCTTCGACAAGGTTGCCGAGGGTATGAACATCACTGTCAGCGTCGCCAAGGGTCTCACCACCGGTCTTTTGATTCAGACCACCCCTCCCCAGACAGGCTTTGAGTACCACATCCACGACTTCCCCGTCGGCCCTAACAACAACTGCACTGCCACCGGTGCTCACTTGGACCCCGCCAAGGTCGGTGTTGCCAAGCCTTGCGATCCCACAGATCTCAACACCTGCCAGACTGGTGACTTGGCCGGCAAGCACGGCCCCCTCGTCCCTGTCAACAACGCGACCGGAGAGATCCCCACCATCAACTACATCGACAGCCAGCTCAACTTCACTGGTGACGGTGCCATGGTCGGTCGCTCGATCGTCATCCACAACAACGGCACCCGCATTGGCTGCGCGAACTTGGTTGTCGATGGATACACCGTCCCTACCACTACCTCCTCTGCTGGTGCCGGCGCTGGCACAAGCACGTCTTCCCCCACTGCCAGCTCCAAGCCCAACAGCGCTGCCAAGCTCGTCGGATCCGTTGCTCTCTCTGGTCTCATCGCCATGATGATGATGGCTCTTTAAATGGGATCTGAAAGAAAAGGATGACGTTCCTGCATCCGCTCTTCAAACTATCGCATAGATGCATTCATCTCTCCTATTTCTACAACCCCAAAAACAACTACAGCTTAATATCTTTGAGTGGAAAGGGACGAATTAAGGCGTTTGGAGCGACGGCCAGGGGCATGCGAGAAAGACCGAGAACCACAGTTTTCTTTTAAGTCGCCGGTAAAGCGTTTTCGGATGTAAAGAAAAACTGCTCGTCCAACTTGCTGTTCTTTGAATCGCGCTACGCGTCTGTATTCTTCTTTCTTATTCACGAATAAAAACATTTGTATAAAAGTTCAAACTGCCTTTCATGTATAATGACGCAGATCTTTTTCTGAGGAATGTAGTTTGCGTACTTTGCAAATACTACGTGCGTCTAGTCTACTAATCTACAATAGGCACCTGGGATAGTGAGTCACGACGTAATTTTGTTTATATGTACTATCGCCCTTAGCGGGGATCCGAGGCGCGTAACCCTTGCAACTGGGCCACACTGATGCCCTCAGGACTGTAGTCATGAGCAGGAAAGATAGTGTCGACATGGTCATTGAGTGAAATGATCTTGTCCATGGACTTGATGGCGTTGCCCATATGACATGTGCCAATGGGTAATGGATAGGATAGGTGAGGCTCCTTGTAGAGGAACATGTGGTTCTTGGAGGCGTCGCCGATCATGATGGACCGTGTGGGGACGTGTAGAAACGAGATGGACCCTAAAAGCATGAAAGCAGAGCGTTAGACTTTTTAATATGTCGCGGCCTAATGGAATATCATCCTATGTACCTGGAGTATGTCCATGAGTCTCAACCACTTTGACGAGGCCCGAGTACTCCCACTCGTCCCCTTCTCGCAGAAGCAACGTCCTGTGTTCGGGCACGCGTATCTTTGAACCTTTCATAAAGTGCTTCATGATATTGAAGATCCAGCTACATGTAAATATAAGTCCCAATAAAAAACAAGATAAAAAAAAAGTGTTATTGGAAACTACAATCGCTTTTCATTCTGTTCTAATAAAATATGAAGATATCTTACGTATCGCCAGCACAGCACTTAAAACTCATGCCATCGCACAAAAAGGGCTTCTCTTCAGGATGACTGACGACCATGCATCCAGGGTATGCGTCCAAGAGAGCGATGCTGGCGCCTATGTGGTCGAGGTGGGCATGGGTGATGCAAATGTACTTCAGGGAATCCTTGGGGTGCTTTAGAACCGCCTTGACGTGTTGAACGATCATGTCTGCATGCGGGGGTGCCCCCGCATCGACCATGAGCCACTCGTGGGCCTCGGGTTGATCTGGAACAGGGTTGCCCTTGATCAAGAAGGTGGCAATCGGCAATCCTAAGGGACCTGCGGTGAGGATGATGGTACTTCTGAATAGACCCGGTCGGATTTCGAGGTACTCGTCCTGGTCTGGCACAACTTTGACGACGGCGCCCATGTTAGTTGGGTGGTTACAGATGAAGGGATAGGTTGAAGGCAAATTAGAAAAAGAGAAAGGGAGAAAAGAAGAGAACGCTATTAAAGGAAAAGGAGCAGCAATGATATCTACTGGTTTATCCGAATAAGGCGATGGGGCTCGACCCGCCTGGACAGATAGCGATTCTGGCACACACCACTTTAGAGCCTTAAACGGCGCAAAGTATAGCCGTTTATCCGCTCGACTCAACCCGTGAAGGCGCGACAAAGCAGTGCAATAAAGGACATCCATCAGGCACCATCGAATAAATAGAAAACAAGGGGCCAATAGCAGGTTGCTTGAATAAAGAAAAGTAAATGGTATTTGCCCTGTATTCGCATGGCTCGAGATAACTATCTATTTATGATCTACTGGTATACATTCGTCCTTCTATGCCCGACTTATACAAGCCGCGACCGATCAATGCTTTCCGTGCTTTGCACGCGATTGTGGCTGCCTCCCATCGCGTACCCTTGCGAATCCAGCCGAACGTTGGATGCAATTCTATCGAGCAGAACGGTTGGCCAAACGATAGCCCAGATACCAATGGCAATGACAAGAGGAATGGCATCGAGGATGAACAAGTACACTAATATGGTGCAGAAAAAACATGGTGGTTGAGTAAGCAGGGAAAAAAAATAATCAAAGGGCAAGGCAGCAGGCACCAGGGTGTATCTTACATTCATGAGTGATCAGATATCCTTGGTATCCTTCATTAAACTCGACGATACGGTAGATGGATCGAACCTGTGTTATTTCAATAAATCGGTCAGCATTGAGTAAGATACCATGCAGACGACGAGCATGAGACCATAAAGAAGCACTTACAATGATGAACAGGCTGGAGAAGTAGAGTCCTGCCACAATGGTGGCTGTGCTTCGGTCGATCCCCATGCAGCCCCCCCTATCCTGAATGGATTGGGTGCGCCTTCTGTAAGCAATCAGGCGTAGCAAGGTCACAGAGAGCAATACGGTGAAGAGGCAGTATGAGGCGCCCTGGACAGAGACAGCCACAAGGAACAACTTGTTGCCCATGTTGGCGAGTGAAGGATTCGAGTTTCCTCCGGCAGCCTGCATGCCTCCTGCAGAAAGCTGAATAAAGAACGTGATGGCATCCGACCAGACAAAGGTGCGACCAACGATTCGGGGAGGAATGATGGAGAAACGTGACTTTTCCATCTTGGATCCGGACTTATCGAGACCGAACTGTGGATCGACCGCAACGATAAGCCTGCCGTAGAGCATGTAGTTAAAGGCGAGGAAAGCGCAGGGGGAGATGACGACAAAGGCCTGCTGGGCGATATAGGGGACCAACTTGAAATTGTCAGGGTCGAGGGTCAACCTCATGAAGAATCCGATCGAGGAGCAAATGGCGCCGATGGGAAGGCATATGGCCCATTTGTTCCTGTGCCGAATGGTGTAGTATAGGAATACGATGCCCTCGATGGCGTAGAGGATACCAGTGACAAGATTGCCCACTTGGCTAGGTTCATATGCGAGAATGCTTCTGCGTTCAGCCATGGTCGTGTTCCTTGGAAGGAGGAGTCGTTTGAGAAGGAAGAGTCGTTTGAGAAGGAAGAGTCGTTTGAGAAAGAAGAGTCGTTTGAGAAGGAAGAGTCGTTTAAGAAGGAAGAGTCGTTTGAGAAGAAGGAGGAGTCGTTTGAGAAGGAAGATGGATAAGAAATACAAAGAGATTTGTTTGAGATTCGCAGGAGCTGTGGATAGGGTTAATGTGGGCATGGCGGTATCTTTTATAGCACTTCCATCTGTAGCTAAAGGGGCTTTTCCACCTGTAGCTGTAGGCTGATGGTGATGCTAGACCTAATTGCTATTAAGCCCATGGGCCAGCGGCCAGGATCCTTTTTTTACTCGTCCATATCCGCTGCATGTCTGCGGGTACTTGCTCTGTAATAAAACCTTATGAGCAAATACGCTATACAGCCCACCTTGGCGAATCACAACTCCAACGGAGCTGGCCCGGAGAAAGAAAACTTTTGCTCCTTTATCCTTCCCCTCCCCCCCACCTTCTTTCCGATTGCACAACCCCCCCCCCCCCTCTCACACCTGCACTCAGCCTCGCCCGAATGCCGCCAAAGTCCAACCCCACCTCCGCCTCCTCCACCGCCTCTGCTGCCCAGTCAGATAAAGTTATCGCATCATCACCTCTACCGCCACTCAAGCCCAGTAATACACCCACAAAGCGACGCAAACGACCACTCGCCAAGCGCAGCTGCTTCAATTGCCGTGAAAAGAAGGCACGATGTGAGCTGCCTGATATCTTTGTTCCCTCTTCTCAGGAACCTGTTATCGAATCCAAGAGGTGCCATCGCTGCAGTGTCCTCGACATCGATTGCATCGTCTGGGACGGAGACAGAAAGCGGAAAATAAAGCTGCCACAACGCAACCCTGCCGAGGATCTTGGCCACGACGGTCCCCAAAGGAACATTGCCGCCAATGCATCCTGGAGTTCGCTATCTTATCTCGCCAGTGCAGCCGAAGTGGTCGCTCAAGAGGCTGCCTCAGCTTCGCAGTCGTCCCAGTCCATATCTCTACGCCTGAGGCCTTTCTCTGCTGCAGCAACAAGGCCCTCTCGGGCTACTAGCCCTATTTCATCTATATCGTCCTTGATGGGATACTCATCTGAAACGTCAACTGCCACCTCTCCTGGAACACCAGATACTATTTTTCAGCCTTCGCCAGACATCTTTGCTGATTCTCCCTCAACACGTCAAACGCCTTCGAAATACGACGCAGACGCAAACCCCGTCAAAATTCTGACCCGAGATCCCACGCACAGCAAAGGAGATGAAACAGAATTGTCCGGAGAGGGATCAACTTCAGGTCGACCCAGCAAACAGCAAGGGCCTGTATCGCCGTCCATGGTTCGATGTCAATCGGGGTCCGGCAAAGAGGTAGCGGCGGTTCTAAGGTCTAATGACCGAACTTGGAGGTCTGTCTGGCGGCCGATTTCAGTGATCCTTGAATACGCAGTCCGGCAACCCCAATATACCTCTTATCTTGTACAGAGAGTTGCTTCCCCGACTCGCGGCATTGAAGCCGTTGATGTGCTAGACTTGATTGACAGAGAAGAGTGCCTCAAGCTGAATGACTAGTAAGTACTTCAGCGGCATGATCTCTAACTCAAGAGTATGGGCGCAGAGTTGTAACCACAGTAGCTTCCTCCCTGCATTATAGCATGAGTCCTTACTTTGCATGGCATCCTCACCTGCCCCTCCTCAAGACAATCTACGACCTGCACGCTCGCCAACCAACAAAATCGACCCATTTTCTTCTTGCGTCTATGCTCCTCGTAGCGGCTCGACATCGACATCCCTTGTCTTCAGCTCTTATGCGGGCACTCTCGTCGGTGGTCGATCGCTTAGGAACTCAAATGCTGATCTCAGCGACATGCGATATTCTCACGATCCAGGCGTTCGAACTCCTCCTAGCACACGAGCCAAGCTTGATCGGGACGTCTGTAAGCGGTGGCAAGGATGCACAAGCTAGCAGAGGCAACGGTCTTGCGGGAGAGAGCCTGCTGACAACAGCCCTAGCCATCTCACGGGATATTGGACTCGACAAGTCTCTCCAAGCTCTGCACGACCTTCTTGCCGGTCCTAAGGAAAAGATTGCAGACGGCCAGCTTTCGAACTTGTTCAACGCTGCTTCGCTGTGGATTAGCCTGCGACTCTGGGAGGGACATTATATCCATATGAAGGCCGCTATCCGACCGATACGCCATTTTGATGAGCTGGCAAAGATTGCCAAGTGTATGATAGCAATCGATGAGAATGGGGACAAGGTCGAGGGCACGCCTGCCAATTTGGAAGGATTCGTTGCTGGCACAATCGAGTCTCCTGCACAGGACACAGAAAAGATGATTCGTTCAGCAGGTAAATGAAGAGAGCAATAAGCTTATAATATTACCGTACTCTTGGCATTTTTTTCATTCTTTTGTTATATTACATGCCGTAACTAGGTCGTACCATACTTGCTTACAGGATGCAATCCATGGCAGTATATCAAGAGTCGTTGGCCGAGGTGCAAGAAATGATAACAGCAACAGGAGATCAGGAGCATGAACAGGCTGCTTCGCGCGCCAAAGACAAGATTGTTGAAATCATCCTGGGCGCCCTGGATATGCAATTTTATATCGAGCAGATCAAACAAGTGGATATGGCCCCCTATGCCTGGCATCCCTCGGCGAGCTTGGTGGAAGAATGGTCCAGACTCGAATCCAGTGCACTTTTCTCGATACTCTGCACCTTTGGAACGGCGACTCTCTATACCGGACAGTTTGACGGCGCCTTTTCCATCAAGGGATTTGTGAACGCATTACGGAGCGATGAAGATCTGAGGAGGCGGATCTCGGCCGTGGGCTCGAAACGTATGGAACTCTCTGAGGGTCTGCTCTCCTCGTTCGTGTTTTTCAACCGTCGTCTGACTCTTGGTGCGGCAGCAGCCATGACTACGACCTCAAATAGAAACCCGAAAGGACTGATGGAAGTAACCGGAGCCCCTCTTCTTTTGACAAGTGCACTGGTTGTGGACGCCTGCAGGTTGTTTCTTGAGGGTGCAGCGTTTGTGCTAATAACCTATTTTATTATTGACTATAAAGGCGATATAAGATTGTCGCTCATGGTCCAGGCTGCTCAAAGGCTGGACGAATTTGATGGGAATATATATCTCTCGCCGGCACGGTCGAATCCGAAGTCTCGGAACAGCCGTGATGTCAGCCATGAGGAGCAGGACGATGAAGGCGGTCAACCACTGAGTATATGTCGAGTGGCCGCAAAGTACACACAGGAAATAGTAGAGGCAATGCAGAGGTGGAAACTGGCCAGCTCAGTCTATCGAAGGCCCAGTTCCGTCCCTGCGTTTGTCCCGGAGAGAAAACTTCGCAACGAATGGCGGAGGCAAACAAAGGAGACAATGAGTGACGGAGAGGAAGATAGTACGCAGAGAGCAAGTCCTACGGCACCTGTCGTCGCGGCTCCCAGTGTTGCGCAGCCGACACTTACGCATGGACTGGCAAGCGACTGTGTGCGGGACAGGACAGCACAGGGCTCATTCGCAATGAATGTGGACGGAATGAGTGCAGCTCAACGTGGACGTGGCAATATCACGAACGGGTCACATGGAGGGGTTGTCTTCGCCAATGCTGCTGGACCGTGGACAAACATACAGCCACTTACAACAGAGATGCCATTCCCAGGTCATGGGCAGGCTCCGCTCAGTTTTCCATTCCAGTCTTGGCCGCAGGATCCTATGTCGGGGAGAGAACATATGTCCGTAGAACAGCTGCTTTCTGGATCGTTTCCATATGCTACACAACACGGAACAGGCGATTTTGTAGGAGGGTTCAATGACCTGCCCTTGTTCGATTCGTTCCTCGATACACTTTTTCCTCCTCATTAAAGCTTGCCAGGCGCCATTTAGGCACTGCAACTGCTCTGCTTAGACCAGCCCGCACTACGTAAAGAAGAAGGCACCAGATAACGAGGGGATCCTGCTGGCTGGCCTCGCCATAGAAGGCTTAAAATAAGGACTCTCGCTCTGTGTAGGTGAACCATGCGCAACGGCGCAGACAAAGAGGAAAGTAATGGTCGTTTTGGGTTTGATCTCGTTTTGGTGGCAAAGAAAGTGCCATGCGATCAAGGGATCAGGGGCAGGGCAGAGTCGTAGCCCACGCGATTGGAATTTTTTATTTTTTTTTTGTGCTGCCCCAGATAAGATCAACGTGCGATCAAAAAACAAGACTGCCGCCTCTGACTGGTCCAGCGCACAAAGGTTAAAGGGCCTTCTGTCCTCGTTCCCATCTCCATCCCTTTTCTCATCATCTCCACCTTCACCGCCCGTCGTCTCATTCCGGAAAACCAGATCTGTCTGCCATGCCTCGCTCGACCTTCGTCAACCAGGACTTTGTCCTCACCGTCCTTGCCGTCTACGCAGCTACTGTCGCCTTCAACCGCTGGTTCCCCGAGGCCAATCTCGTCGCGGTCGAGGCCCATCCTTCGTCCTATATCCAGACCTTCAAGAGCGTGCCCCAGTCGGCCTTGACCCTCTACGCTGTCCACCTTGTTGTCGACATCATCCGAGTCATGGCCCTCGCTGTCCTCGAGTCCGCTGCTTTCTCATTCGCCTTCATTGATGATGTCTTCGAGCCATTCTCGTACGCATTCTTGGTCTTTTCCTTGATCATAACCACCAAGGATATCCTGATGCTCGGCTGTATTCAAGCTTTCCCCGAGGTCAACGATCTGGCCGCTGCCAAGGTTGCTGAACTGATGCCTTTGGCCGTGATGATGGAGCAAGGATTGTTGGCTGCTGGTGCCCTGGCCCTGGCTAAGGGTCTCTACAGCTGGACCTATGCCATTGGACGCGACAAGCGACAGGTCATTGAGAAGGAGGACCTCAAGAAGAACGAGTAAAGGCAGCGATTGACACCAGATTCGTTGACCGGGGCTCTTTTCGTTGTTTTTTGTTGCAATTGTTTTCGGCAGGTTCTTTTTTTTTTTTTTTTTCTATCTCTAATGTGTTCCAGGAGCAGGAGAACTCGGAAAGGGGGATCATGTGGACGCGATCGGCTATGATCCCTGACAAAAAGATCCCGCCGTGCTCGACACGACGCCAGCAACCTCTAGCCCCTTGGCGGATACCCTCTTTTGTATGCAATCAGTTACTTATCGACAGTCATTAGTAGTTTTTATTTTTGTTTTCTTTATCCCTCTCTTTTTTTTTGCGTTTTCTTGTTCTTGCGTTCATAGTCTTATTCGTTTACACTGGATCCACATTGTACATCATAAAGTCCATTCAGCAGCTATCCATACATCTGTGCTCATCGTATACCAGTCGTCTTTGTGGAACATTTGCATGCATGTGGACAAGGCACATAAACCATGGTCAGAAACGATCCGAGAAAATCAAAAAGAACGGGGCAGGGATGTTTCCATCAGAGCCAAAAATGCTTATTTTCCGCAAGGAAAAGTTTATTTTTCGCTCTCAAGAAGACGGCTCCTTTGCTTTCTTCTTCTTTTGCCTAGCCTCTTTAGAGTCCAATTGCTTGCGCTTATTATTCCCCAATTTCCACTGTTCAGTCTCTGTCAGGGACGATACCGGATCGACAGAAATGACAGCGCGTGTCGTGTTTCGGCGTGTTTCTGCGTTTTCAAAGACAAAAAAAAAAAAAAAAAAAGAGTGGCAAAGAATATTGGCATTGCGGTACAACAGAATGGCACAGGATAAAGCATGTATAAAGACAAAACTGAAAAAGCGTACCTGCATGCATCACAACCGCGCGACAGTGTGAACTCAAGCAGTCCTTTGCAACCGCTTGATTAAGGCCAAGTAGTGTCCCACTATACCAAATATACCGATAGGAGCGCTTGCGTTAGGATGTATTGACAATATCAGATGTAAGATCAGAGAGATGAAAGGAGCTGCGATTGATATACTGTACAAATTCACAATGTCGTAGGGCCCCCGCAGCTCCATGGCCTTCATGGCCTGTGAGCTCAGAATTATGTTCTTCCCCCTCGTTACACGGATCAAACTCTGTGCGTTGCTGATTAGATTCCTCCTCGCATTCGTGTCTATGAGGAGGACAACAAAAGGTTACCGTCAGGATCGATTCCTGATTAATCTCAATCATGTCATAACCTGTTCGATGTTTTACCTCGAATGGCAGCACTATAGCAAAGCTCGAAGTAGATGCCCCGTTCTACTGCCAGTCCAACGGTTGAATGCTTGAGATAGAATGGTAGCCTTGCGGACATATCTAGCGAGATGATGTCGACCTCGAATGTTCCACATGCAGCCTGAAACAGCTTTTCGTTCGTGGGTTGGACAGCAATGATATCATATGTAGAGACCCCTGGATTGCCTGTGTTCTATGAGGAGAGCAGGATAATAGCGGGTATATGGTTTAGTTCTTGCTACTTTAAAGCCTGGCGCCTTGATATCTATACGCAGAGATTGAGCATCGATGTGTGCGCGCGTCCTTACTAGTCCATAGTTCTGGCTGATATCATCCACGACCAATGTTAATCTAGAGTACTGCTTCAGGTTAACTCCTGGAAGGTTGAGTTTCGTGACGGGGTTGACCTATGTTGTGGGTGTCCATAGTTGTTGACACTGGTTAATACAGCGAGATCGACGTCTTCTGATTGGCCTATGCAGCGAACGAGCGAGTCCTGGGACTATACATGGTTGTTTGGCATCTTTCCAGTGATCTCATAGTTGTAGGCGATAGCTTGATATCCTACTGTCAATCAAAGAGATAATAAGGACGAACAATTGTTGGTGAGTGCACAGGGCCGGTGGTTAATTAACCTGGTCGTATCGAAGGTCGCTGATGCCACGTCTTAATGTAGCCCATGAATAGATTTTGCTACCGAGACGGCGGCGAATTTCGCTTTGTCAGGAACGTACAGTGGATAAGCAGTTCGACCCGTTTCCTGGTCTCGAGTTGCTCTTGAGCCGCTTGGGCTGATCCCGTGGTGGCAGAGACTGGCAGGTTGAGATCGTAAAACATGGTGTGGTATAGATGTGAATGTGCTATTGTTGTTGATGAGAGCCTCTCCCTTGTCCTTTGTGCTTTCCCCTCGACTGTAGACGGATTCCTGGATGCTGTTTGGGCGTGTCGGCGATCAGGATTGAAGTCCAACCTATTGGGCTTCGCATTTTTTTTTTTAGGTGCTTGGGTTATTTGCACTTACAGGACTGTGCTTTGTGCACCCATGCAATTGAGGAATGTGTTTCCAGGAAGAGTGAGCTTCTCCACTCAAAACTGCTGCGACAATTCTTTGTTTCGCGTGCCTGGACCTGGCTCTCAACTGCACCCTCCTGCACCCTCCCCGCTTTCAAACAACTGCATTCCGTGTGGGATTCGTGTCCTTGGTGCGCGTATATAAAAGGGCATTGCATCTGCCTTCCTTCTCATCCACATCCTCATCGCCCTCTGCAGCCCTCCCCTTTTCACTGGACTGCACTGCACTGCGCTTCATTTCACACCTCATACTCGCGCTTATACTTCTCTATACTTCTCACTTCACTTGACTCGACACCCTTTGGCTACTTAACCAGTCTCTCTCTCTCTTTCCTTTCATTCGTACTTTGCTCAGTCCGTCAGCACGACCATGGCAGAGGAAGAGCAAGTCTTTGACGTCGAGGCCCTCCTTGACGACATTGGTGAGGAAGGGTACAACCACACAACGCAAAAGACATCCTCGCATTTTATCCATGCCAAGCAGGTTCTCTCCGAGCTGAAAACCATCGCGTCCTTTCCCACGATCGGACCCTGCGAGCTCGATCTCCGTCAGCGATGGGCCCTCCAGATGAGTATTGTCAAAGTGGTAGGGACATCACACGCTCTCTGTATTCTATTGTGATTGGATTAATGGGGAACCAAAGTCGAGCTGTTGCTTTGCCCAATCTTGCTCTGACAACTAAACACGCATTTTTTTGTACACAGCTCAGTGAATATCAGTACGATTCATACCTTCTTGACCCGTCCCTGGAGGAGATGGTGACAATCCTGATTGCCCCGATCCGCAAGGTCGTCCACGACGTTACCATCGGAGACTTCAAAGGCCAGCCTATGAACGAACACGGCCACCTGGTGTTTTATATGTTGTACTTCATCAGCAAAACGCGTGGATACAAGACCGTTGGTAAGCCGGAATGCCTTGATGCTATTCTCAGGAAGAGCAGCAAAGCCGGTTATTGATGGCTGAACTCGTTGCCGTTTCTACATCCGCATAGTGAAATTCCTCCCGCACGAGGTCGCCGATGTGGAGCCCACGTTCGAGTTCCTGAGGATGCTGAATCTGCGTAAGACTCCCTGGGAGACCCGCTACGTGCTCCTTATCTGGTTATCACTCATGTGCATGATCCCCTTTGATCTTAAGAGCATCGACAGCCAGGCATCCAAGGCGAGCGACAGAGTACGTAGCCAGGATCATGAGATGCCTCAGCTATCGCTAAAATGGTCTATTTCGCGAACTAATGTAGCTCGTCACCATCTTATAGATTCCTCTCGTGGACCAAATGATCGAGACCGCAAAGACGTATCTCGACCGCGCCGGTAAAGATAGGGATGCCGCCTCGCTTTTCTTGGCCCGCTTGCTAACAAGGTAAAGCGGTACAGCTGCTGTTCCTGATAATCTAATCCATACTCAACTGCCATCCGATCAACGTGCCTGCCGATCTAACAGTAATGCTCATAAACCCCATAGGAAAGACACATGCGACCTTTATCTCCCCGAGTTTGTCGACTGGGCTAAATCCGCCCTATCATCCAGCCCAATCATCTTCTTGGCCATCGGCCTCTTGGGGACACTCTGCTGGATCTTCAAAATTGGTCAGCGTGAGGTGCTCTTGCCTATCGCGGAATCGCTCGAGGATTTCTTGGTCTTTATCGAGTCCAGGGAGCTATTCATGTCCAACTCAACCATGAAGAAGCTGATTGTTAAGCTGTCGCAGCGTGTGGGTCTTTGCCTGCTGAAGCCCCGTGTAGCTGCATGGAGATACCAGCGAGGCAATCGATCTCTGGCGAGCAACCTTGGAATGGACCTCGCCTTGGAGGCGGGTAAGCTGGATAAGATCTCGACAGCCATAGCGGAAGACACAGAGGACGACGAGAACTTTGATGTTCCGGAGGCGATCGAAGATGTCATCGAGCGACTGATGAACGGTCTTCGCGACAGGGTAAGCATATCGTTGCTTATGAACACACCAGAATGTTTGTGCATGGTGTTTTTTTTGCACTGACTAACCATATATCCTTCACATCCGATTCTCATCAGGACACGATCGTGCGTTGGTCAGCAGCTAAAGGGATGGGAAGGATTAGCAACCGCCTGCCAAAGGATATGGCGGACGACGTTGTCGGCAGCATTTTTGAGTTGTTCTCGGAGGACGTGTTCGAGCTTCCGAACGGCGAGCCAGACGTCTCTTCGGTGTCGGAACACACGTGGCACGGCGCCTGTCTGGCCGTTGCGGAATTATCGCGCCGAGGCTTGCTCCTGCCGCACCGTCTGGCGGAGCTCATCCCATGGATCATCCTTGCTCTCAGATTTGATATCAAGCGCGGGGCGCACTCTGTCGGAAGCAACGTGCGCGACTCGGCGTGCTATGTCTGTTGGTCGTTCGCTCGTGCCTATACCCCGGATGTCCTTGACGCCCATGTGCGCAAGCTCTCCAACACGCTGATCGCAGTTTCGGTCTTTGACAGGGACATCAACATCCGCAGGGCCAGTAGTGCAGCCTTCCAGGAGAATGTTGGACGTATGGGCATTTTTCCCCATGGTATCGAGATCGTCACCGTGGCCGACTACTTTTCAGTGGGCAATATCAGCAATTCCTTTTTGACCGTTGCACCCTTTATTGCAGGGTAATGGACCCTTTTTTTTCTCCTGAGATTACTTTGTCTTGGAGCTTTCGTGATCGAAATCGCGATATTAATGGCCAATCTTCTGGTGTCCTTCTCTGGTCTTAGGTTCCCGGAGTACCGACGCTACCTCTCAGAACACTTGCTAGAGTTCGTGATCCCTCACTGGGACATTGCTGTGCGAGAAGTTGCTGCAGAGTCCATGGCAAGGATCGCGGTCCTTGACCTGGACTATGCCTGCAGCGACATCATACCCTCGCTCGTAAGTGAAGCTGTTGTTTTGTAATGCTCACTATGGACCAGGCATGTCCGTGCGGTATTCTGACAGATGATTAATTTTTTTTCTTTCTCTCGGGATTTTACAGATAAGGATGGCATCCAGCTTGGATTCAGCGATTCGTCATGGCGCCTTGATTACGCTTGGAAAAACCTGCAAGGCCGTTAAGGCGCACTTGTCGCAGCCGCTAGATCAATGCTTTTCAGCCGAAGCCCTGGAGGTAAGAGTCATCACTCATGTTTCTATCGATGGCGGGGCAATCCTATTCCGACTGTTAAAAATCACCTTACTCATATCATACCAACTTGGGGGGGTTTTTTTTTCTGATCTACAGAGCATTGCGAATGTTGTGCCGTCTGTGCCAGAGTTTGCGCTGTCAGGATTTGGAAGCGAGCATATCCGACAGGCGCTCTGCGTCCACATCACTTCCCTTTCAGAGGCCGCGTGGCCCATCAACGCATCCGCGATTGAATCCTGGAAGAACATTGTGTATACAACCCTGGAACGCGTGGAGGAGCCTTTGCAGAAACTGGCATCGGATACATTCAGGGCGTTCGTTGTACAGTATGGTCTCTCGGATTCGGAATTCGAGTACTGTCTCAATAAGGCCTCGCCCCCGCCTAATACGTTCGTGGATCGTCTGGGACAGCGCGGGTTCGCGTTGGCATTGGGCGAGATTGATTATCGAGAGGCGAAGAATGTAGGGTGGGTCAGTAGGGTCGTCGAGGCCTTGGCGGTCACTGCAGACCATACTTCGGCGGTGTTTGCGGACGCGGAGGCGAGAAGAAACTCGGTGAATGCAGTGACGAACATTATCAGAGTCCTTGACCGGAAGTATCAGCAAGGTATGGTTTGCCTGTAGGGCTTGCTAATGCATGATTTATGGTTTAGCTATGAACGTTGAATTACATGCTAACCGCAGTTTGAATGCATATCAATAGTAATCTCGCCTGAGCTTTCCAAAAAGATCCTGGAGATTTATTTCAAGGGTCTGGAGGACTACAGCATTGATCATCGCGGTGATGTGGGTTCGTGGAGCCGGGAGGCGAGCATGTTGGGTCTCGAGGTCATGGTCCCGCTCGTAGCCCGTTTGGATGCCGAAGCCGAGTCCTCATCCTCGTCTGCCGTACGCTATCTGTCTGACGAGGATCATACGCTGGCATTGAGTAAATTGCTGCAGCAGAGTGTTGAGAAGATTGACAGGATCCGAGCGTGTGCTGCGATGGTCATGACGACGATCCTCTATACGACCTCTGCTGGTCCTTCGTCGACTCCAGCGGAGCAGGAGGTGGAGCAACAGGAGCTTTCTTCGGAGTATGTGTTGCGGGCGGCGCATCGTGAACAGGTTATGCAGGTGCTGCCGAAGAACGATGACATGAACTGGCTGCAGGCCTCAGAGGTGTACCCACGAGTGGTACAGCTGCTGAATCTGCCGGAGTATCGGTCTGATCTGCTGGTGGGCTTTATTGTCAGCGCAGGAGGCCTTACAGAGTCTTTGGTAAGTGCGGAGTAAATTCTGTGGTGCGTTTTATAGCAACCACGACTATGGAATGATTAGTTGCTAATATGTATGGATGTATGTGTTTTACTTTTCTGGCATAGGTTCGGCACTCGAGTGCGTGCTTGACAGAGTTTGTGTCAAATTTGCCTATCACCAGGAATGATATGGAGACAGACAACGATGGTGATTCAGCACCGTACCTGACGCTGGTCGAGTTTGGGAACGAAATCATGAAGGTTGTGGAGAGATACGAGGGCCAGGACCGTGTGATCGTTCCGCTGCTCGAGGTTCTGGATATGCTGTTTGAGTCTGGATGTATGCTGATGATGGAGGGCGAGTATGATTTTGCGCCGATGGTTCGGTTTGTCCGTCGCCAGACGATCAAATGCAAGGACACCCGGAAGCTGTCAGCGAGTATTCGAACGTTTTGTGGACTCTGCGCGTTGGGTGGGAAGATCAAGAATGCAATCCTGTTGGAGTTGCTCCGGCTTTTGGTACATCCGTTCCCAAAGATTAGGAGGACAACGGCGGACTCGATGTACTTGATGCTGAACGTCGACGAGCCTACGCCCGAGACTGAGAAAGTTGGCGAGATCTTGGTTAATTCTGACTGGTGAGCTGCACAACTGGTGGAAGATTTCAGTTTTTTATTATTATTTTTTCCCTCGTTCTATTGAAGCGTCATGAAAGACTAACACGTCCTTCCGGGGGGTCTCTTTCTTTTCTTTTTTTCTTTTTATGTGCTTATAGGAATCAATCAGTGGCGATGTTGACACCTCTTCGCGACCAGATCTACCCGCTTCTCCATTTGGAGAAGCCAAAGCCTGTCCCAACAACGGCTGCTCTTCGTGCCAAGTAATTTGCTACAATGAAATGTTTTGGCACCTTGTAGTCTTCGAGTTAAATAAAGAGAGTTGTCGCTGCTTGTTCGACATCTAGTAGGTTATCATTCGTAGTGTATTCTTTAATGCCGTGTATTGTCTGTATAAAAGAAAAACGATAGAAAAGATGGTATAATTGAGCATCTGATGGACGCTCATTTTCAAACCTGTATGTTTGTTGCCAAAGAAAAAACATATGTGCCATCAACTCAAGGCTCAAGGCTCATAGTAGTAACACCGGGTCTTCTCGAGAATCGTCTCCCGGATCTCTCCCCAACGGTCCCAAGGCTGTCGGACTGTTTCCCACTGCGTGGCACTATAGGTCATGATCGCTTGGAACTGTCGCTCGCTCAACAGGCCCTCCCGATCCAGTGCTCGAAGAATCATCTCCTTGATCTCCCATGGTATGCCTGCAAGAGTCCCGCGTGGGCGTGGGCTGCTCACACCGCCGACCATGGATGAGATATCCGTTTCTTGGCAGCTGTTTGAGGCTGCCAGGGCCTTCTTCAGTTCGAGGTCCGAGTCCTGACCGAGTGGAGGTGTCGGCAGTCCCGACTGGGCGGGGATCACGGTGGGTGCAGGTGAGGAATCTAGATTCGTTCCAAGATTCAAGTTCTTGGTCGTCTGTTCCAATCCGTTCATGTCCTTCTGACTGACCGCGGAGTCATCGTCGCCCGGAGAAACTAAAGGCGAAGAGACTGTCAACGGAGAGCACGGCGATGACGAAAACGACAAAGACAGTGATGGCATCAGCCCAAACACGGTTTCGTCCTTCGCAAACATAATCACCCTGGCCGTGACCAGAATCTCAAAGCACAGCTTATGGAGCCGCGTGGACCGCTTAAGATTGTGTCGGACATAGGTCTTGAGGGTTGCCAGCGCCAAATTGAGCTGCTTGCGTTCTTGCTCTATATCCTCCTCGTTCATCGGCATGGCTGCTGCTGCGGCGGCTGCGTCCTGCATAAAGAGTCCCGGTGTTTGGGGCGGCTGTGGATGTGGTGGGTGATGAAGTTGTGTATGGAGCGATTGCGGTGTTGCCACCTGGAGCGGCTGAGCGATCGCGGCATGCGTCGGCGCCAGGACTTCGCCTACATGACTCTCGGTCGGCACCAAGAACTCGACCGGATTAATAGTTGCGAGCACCTCCGTCGTGTTCTCAAGCATCATCGACTGTTGTTGTTGCTGCTGCTGCTGCTGCTGCTGTAGCAGTTGCTGTTGCTGCAGCAGCAACTGTTGTTGTTGTTGTTGCTGAAGCCGCAATTGATGTTGCTGGTACTGGTATTCGGCCTCGCTCGCAAAATCTGGAAACAGCCCTCCACTATTTGAATCTCTAGAGACCACATGCGGATGCCCATCCATATCCAACCTCAGATCCAGCAATGACGTATTCGTCCGCATCGCCGAAATGAGCGCCTCCAACCCGGCCCGACTAAACGGTATATCATTCTCGCTCAAATCCAGTTCCTCCAGATAGCTGTTCAAACATAATCCCTGGCTCAGCGCCAAAATCCCCATATCCCCAATACAATTACATCCCAATCCGAGAACACGGAGCGACTTGTTCACGCTCAGCTTGATCGCCAGCTTCAATATCCCCGCATCCGTGAGCTGGCAATCATATAGGTTCAGGGATACGATCGGGCAGTGATGCGATTTGAGCGCCTCTGCCAAGTAAGGGATTCCCACATCCGTAACCTTGGCGCCTCGAAGATCTAGATGAGTGACCCTCGATTGTGGAAGGACGAGGATCTTGCAGATATCGACGCCTCCGGCAAACGAGAGCGGGTTCGCCTCCATGTTGATGTCCTTGAGCGTTCGTTCGTTCGACTCAAAGGCGGCCAGGATCGTGGAGGCGCCCCAGTCTGAGATTTTGTTGAAGGACAGATCCAGATGGGTTACACAGGTGCCGGTGATGATCTTGGCAATGGAGATGCAACCGACATCGTTGACGTCGTTATTGGAAAGGTTCAGTCGTCTGATATTGCACGCCTTGTCCTTCTGCAGTCTCACCAGAATCTAGTTCGGGACAAGACCAATCCAAGGGTTAATCACTGTAAAGATGATCTCGGATATAACTTTGCACATTGAAGCTACTACATACCTGCTGCAAAGAATGCACGGCTTTGGGTCCCAGATGATTTTCACTCAGATCCAGCTCGACCAATGATGTGTTCTTATACAATCCCGAGAGCTGAACGATTCCTTCAAAGCCTAACCGGTTGCTTCCCAAGTTGAGGTACTGGATCCTACAGGCCCTGTCCGCCATCAATCCTCCTACCGCCTGTGCTCCCCATGTGCCAAGGTTAGTGTCCCATAGGTTGAGATAGATTAGGCGCGAATAGTACCGACTGAAGAACAAGTCGTGGATTACGATGGGCGATACGACGTTCCCAGCCAGGTTCAGAGAGATGTCCGGCCCGCTATGATGGCTCAGTCGTCCTTGTAAGTTCTCCTCCTCCATGTCTGCGCTCTCCAAGAATTCGTGTTTAGATCCAGGAGGTGGCGAGAGTAACCCCAATGAGCTCGAATGTCCGTTAATCATATCTTGTGAGGTGGTCTCCTCGTCATCCTCCCCATTCTTGTGCTCGTGTTCGTGTTCGTGTCCATACTGCAGATGCAATGCGATGTCAGCATCCACTATATCATCTTGCTCTTTTTTTTCCATCATCGCATGAGCCCTACTGTTCGCAACCATGATCAACGCAGACGCAGACGCAGACGCAGACGCAGACGCAGACGCAGTCGTTGTTGTCGAAGATAAAGCACCGTTATAAATAAGACAGTTCGCATCATGGTCGAGATGCGACACAGAGCTGCATCGACAATGGTTGTGAATTTTTGTCGCCTGTTGGTCCACACCAACGAGATCCTCGTAAAGACTCCCGTTCAAAATCGTGAGGGCCTCGACGATGCTCACAGGCGAGACATGGTCGTCATAGAGGATATACTTGGTCTCACTCGGGGGCAAACACTCCTCGTCGTCCCCATCATCATTGACGTCCCCCAGTATCCCTTCCTCCTGCAGCAGGTCTTGCAGGTCTTGCAGATTGCGTCCGAGCGCACCCTGTGCCGAATTCAGGTTCAATCCCAGAGATAAAGATTGGGAAATAACAGTACTGCCGCCAGCTGCTGCTGCTGCGACGGCAGTCGATTCGAGGGAGAGCATCTGTAGTTGAAAGGATTCGGCCGTGACCTCTGGGGTGAGCGTGTGGGACGAATTCGCTGTTGTTCCTGAGGTCGAGGGCATGTCTGTGTAGAAAGGCGAAGAGGCGTGATCGTTGTACAGCGGGTCGGATGCGTGTGCGTGGTGGTGGTGAGAATGAAGCGAGGCCGCGAGCGCAGCCTCGACATGTGCCTCCTCCCTCTCAGCATCCTCGAGGTCTTCGAGGTAGCCCTGCAGTTGCATCTGAGTGTGGAGCAGAAGATCGTCCTTGTATTGCTCGACCTGGACATCTTGTAGCGTTGCGGTTGCAGCGTCTGATGCTGCTTCTAGTGTATCGGTGGTGGGTTGAGAGGAGGAGGAGGAGAAGGGCGAGGCGGCAGTATGGGCGCCAGGCCACAGCGGAGGGATGGAGGACAAGGTCAGGTTGGGTTTTGCTCCGGGGGTATTATCGCTGGAGGCGGCGGTGCTTGTCGCGCGTGAATGGCCAGGGGTCGACATTTGAGGGTCTGCGCAGGTGTTTTAATGTTTTAAAATAGAGGGGAAGAAGAAGGACGAGGGAAGAAGATGAGATGCCGGAGATAGAGAGATGCGGGTAGCGTAGACATCGATGTGTTCATATGGGGGAACAGGCATTTGAACAAAGGCATTGGACACCATTCTGAACAGGCAGATGGGCGGTGAAGTGTACCTGTGTGCTGCTTGCGGTTCTGCTTACCTGGAGACGGTGTCGAAGCCTTGTCTCCCTGCAGAGGAGGAGGGGCGGCGGGAGGAGCAGTAGCGGTGTCTATTCCTGGCGCTGGAGCTGATCCAAGAGCGGAGCAGGAGAGATGGTTCGTTGTGATGCCTGTAGAGTCCATCCTGGCGACATGCTCCATGGACTTTGCTGGGTGCGAATCGAGAGTGATGCTGAGACAAGGGACGAAGTGGCCAGGGTGAGATAGAGGGTTTGGTACAGGGTCCTGGGGGGAGAGAAATACGCTAAAAGAGCCAGGCGGCAGTGGGCGTAGGAAGGGGGAGTGTGCGAGAGAGAAGCGCGAATTATTATTTTTTTCCAGTTGCGCTCTCTGCTGGTACTCTGAGGGAGAAAAAGGACAACAGGCGTAACGAGGGACGTTGCATGGCCTGGGATAGATGGTAGTCTATGAAGAAAGCAGGGTTGGTGCTGCTGTGTCCGAACGGGAAGAAGGAGAAGGATAGGATAGGATAGGATAGAATGAGCCAGAAGAAAAACAAAAAGAGAAAAAGAAAAAAAGGTACAAGGTACATACATACCTTGCGATGTGTGTACAGAAGGGGTAGGATGAGGCAGGGGCAGGGCAGGGCAGGGCAGGAGTAGCAGCCTCGTGGGGTCGCATACATTGAACCCCCATCATGATCAGGATTCCCTCAGCACATCTCATCCAGATCAAACCAGGCCACTAATCAATGACCAATGACCAATGACCAATGACCCATGACTAATGACTAATGACCGAATAGAAAGAAAATGACCGAATATGTGCCAGTGAGCGAAAATGAACGAATAGCCCCTCGGGCAAATACAAAAAAAAAACCTTCGGCCCCTCCTCCCAATGGGGGAGGGAGGGGAGGAGGAGGAAGGGACGGACAGAGGGTTTCCCAGCATATAAACATCGTGTCCAACGATGCAGCAGATATGAAAGAGGTAAACAAACGGAGGAGAAGGGGGAGGGGCCTCCCAGCGCAGGTGGGATGGGATGGGGAAGGATGGGGATGAGGATGAGGAGAACAGGGGATGGGTGTGGGATGGAATGCATCCCTCTTTCTGCGAGGATGATGAAAGGGGGCGGTGCCGAGTGCAAGGTGCACAGTGATGAGCTGCGTGTGTGGGTGTGTGGGTGTGTGGGCGAGAGAGTGCTGTGCCAGACCGCGGGCCACGATTGGCCAGGGCTTCGTTGTTTCGCGCACCCTGTTCGCATTTGGAATGGTGCGCGAAGCTAAAGCGCGTCTTTATTTTTTTTGGGGGGGGGGGGAGATAAACAAGTCCTACTGTACTATGACGATATGGCACATATGCCCTGTCCTGTCATATAAACCGCGATAGACTACCACGGATCGTGGCATCGAGGCCGATTGATCGACAGTCCAGATCTGAGGAGGGGGCTCGGAGTACTCGAGGGAGAGTCAGTCACATGGTCTGGAGCTACCCTGGCTCCGGTTCTAGTGTACCCTCGAGATGCAGACAGGAAGGACGGAAGTTCAGCAGTAGCCCTCTAATCCGAAGTTTATGCGTGCCAAGGTCAATAGGGTTTGCCAAGAAGGAATGCAAGAAGTAAGAAAGCAAGAATGCAAGGAAGAAAGCAAGAAAGCAAGAAAGCAAGAGAGCAAGAGAGCAAGAAAGAGGAATGGAAGAAGTGGCCTGGGCTAGTGAGGATTTGGGGGTGATGGTTGCCTTTTGGGGAATCCATTTCGCCGAAGGACGGTGTGGGTGTGTGGACGAACGCGTATTTTTATATGTTTACATTATAATTTGTGAGTGAGTGAGTGAGTGAGTGAGTGTGTGGGTACGGCGTACATGTACATGTGCGATACGAGTGTTCCTTCGTCGTTATCAGATTTCGGACCTTATCTGATGCACATCCTTGGCATCACACAGCGCCCGTCTGCAGCAAAATGTCCACACACCTCCGCCGCATGTGTCCACCTGCAGCTGCACAAGGGAAAAACTATGGAGGGGGCATCCACATGCTGCTGCTGCTGCTGCTGCTACCTGTCGGCGCATCCAGTCAATCCCCCCGCTGCTACTGTGGGAAAATCAGACGCCTCAAAATGGAAGAGAGCAGAGCAGAGAAGGAATGACATCGTTTTGTCCATAAATGGCCAACCTGGCCTCTCTCTCTCTCTCGCCTTCTTCTTCTTCCTCTCCTCCACTCTCGGCTCCTTCCTTTACTCCTCCACTACTCCTCCCCACTCTTTTCTCTCCCTCTCTCCTTTGCCGCCCTCGGTATTCTCATTCACCCCCTAAAAGGTATTTATTTTTATTCTTTATTCTTTTTTTTTTTATTCTTTTTTTTTTTTTTTATTCATGGTGACACAACCGCCCCATCGTCCCCTCTAACCAACCACTTCCTCTCCCTCCTCCTCTTCTCATTCAACTCATTCAATACAAGTTAGCCATGATCATCACCGTCGCCATCGCCCTCAACCTCGTCAAGGGCCTCTTCCTCGACTCACCCCCCGTCATCGCCGCAACCCCCGCTCCCACCGCTCCTAGCCTCCAAAAGAACCAAGATGCTCAGAAAGACAACCAGGGTAACCAAGACAACCAGGACAGCCAGGACAAGGAAGACAAGAGAGATAAAAAGGACAAGAAGGACAAGAAAGACAAGAAGGACAAGAAGGACAAGAAGGACAAATCATCCCCACCTCAAGAAGACGAAGACGAATCCAACATTCCCTACATTTCCGTCTCTGATTGCCACGCTTGTCCGACTCCCTGTCCCGAACAGGACCACCCACACTACCCCTCCTACCTCAAGATCGATCACGAAACCCCACTCCTCCACTCCATGCGTCCCTACACCCGTCACGTCCTCATCTCCACTGGCAAAGATGACTGGACCTCCAGCATCGACGAGGACAAGGAATCTCTGGCGCCGTATCTGCAAAAGGCTATCGACGAAGGTCAGGAGCGTCTAAAGGCCGAGAACGGAGGAAAGGATTTACCAAGGATCGTGTTGACGAATTCTTCGAGAAGGAGTGAATCCTGGGAGGGGCCCGGTTGGCAGGTCATTATCTTGCCGGATCATATTGTCGTCAATAACGTTACCGAGGACCAATGTGACGATTTCTTCGAGGCCTTTCTCAAACCCGCCGTCGGAACCGTGGACGAGGGACATCATGAAGGACACGGACAACAGCACCCCCAGGACCTGTCTGTCGAAAAGGATTCGGATCAAGGGGTCGACCCTCAGAACGAGGGTTCAGCTCGCATGAACCGATCCACCTCAACCTCGACCTCGACCTCCGGAACCAAGACCACTACCACCACCACCACCACCACTACCACAGCAACAATCACCTCCTCTTCATCGTCGTCGTCCGGTAGTCACGACTTTCATCACTCCCACACAGATCAATCCCGCGAGGTTACTGCCGGCAAGACCACATTTATCGCGCACCGGTGGCAACCCAAGGCCGCCATCATGATCTGCTCCCACCGAAAGCGCGACAAGCGCTGTGGTGTCACCGCTCCGATCCTCAACAAGGAGTTCAAGCGGATCTTGCGGTCCAAGGATATCTTTGGCGATGGAGAGGGCGATGTTGAGATCTGGTTGGTCTCTCATATTGGAGGACACAAGTTTGCGGGCAACGTCATTGTTCACAAGAGCGAGGGCATGGCCGTCTGGTACGGTCGTGTGGAACCTTGTCATGCCGAGGCCATTGTTGAGAGGACGATCGAGAAGAGTGAAGTCATCCGGGAGTTGTACCGTGGAGCCATGGTCGGTAGCTTTAACCACTCGAAGAAGAAGATCGCCTGGTGAACGTACATCAGAATATGTGTACATGTATGTGTGTATGTGTGATTCTTCTTTCACACATTCATACAAGTAGAAGGAAGCATCCATCGAATTATTCACTGTCATACTTCATATCATCTCTTTCGCCAAATTAAACTAGTAGTTTGTATTTTAGTTTAAAAACAAACAACAAAGAACAAACAAAACAAATTACAACTCCAAGGCCTTGACGGCCATGTCCAAGGCCCCCTCTTTAGTCTTGTTTCCACCAATGAACCCACCCATATGGACAAAGACCGAATTTGGAATCCCACTTCGTTGACTCAATTCCTCATCTCTGTACCCTCTCCACTCCTGCGGCAACGCCTTTCGGCACTCGAAACTCTCTGGCGAGGGTGGCACACACTGAACCCGCCACTGTCCATTGTCGTCCGGGTACAACACATAGATCGCCTTTTCTGCCACACACAGTTCCTTCTCCAGGTTAAACAAATGTTCCTTCCAGGGGCAAGACTGCTCGAACACCAGAATCTTTCCTGAAGGGTGAATATCCATCCGCTGATCCAACGCCTTGACGACCAGATCGCGTGCGGGTAACCAGGACAGGCCCAAATAACGAACTGCGTCTATGAAATCCTGGCCGGTCATGCTGACGGCCTTCAGGAACTGAGCGTCAATATCGACATCCTTTTGGTTCCACCAGGGGTTGAGACCCGCAACGCGTTGAGGGAGAGCAGTGCCGACACGGTACTTGGGTTTGATGTCTGCGGGGTACTGCGAGATCCCGTTATCGCCGCCGTCGAGGGCTTCGACAAAGTTTTCGTAGACTTTGTTGTACAGCAATTCAACCTTGCTGTCGGATTCTTCAAGGTTAAGGATCGAAGCAATAATCTCCTTTCCAAAATGCCTAGCAGAAAAAAGGAATAAAAATAAATAGCATGGGATTGGGTTAGCGATAGACAAGAGAGAAAAAAATAAATAGCCCCCTATTTTTTTTTTTCGGTGCCTAGCCTCGAAAATCGCAAAAAAAAAAAAAAAAGAGGGAGGGGGAAGATTGATTAACGTTACTTGTAGACAAGACCGGCACTGCTGAGCTTGGTATCAAACTTTCCGCCAAAGACCTCGGTGAAGCCACGCTGGTGATGATCATAACGATGGGTCGCAGGATCGTACACACCCCCTACATCCACCACAATGTCGCATGTTGCCAACTTGGTCGAGTCGCGCGTGCGCACAAGGTCTATTTCAGACGAAATCGTTAGAGGTATTGTTCCAAAACAACAAAAAAAAAAGGCATGCGCTGTCTAACAGATAGATAGACAGACAGACAGACAGACAGACATACCTGCGTCTTTAAACTCCTTGGTCTGGCGGAGCATATGGACTGCAAGGGCCTCATCGCAGTGAAAGTGTCCGTTATGGGTGCCAATAATCTAAAACAAGCCGTAGTCGTTTATTTTTTAAAGAGTTGTCCTGCAAAAAATATTCACTGTAGCGTGTCCTCCTGCAGTTGTTCTGCATGTTCGCCTCTTCTGATTCCTTACTTTGGTCATGATGAAAGGGTAATGTCGAGAAGGAGCGAGATAAGAGCGTAAGGTAGATGGACGAAGTGAATGAAGAAGGGTCGTAAACATGCTAGGAAGTGAAGTGAAGCAGGCTCAAAGAAAGGAAAAAAATCCGAACATCCATATTTGAAAGCAGTCCTTTTGTTTACAAAGGGTATTGTTTCGCTGAACCTGATTCGATGGTCCGTGTGCTGTGCTGCCACGCTGCTAATCCTCAATTGTTCAGCAGAGCTAGTCCAAAACGATATGGGTGTCGAGTGGCATGGCATTGTATGGCACCGGCATCAACTTGCATTGTTTGTTCATTTTATTGCCATTTCTTCCCATTCTTCTTCCTATTTTTCTAGGAAGCAACGGATATTAGTTATCGATATAGCTGTGATGCGGTTCATTGATCCGTAGCTCCGCCGTCTGTGCCTCAGGCCCCATCGTCTCCTCCGCAGAGCGCTCTACCGTCAAATCGATTTCGCCTGCCTCTCCAGTCCGCAGCGCGTGATACTTCTCCTTCAACCCAACAACCCCGGTCTCCGTGCGGTAGCCCTCTGTCCTCGTCCCTGTCTCAACTGCTGCCATCACCAACCCGCCTTGTCCGTACGTCTCCATATCCTCGGGCACATCTGCCTTTGCTGATGGTCTATCATGCACCTTGCTCCTCTCCATCCGCGGACTTTTTTCTGGGGAGCTCAACATGCCATGCTCATGCCCATGCCCATATCCATGTCCATGATCACTCTCGCCGTTGACTGACTGGCCTTGTCGTTGATGCTGCGCTGGCTGGTGTGGATCCTCTAAAGTCGGAGAGGACATGACGAGATCAATCACTCCCTCTTGCTGTGAATGAGGCCCAAGTCGCTCCATATTATATTGTGAAGATGATACTGGCTGTTGTCCAATTACGCGATGGTCATCACGCGGGGACATCGAAACCGTCCGTGGTCGAGAGGACCCATGTCCATGTTGCTGTGCTGATGGTTGCTGATGATGATGATGGCTGTTGCTGTGGCGGTAATGTTGAGAAGAGTGGCTCGAGTGCTCCTGATAAGGATGTGAAGAGTGAGATTGAGAGGCATTGCCGTGGTGGTTCATACCCGAGTGGTGCTGAGAGACCCGATCAGGACCTATCCTGTCTGACATAACTGAACCATACGAGCCCTAAATGTTTGAAATATAAAAATAGAACAGACATCAGTACATTGCACCATTGAAGAAATGCGTGCCATGCTTACCATCCAATATCTTACATTGTCAGTCTGTGAATATTCATGCTGCCTGCGCGCCATCTCTTCCCCACGTCCTTCGTGATGATGATGCATCCTCTCACGATCTGCGTGCACATCATGCCTCGTGCCGTCTACGTGTCCATAGCTTATGCGCTCTCGCTCAGAACCATATCCTGCCTCTATTCCTTGAGACGATTCATGGCCGTATTCCTGTCCGCTACGTGGTGCACCAGATCCAGAGTGCATAGAAGACGATCCATATCCGCCGCCACGTCCGGAAGGTACCAAGGCAGACCCATCCTCGTTTCTGTAAACCGGTTTGCGAGGCTGGTAGTTGCTGCTTTCACGAGCGCCGCTCGTCAAGTGCGTTGCTGAAGAGTGTTGCTGCTGTACACTTCGTGGCTGGTACCCTGACGCGCCATACTCACGTTGCCGGTGACTTTCAGACCGTGCGCCTCCAGGCCCCGAAACTGACGGGGGCATGGAGGAATGGTGTTGGTCCTTAGATCGTGAACTCATAAACTGCTGCGGGACCTGGGATGTGTATGCTTGGTGCTGAGTATGGCTATGGTGACCACCCGAACGCGAGCTCACACCAGAGTGCTTGGATGCATGTCCAGACGGTCCGCCGCTAGCCTGGGCCCCTGACACGGCCACAGAACTAGTTGATGACGGGGGAACGCCTCGCGACAAAGTATTTGTGGACGGAGAAGACGAAGGGCCTGGACCTGCGTTGCCGCCAACCCAAGATCCATGGCGTCGTGAATTTGGTACGGTGCTCGAGGGCGGTGGGTTGCTTCGAGATGGCGGTGCCTCTCGGGAGATAAGGGCCTTGATGGTCGAGACATACTCCTGCTTCTTGGAATCCGAGATTGTGGGGTCCAATGTGATCGATCGACACCGCTCCTGCATAAACTGGACATTCCGCATCTCTGGGCACTTGAAGGGCATGTGGTATGGGACTTGGTTGCACACGATGCATGCACCAGGTGTGATGGTCGGTACAAAGGCCTTGCCGATCGACATGGCCCGGAGACTGTCTTGATAGGCTGCCCCACCGAGTCGCGCGGCCGCGGCTGAGAGACTCTTGGCCACCCTTCCCTTTGGTAGTTCTGCAGGCGTGATCTGCTTGTCGAGCAAGAATCGGTCCAGCGTTGCCAATGCCAATGCCTTGTAGTTGTCTGGATAGTTGCTGGTGGCAATTTGCTGTCTCCGCTCCAGTACTAGGGGTATATCTTGGCTCTCTGGACAACGGTCTCGGTGGCTCCGGTGACAGACGAGACACGGCTGGGGTTTTCGTCCTGCCTTCCTATTCGCTGCATCCATTGCTGACACACTTCTTCCGCCCGGCATATTACCGGGAATTGGCTGCATTGGATAAGGCGAACCAGGATTTAAGCGCCCCTTCTTGATTTTTCCTCCATGACCAAGAACAGTGCCATCGGGCCCAAAGATCACTGATCCCCGCCTACCGTCTTCGTCCATAAGTTCCATGTCGCCAGGCTGCATAGGAGACTGGTTCGGGTCTTGTGCTGCCATCTTGTTCTTCTTCAATCGCCTGCTCAGATCCAACTCACTCATGATGCTGTTCGGATCAACATCTTCGTCCGACTCAGCCGACTCGACGTCGGACCCTGCCATCTCCTGGTCAATATAGTCCTCCTCTTCCTTTGAGGGCACATCCTTTCCAGCCTTGCGTTTCTTGTTGGGCGGACTCTCGTTGTTATTGCCGTTCTCTGCGTAGGACAGGACCGTCTTCCTACGGGCTCCACGACCCAAAAGTTCCTCCTCTTGAGCATACGCCATGGCCAGTCGATCGCGCAGCAAGGTCGACCAGAATCCCTCCTCCTCGGTCTCGGGTGGAGCGTCGATCGGGATGTCCTCATCCACTAGACCCTTGGTGTCGGTCCAGACCTTTGCGAAGCCAAATCCGCTCACCTTAGTCTCACCATTGTCATTCTCGTCCCAGGTGTGCTCAATCTTGCTACGATCAAGTAGTGCCTCAAGAGCGGCGTCGTCGTACTTCAGGTCTTCGTTAGAAGTAGAGTCCTCCTCGAAAAGAGCTTTGGCACCAAACTTGAGAATACTCTCTACATCCACAGGGTCCAAATTATCGTCCTCCATTCGCTCCACGATCAGATGGTCCAAGATCATCTTCTTCTTGCCGATCTGCACGATTCGCTCCTCCGCCGAGTTTCGTGTCATGAATTTGAGGACCAAGACCTTGTTCTTTTGACCGATACGATGAGCGCGACTGAGGGCTTGCATATCGGCCTTAGGGTTAAAATCGACGTCATAAATGATAATGGTATCTGCGGTAGCGAGATTCACACCGACGCCTCCAGCGCGCGTCGACAGCAGGAACACAAAGACGTCCGATCCTGGAGCGTTGAACTTGTCGATCCTCGCTTGACGATCACTACTGCTTGTGCCTCCGTCTAACCGGACAAAGTTGTACCGCTCCCCATTGAGATAGTCTTCCAAGATATCCAATAACCGGGTCATTGTCGAAAAGATAAGCACACGATGGCCATTCTGCTTCAACTTTGGGAGCATGTTGTGGAGCAGCTCCAACTTGCCTCCTGCCTCGATCAGACTCTTGTGGACCAGCTCCGCCGTGTCGAGGTACCTTGGTTCTACGCCCTCAATCAAATACGGATGGTTCAAACATTTGCGAAGTTCCATTAAGATGTTGTGCAGCGACGCCTTTCGGGTGCTGGCAGTCCCGCCTCGGTTGGTGATCGACTGAAGTAGCTTGTGATTACGCGCCAGGATACCCTTGTAGATCTCCTTTTGTAGAGCAGACATGCCTACGGGCACGATAACCTCGCTCTAATGTAACATTATCCCAAAGCATAGTGTCAGTGTCGGTGCGATGTAAGATGGAGACCAATAGGCTACATTATATGGTTTTATATTAATATACCTTGGGGGGTAGATCTTTGAGCACTTCATCTTTTGTACGGCGCAAAAAGAATGGCTTCAGCAGCTATAATCCCAGATTAAACAAAGCAGCACTCGTTAGGTTCATCTGCTGATGAGTCATACGATCCGATCGCGATCCCGAGTAGTACTTCAAACGACTTACTCCATGCAGCTCTTCCACTGCGGCTTTGTCCAGGTTCTCGTACTTCTTCTCCAGTTCCGTCACATCAGAGAACTTTACTGGATCCAAAAAGTTCATCAGGCTGAACAGTTCGCGGATGTTGTTCTGCAATGGCGTTCCCGTCAGTAGGACCCTATTTTCGATGACCAGCTCGTTTAGCTTGACAAATAGCATACTGTTTTCGTTCTTCAGACGCTGACCCTCGTCCACCACAAGGCACTCCCACGAATTTCTCCGGAACATGGCACTGTCTACAGGGTTGACAATCATCTCGTATGTTGTTACGACTACATGACACTTGAGGTCCTGTGTTCCTCGGTGGAAGAGCTCGTAATCGCGAACAACCGAGCGAGAGTTCTGGGGACCATAGTACGCAACCACTCGCAGATCAGGGGCCCACTTCGCAAACTCGCGAACCCAATTTGTCAACGTCGAATTGGGAACGACGATCAAGCAAGGAAAGGCGCGCAGCTGGTGAAAGAGAGTTGACACAAACGCAACCATTTGAATGGTCTTGCCCAGACCCATCTCATCAGCCAGAATGCTGTTGACATTCTTCCAGTGGTTATATCGTAGCCAGCTAAGCATACGCAAACAAAAGACTTCGTCAGACCGAGAGCGTTCTTCGTACAAATTCATAGGCGATGCACAAACAAAGCAAGAACAAAAGTCCTTACTTGAGTCCATCCATCTGGTAGTCCTTCAAGGTACCGCCGCTCACGAAGGTAGGCTGTTCCTTCAACTCTTCGAATGAAGCCTGATTCGATGGTCTCGGCTGAGGTCCTGAGCGCCCCTTCTTGGCTCGTGCAGGGATCTGAATCTTTTGTGCCGCTAACCAGTCCTTGAATGCTTGTTTGAATGAAGGGTAGTCTGGACTGTCAGGCTCATCAGGATCATCCCAGGTGCCTAATTAAAAAAAGACTTGGATTAATATCCACGCACAGTATATTTCAGCGCAGGTCCTGTGCCTGTAATATGGAAACTTACATTGATCATAATCTAATGACTTCCATTTCACAAAAACAGTTTGGATGTGATCAAGAGCATCCATGTCGTCCTCCGTTCCATCGTAATCAACATCAAAGACGACATCCAAGACTTTGTCGACCTGCGTCCACTCTTGCGGTATTACGTCCGAGATCTCTGCTGGGCCCTGAGTCTTCCTCCAAAATGACTTGACCTTGACCGGCGACACAACCTGACAGACCCAGTAGTACGGCACCCATGTCACCCTCCGATACGACATAGCCTTCCACTTTACAAGAAGCTCCCGTGTAGTGTTCGGTGGTTGTGGGAACGTGCTGCCATCTTTTGTGCCTGTTTCAGCAGCAGTGCCTCCTTCCGACTTGGCTGAGTCGACTGGAGTCATCTCTGTATCGCCGTCCTGTGAATCCGAATCTGCTTTACGAAACGGGACATCCCTGAAAGCAAGAATGTGCTCCAGTTCTCGGTCCCACTCTAGACACTGGTGACACTTCCAGTCCTTCCTATAATGCTTGACGATCTGCGCTTTATCAACCCCCTTGTCCATGGTTGACAATGGCTTAAGACACCTGTCGTGAGCAGTATATGTGCATCGAAAGCATCGAAACAGGATCGAGTCGGCATCTAATGTCGGTTCTGCAGGCTTGGCCGCATCTGGCTGTGATTCTTCTGATGCAGTGCCCTTGTCAATCTCCATGTCGCTCGGTTTTTCACAACTGGTCCCTTCAGACATTCGATCAGACTCTTGTTTGGGAGAACTGGCGGTATCCGGCAGCGGTGTATCGCCGGTTGAGGAGACATCCGTGGCTGGAATTGGTGCTGGCTTAGCTGCCTCTGGTATCTTGGCCGCATCGGGTGTCTTGGCTGCAGTAGCCAAAGGTGTTCGTCCAACCCACTCGTGACACTCTAAACATTCGGCGCCCTTGCTCTTGATGCAGGCCTCGCATCGAAAACCAGTTCCGATGAGACTGTCCGTATACGTCTTTCTCAGGCACGCCCGATGATAGCCTGCTGAGCAGCATTCACAGAGCAAAAGTGACCCCAAAGGCTCGTCGTCCTCCTCATCGTCACTCTTCTTTTTTGTTTTCCTCTTCGTTACCTCGCCGCGCTGGCCGCATCGCGTACAAAAAGGGTGGTGTGCTTGAACAAAGCCGGACTCGGTCGATGTAGCGACAATTGTCTTTTTGGGCTTTGGTGCTGAAGGTGCCTTCCGCTCTCCCTTGGCTTTTAAGGGTGTTATTTCCTCTGAGGAATCGTCTGAGGACTCCAGAGAAGGCTGAGGCTTGACAGTTACCTGGGCTCTTCTGGGATAGCCGCGTGCAGAGAGATTTGTTGTGGGAGGCGTATCCTGATCCTGATCTTGGGCATCATCGCCGCTGGATGTCGCTTTCTTTGCTTTGCTAGCCACTTTCTTGGTATTTCGCGATCCAGAGTATTCACCACCGTCATCAGAGTCCTCACCCTCGTAGTATTGCACATTTGCTCTGGCTTTTGTCCTTGTGGGTCGAGCTGTTACTGAGGACCTCCGTTTAGATGCGTCGCTGTCGCCCTTGGCAGCAGATTTTCGTGTTGGCGGCGGTGACGGCGTATGCGACTTGACCTCCGATTTAGAAAATTGGCTGTGCTCGTATTCCTGAACGAGATCGTCCCATTTGCCGAGCGCTTCGACAGATTCCTAATAAGATAGCATAGCTCATGGTTAATGTTCGGACGTCAAATGGAGCGTGAGCTCGGTGCGGTGCGGTGAGGTCCAGATTACATCCAAGCGAAGCCATTAGCCCCTGATTTTCTCTCCTTGCAAGAAGAAAAATTGACGAGATCCCTTAGCCGAGTGCCCCTACAAGGCGAGTGAGACTACTGGGATAGTGGTATCTGGCGGATAGCAGCGTCCAGTATGTCCAGATGTCGCCAAGATGGGGCCCATAATCGAGGTAGGATCGCGCGGGCATTAGCAGTACTTTACACCAACGATGCGAGGAGCCCCAAGCATTTCGTCCCTTTCTTAGGACCCTTCCTCGCTCACCCCTTGATGTGCTCTTGCGTCATCAGACTGGCCTCCTCTCTATCGCGCGGAGCTCTCCGTCCATTCCCAACTGCACTCTTCTTCGTTGCCCTTTCTTATTAATCCCTTGCTTTCCACTCCTTTTTTTATGATTATTCAGTTAAGCCGATCCCCTTTTCCTATTTTTGCTCTTGCGCGGTGGCTGCATAATGCTCAGCATACATAGCGTACACGGTCCACCCGTTGGATATATCTGATCGTGGGGAAGATCACTGAAATGCGTAGGTGTAGATCCATCGTTGTTCTGCTGGAGCTGATTTTGTTCTTCCTCTGCAAACGCTGTATAGTGGCGTGTCGAAATGATATTCACCCAGGCTGAGACCGAAACCGTGAAGTTCAGTTGTCCAAGATATACAATACCGAGTAATGAAATAAATCCGTCTTACCTCTGAGGTGTCCCCGCTCGCCCATAAGACCGTGTACTTTACAGCGCCGCCGTCGTGGATGGTCTGATCCAGAATCTTTAGCACCTCTCCCCTTGATGGCGATGATTGGTCGTTGAGATTCGCCTCCGTGGCGTCGACCTGATCGCTCTGTTGCAATGGTAGATTGTGTTCCTGAGAATCGACATCCATAATAGACAAGCAAGGCTCTTAAGTGGTATATATGAAAAGGAGGGGCTCGGTTTGAAGAGTAAAAAACGCCTAGTGCGGATGGCGTCCGTGGAGGCGAGGTGTTTGTGCAGTCTATGTTGGTTCGTGTAGGCCGATGAGGAACAGGCACTCAAGGTTAGTTTCAACATTCTAACGTGAGTTTGAGGACTGAGGCGCGCGGGAGATATGAAAGGTATTTGCGCGTGTTTTTGTATGTGTGTACGTGCATTAGGAGACCTAACAGGAACCCCGCGACGCACGGTGCAATGTATGTAGAACAAAAAGAGAAAAGACAGAGACGCGCTTCGAAGTTTCGGTTTAAGGTTGGGAGTGAGGTGTGATTGCGATCTTTCGGGGGAGGTAATCGCTGGTGAGGTCAAGGATGGAGAGGATGAAGGGAATAGCAAAGTAGGGATCAGTCCAACCAAAGGAAGAGCAAGAAAATACGAAAAACGACGGGGCATGGCTCTATGCGCGTATTGCAGGCATTCAGTTGAAGGGGCGCTGCACCGTCCATTTTGCAGACTGCTCTCTCCCTTCTCCTCTTCTCCTGCGCTTCTGGGTAGCCATGGTGGCGTTATCTTCCTCAGAGAGATCCAACTGGGGCCCATGGAAGCAAAAAAGACCATGATCGCCGGTCCTTTCGATCTGGTGGAGAGTGTTACCCCCAGCGTCAGTGTTAATGCCGGTACCAGCGCTGGGTATCAGTATCAGCCCAGTCCAGTCTCAGCGAGGGACCATTTCCCCCTCAGCCTTTGTTCCAGCAATAGGGTGCAGCAAATTCCACACATGGGTCAGAGGGAAAGGGAAAGGGGACCCTGAAAGCAGGTCACGATGTGAAGAAGTAAGGGAGGACGACGACGACGACGGGGAGGAGTCAGACCTGGAACACAGCCCTGGATGCCCAGACACTCGTGCGGTACACACCATAGACCAATGAAAAGATGTATTGCGTTGCATTACCACCATGGTTAGAGAAGAAGCTCCTATTTCGTATCCCAGTCCAACTGATATGAAACGCGATAGTTGATAGTTGGACAGTAACAATGAAAAAACCCAGGCACGCACATACTATATAAAAGGTTGGTGGCAAAACGACGATCAACAAAGCAAAGACGTGAATTCGCATACAGGAACGAGCCAGAAAGAAAGGATATGGACGATGAATAGAGTAGGTCATGGGGACAGCACTTCTCAGTGGAAAAAATAAAAATAAAAATAAAAAAGGCGCGACGACAGGCAGCCAGGGGGCAAAGGCAGGGAGGGGGGGGAGGAAGGAGGAAGGGGAGGGTGTCCATGAATGTGAAGTCGAGATAGACACATGCTTTGCATGATATTTTTCACTGCGGAAAGATGCTTTTGGTGGAACAGAAGCTGTGAAGAGAGAGTGGGTCGCGTCTTTTTTTTCATTTTTTTTTTTTTTTTTTTTTTGCTTACCTGCTGTCTGTCTAGTGTGGATACTGTTCCCTTGTGCGATGGTGCGATGGTGCAATGGTGCGAAGGTAGATCTGGTCGATCGGACAAAGTGGTGGCAAAAGTGTCGAGTGAATGAGATGTTGGTTATGACGACTTTCAGAGAGTCAGAAAGACATCCAGAATGATGGAAGGAAGGGTAGGACGGGCACCACTGCAGAAGAGGCGATGTGTTGGTGTTGAGTAGTGGCGAGGGCGGAGTGGAATGGGGATGGATGAGTAGGAGAGTGCGAGGGCGGGGATCCGCTGTGTGCTGCGATGGTGCTGTGTAAGTAAGTGAAGGAGAGAGGGGACAGAGGGAAGGGGATGTTTCGAGTCTGGAAATAAAAAGGGGAAGAAGGGACGAAAGACAAGAGACGAGGCAAAAAGAGAGAAAGAGGGAGAGATGGTGGGGAGGAGGGGGGATGTTGTGAGCAACAGGGCACTTGGGAGAGGACGGACGGGATCCCATAAAATTTGGCATTACGCAAGAGGGGCGGTTCTTCTCTTCGGACCAGCCTCGTCCTCATAATCTCCTGCTCTGCATCAGAGCAAGATAACCAAACTTGAACTTGTATGTAACACACGACAGGCACAGGCACAGGCACAGGCACAGGCACGACCTCAGAACCATACCAGCCTGAAGAGCGTAGCAACATGCCAGGAACAAACATGCCTCCCACCTCTCTCTCGCTTTATATCTCACATACATTGTCCGATCAGTGTAAGCATACGTTACTGTCCCCGGGTATGCACATTGCTATGGTCCTCATCAAGCAGCTCCCCTCCTCCCCAAGCATCACATCTGGCATCATCCGACCATTATTTCCTCTTTTCTCAAAAAGGGGCTCGGACCATCTGCCAAATGCACAGGAAAGAACGCGCATTATGAACCGCGTCGCCATCAATCCATTGCTTGCCATAAAGTCTTTTAGCGTTGTAGTTGTTGAACGAAAAAAAAGATCCGGTCGGGAGGGGATCCACATGATATGAGGACACCAATAAACATCAATGATTTGAGCGGTCCAATGAAAAGCGGCGATCTGACCACTGTGAGCACACAGTAGGTCTCTCGGTGCCGGCTCGCCGTTACAACCTGGGCGCCGCGATCTTCAAATATCATGTGATTCAGATTTCTTTTATTAAAAAAATTGGTGGCAACGTCGGAGGACGATGAAGAAAGAATGCAAGTTGTAGTTTTTAAGGCTTCGACTTGACGGTCGACTTAAGATAGAAGTTCAAGGAGATGGCAGTAAGCATACAGACACACATCAACGTCGGCATCACAGGCTCGTCTATCAACACGAAGACGTGACAAAAAGCGTTAGCAGCTAGCACTACAGACTACGCTTAATCACGCATCTCGATTAACTTACCATATGGACCTGGATCCTTGTTGCGAAGCATAGTCAGTCGCTTCTCATATAGCCAGATCGAGTAAACAAGGGTAATTAGAGCCGTAACTGCCAAGATAATCCCTGCAAAGCGTCCAATGTTGTCGCCTGCGTTGAAGAGGCCCACGCCGAGGGCTCCCAATAGAACAGCAAAGTTCATCCATTTAAGGAACGTGCGCTCGTTAGCGAAAAAGACCTTGGCCTCGACCTTCAGTGGTCCAACGACCTTCTTAGGCTTTGGTGGAATAATTCTGATCTGAGGAACAGAGTCGTAACGGTCGCTGGGGCCGAGCAGTGGGCTGCTCTCGCGCGAATCCTTGCCCTTTGATTTCCTGAAGACGCCACCAAGTCCCTTAAAGCCAAAGGGCTTTTTGCCAATACTGCTGGCTTTAGATGCAGGTTTTGAATGAGAACTGTACTGGCCGTTCTGCTGGCCGTATTGATTGTCAACGATAATATCCATCGACTTCTGCTTTCCCTTCGACAGCGATCGCGTACTGGCTCCGTTGTCGGATTCGGATCCGGACGCAATTGAGGTGCGACGGCTATTGATGCTGTGTATGTCTGCCGTTGAGTTGGCCCTGCTGATCGATGGTGTGTTGACGGCCAACTGACCCCGCATAGAATCAGTGTTGCGGACAGAGTCCTTCTCGAGTTGAGCAAGCCAGAAGGGCAAAAGGGCCACGTGGCTTTCCAGCAGGACGGCGACACCATGGACATACTTGGAGAATGTCTCTGCGGACTCCACCAAATGGCTGTTCATGAGTTCCTCGACCCATCCAGGCGTAGACTTGCCAGCAGGCAGCTCCAGTTTGACCTCCAGGATTGCATAGTTGAAGCGCGTCATATCCTGTTCGTATGCTGTCTTAGTTCCCATAGGATAATCAATGTCCATGCGACGCCAGTGGTTGCCGGATCGAGTTGTGTTGTCCAGGTTGTCCTCGCGGATCATGCAAAGGTCCGTGTCCAGTGAGAGACGGACGCGCTTGTCGCCTGGGATCTGGAATGCCGTTCTGTTATATACAGTTCTCAAGACTAACATGGTTCAATTCATCAGTATGAACAAACAGTGATGTTAGGTACTAATCATTAGAATAACAATGGCCGAAAATCAGCATTGTGTATTCCGCTTACCTGGCTTGAGCTTCATGTCCACGATACATCTTTGCACGTCCTTGACCATTTCCTCAAACCGTTCAACTTCAGCGGGGGACTTAACTCCTTGTTCTCGCAGTTTGGCAATCTGGCGATCCATTGTATATTCTCCCTTCAAGAAGGCGTCAACGTATTTCTCCTTGATGGTAAAGCGATCGTGATACTCTCCAAATTTGTTGATTTCATGGTGAATCTTGCGTTCGACATAGATTTCATTGTTGGAGGGACTTCCATACCAGCGCAGGCGAATGGCCTGAGCACCCTCCTGACGCTCCAGCTTGCTGCTATACAGATCAAATGCAGTGTTATCGAGGTAGACGGAGGAGAGCGATGGATCTAGCGACTCTGCAGTGTTGGGTCCACGTGGGGTATAAAGGATGACCGGCAGATGCTTGAGGACAGTGGTCTTGACCTCCATGACATTATCTGGGTGAACCCAGAATTTAAAGGATTTGCGGTCGAGTCCCTCCTTGCCGGCCATTGCTGTGAGTATCGAGGGGGTGATGGGCGTGCCAAAGGGCAGGGACGGCGTGCCAAAGGGTAAGGATGGCGTGCCAAAGGGCAAGGACGGCGTGCCAAAGGGCAAGGACTGTGCTCCAAGAGAGTGGTAAAGCTTGGAAAGGCGCACTACCAGTGAATCAAAGTTGACATTGTAAAAGGCGCGCGACTTGAGCTGGACCATGAAGACGGGTCTCAACTTGTATGGCACATTTTTCTGTACGCGCGAAGGAGAATGGATAGTGGTTATTAGAGGAAAGCAGCGGGTTCACACAGTTCGATGTCATTGGTGGTATTTGAAACAGATAGAACACGTACGTCGTGCTTCTTGACGATCTTGAGAAACCCGGCATAGTTGATTCTGCAGTACTTGGAGAGCTGGTTGACCTCGTCTGTGATCTCAGAGATACTGGAGGTCAAGGTCTCAATCGCCTTTTGGTTGTAGGCCTCCTGGAATGTCGCGACCTTGACTTCTGCTTGGGTTGTCCTCTCCTGTAGCTCCTCGAACTTTGCATTCACAAAGTTGAACACCTGAATCGAATGAAAAATGTTGGCATGGTCAGTATGAAGTGAATGAGATCAGTTTTTCGTATGGAACGAAACAAGGAGCAAGGACAAATAGACCGGTGTGCTGTACCTTGGTGAGGTCGCTGTCGATGGTCTCGCCAAACGTGCCCTCGTCGCGCTCAGTCCATCCTGCTGGCTTTGACAGACCGGCCTCCAGCTGCTTCTTCAAGACGTTGTACTGGACATAGTTGTTCTCCCATGGAGGGTAGATGGAATTCTGAAGGTTGTTACCAAACTTCATGACGGAATGGAAGACAACGGCGTTAGGGGTTCGGAAGGAGATTGGTCAACGACGAGAGCAAAGAAGAGTGAAGGAAAAAGGATGATAGTGCGAAGGAAGGGCTAGAAGAGAGGGAGGTATGGGAATGGAATGAGCAACAGGAAGAAAGGAATAAGAAGAGAAGAGAGAGAGAGTGTGTGTGTGTACTGTCGCTCCGAAGAAAAAAAAAAGACTGTGTCCTGTTCCCATCGATATAAAAAAAAACGATCAAAGACCGACTGTTAGCATCTGCCCGCCAAATCCATCCCTATTCACCATCCACAGCCTTCTTCATTCCTGTTGTCATGGCTATAGCGCCCTTGTGCCTTACATCATGATCTCGCTCGACAATAGGAGATGCCACTGTGGAAGGTAATACCCGCGTTTCCCTTTACTATGGTCTGTCAATTTGGCGCGGCTAATGTGTCTTCACATTGACATCCAGGTCGCACCAAGACCAACGCAGCTCAGAGAGAGACGGATCGCTAATCACGATAGCGACTCCCTACACGGCATTGGTGGTCCAGCGGACCCATCTCCTCCCTCCACTCCGACATGTGCTGTCGAAGACATCTGGCCTTTGGAGAAGCGCTCCTGCGTCTGTGTCTGTGTGTAGACCGTTGGCTGTCTGCGGGTGAATAGACTATCACTTATCAGACTATGAGGAAAAAATCTATCCAGTCGCAGTTCTCAATCACACAACGTGCCCCGCTCTGTTGCTGATCCGCAAACTTTCATTTCAGATACATCAACCCGCCAAACTTTTTTGTGTCCAATGCTGATCCTGGGACACCACAGATACCGTAGGCATCATGGATTAACTTCCGATCATCTTCTTCAAGTCCATGCGCAGTTTACTACTGATCTATTTCATCAGTTCGAGAATTCATCTCAATACACTTCTGACGGAGATATCTATCATGCGGCGGCCAAGTAAACAGATATCTTAGTTGAGCATGTCCATACAGATCATCCGTCCTCTCTTTTTTTTATTTTTTATATTTCGATATGCAACATGCAGACCTTGTCAATGAATGTCAAGTGCGTCAGAAATTGCTTGAAGATGTGTGATCAATGAAGAGACAATGAAAGTGGGACCATAAAAATAGATGTAACATCGACCCGTTAAAATGGAAAGAAGAGCAGTGCTGTGCAATACTATGCTAAATACCGGGAACCTAGGCATCTCATTGAACGACTGATTAGTGGCTCTTCCCAGGATTAAATATAAGAATCGCGGAGATCACAACCAAAGACACGCAGGGCTCCAGATCTCGGCATCCTAAGCAGTACCTAAACACCGTCATACATAGCCTATCACACACTATCCGCTCTCTTCGCGCACCTCATCCGATATGTTGAACATGCACCAGGATCGCTTTTCATTGCGAGCACGATCTTAATGATCAGCCAGGTGCTGCAAGCTGATATCGATAGGCTACCGTTACGCGACTAATGAACTTCTCGTATTTGGTGAATCAGACCTAGCAGACAATAGCGCGAGCTGTAGTATTTTTCACTTACCCCCGATACTGAATGCGCAAGAATCTTCGGTGTTCGATGAGTGGGGTTTTATACTGTGGTCTCGCTGTGCAGTAATCGCGACGCAGCTCGTGCATCATAGTCGGCTACTAACATGCGTTTCAGGTACTTTGTGACCGTCATTCTCTATCCCACAACTGAAGACAAAAAAAAAAAAAAAAAAAAGTTGCCAAACAACAAACCAGCAAAGCAAGCGACCTTCGCATCGACAACTCTTCACTCCTTTCGACTCTCTCCTCCAGCATATTCTCCATGGTTACCCGCAACAATATCCAAAGACCCAAGTTCAACCTTCAGAAGCTGGGTCGGGTCAGGAAGCAGGCCCTGAAGAGCAATGCGACATCATACAAGTCCGTTGTCTCAACAAACATCCAGCACGTCCGACGCATCTCCAACAAGAAGGCACAGCAGAAGGGAAAGCAAATGAAGTATATCATGGAAGCGGCTCTCATCAAGTCCGGAGGCGTCAGGGAGGCCACCATGAAGGGTAATTGGATAAATTCAAGCTGTAGCGACGATTTCAGTAGGATTTCTTATGATCACGACAGCACCTACGACGTCTGGCACTAATACACATTTCATTTTCATATCAATCGATATTCCCCGATTTAAATAGAGGCTCCCATGGAAAAGGAAAAAGTCCTTGTCAAGAAGGCTGTCCCATCTGGCCCTGGAACGACATTGGGTGCTCCCTCTGGTATGCATGACATGGAAGCTAGGACAACGCTGCGTTTCTTGTTGCCCAGTATGTTGAAGACGGTTCATTAACTCACATTAATATCTCTTCTCTTGTTACTGGATCCGTTCACAGCTTAAGGAACCAAAGAGAGAGCCATAGAGGAGACTTCTTCATGCCAGGATCGAAAGAAGAATCGATATCAATTGCATCTGCATCTGTCCCGTATTTTTTTGTACCATACATCGCGCGATAATTAAATAAACCATTGAAAAGCATCATTAAAGGGCTACATTGGTCCTGAGCCGCTGTAGTGAGCAAGGGTTGTCAGTGTTTGGTGGCCTTTGGACTTGAGTTTGAGAGGGGTTGCACTTGATTTTGCTCCAAAGGGGGTCGGTAGTGGTGGCTGAGTGCGAGTCCAGTCGAATTTTAAGCTGAACAAGTTTGCTCACATCTTTTCCTCATTGTCCTCAATTCACCCAAACGTCGATTACAACAGGAGCAGGATGCCAGCAGACTCAGTTATTCCTGACATTCCAGGGGTGCCAGTCGACCCCAGGATGGAGAGTATGCTCCGCGAACGAATTTGCCGTATTATTGGAATCCAAGGCAACAGGTAGCGGTCAAGCGCTGAATACCCTACAATTTCAGGGACGGTGTCCATTTAGTCAGCTTGCTGATGTGTAACATCCGTTTTTATTGCTAGGTTTATCGGTAATGAATCCGCAACATTGCTGACTGAGAAGCTATAGTCAGTATCTTAGTCAATAGGGGGATACATGGTGGCACTGACCGTTGCTTTCACCACTTTTGTTCCCTCGACATCCAGGAGCGCAGCCTGTCAGCTTTACTCGCGACACTCTCGTAGAACTTCAATCAGAAAAGTAGGCAATTCTATGATCCAGCGCCTACAGCATACACTTCGATGCAAGGATAAGGAGTGTGCACTGACCACTCTTCAATCCCACTCTCTTTCCCTTAGCTACTTTGTCTCAGAGAAATCGGATGGTGTTCGTGTGCTTCTCTTCTGTGTGCTTCATGAGAATGGTCAGCAGCAAGTCTTTTTGGTACAGATGTCCTTCAGCACTTTGTCAATCGGCCAGAATATCACAAGAACAGGATATTTACGCGGTGTAGTCATCCAACGGCCATATCTAACTCAAAACTTCCATATCTTGTTAACGCTGTTAGGTCGACCGCAAAAACAAGTTCTACTATGTGCCACAATTGAGGTTCCCAGTGGCAAAGGAACATAATGTCTTCCACAACGATACCATTGTTGACGGCGAGCTTGTAACAGATCGGGAGCCCAATGGGCAGTTCGTGGTTCGGTATCTCGCGTTCGACCTACTGGCATACAGCGGCCAGAGCATTATTGCGAAACCCTTGACCAGCCGTTTGGCAGTGAGTTGACCATGACCTATTGTTCTTTTTTGCATCTGGAGTGATTATTAGTCCGAGCTTGCCTGCCAATATCAAACCATAACTAATGTCAACTTACATCTCTTTTGGATCTTTCTTTTAGAGGTTACAATGTGAATTTGTCACACCCTACAGGGAAATGCTTCGAACTGCAAATCCACAGTTCGTTCATTCACAGCCATTCAAGTAAGTGAGTTTTCAGGGAATTGGCGCAGGAGATCACTATTTGTAATAATTTGGCGTTGAATGATAGGACATAAGGTCACTCAAGGCTCTCCTACTTATTGAATGATGTAGGGTCAGTTTGAAGGAGATGAACTTGTCATATGGAATCGAGAAGATGTTCAGAGAGGTCATCCCGAACCTGAAGCATGGTAGTGACGGGCTGATCTTCACCTCGTCTGTTGCGCCCTATGTACCATCCACGAACGTCAAAATGTATGTTCGCAGAATGTAGTATTAACACAAATCAAGGATCCAGCGGAATAACGGTCATGACCAGTCACTAACGCTCTCACCCCATGTTCGCGCCTTGGTACTGATTTGCAGGCTGAAGTGGAAACCGCCAAGCGAAAACACGGTGGATTTTAAATTGACACTCCAGTTCCCGATCCAGGGCGGTGTTCAGGATTTTGGTCAGAAACCGCAGTTCCAGCTTCACGAGTGGCAAGGAGGCCAGCAGTACACTTACTTTGGGCAAATGGTTGTGGATGATGCGTTGTGGGAACAGTAAGTAACAAGTTTACATGATGTAGGAGCGTGTTCTCTTATTGTACTCTTACTGAGAGATCCTTTGTTGATTAATCCACAAATGTAAAAAAAAAAAAAAAAAAAAAAAAAAAAGATGGAAATCAACGCAGATACCACTGCAGAATAGGATTGTGGAGGCGAATTATTCTCCCAATGATCAAAGCTGGCGGTTCTTCAGGTTCAGGGATGACAAGGAACACGGCAACCATACTTCGGTCGTCAGAAAGGTCGTTCAAAGTATTCAGGATGGCGTAGAAGCTGACGAGGTAAGCAAACATTTAACATCGTTGTCTCTTTCTGCAAAACGTATCCACCCCTTCGATCTATTTCTGACTGGCACTATCGTTTGTTGCTTCAAACTAAACATAGTTACTGCGAGCTCAGGATAGCATAAAGGCGGCGTGGAAGGAGAGGGAGCGCATTGCACACGAACAACAACGCCGCCAATAGATGGGTGCGTGAGCTGAGGGCCAATGCTGAAGAGTAGGCCCGTATTTTACTGTCAACATTGTTTACACATATCCGCTACTCGCAGTCTATATAAACGCGTCGAAATGACAGATGCACTGCAAGCATACTCTGATTAGCCTTTTCTCCTTCTGGGCCCTTCAATTCTTAATTCTTTTGACTCGCTCTTGCTCTAGTCACTTTACTCAGTGCTTCCAGTACCCTGACGATTGCTTTTTTGCTTCCGTAAAACTCTGTCTCAAGGCGCGTGCCCAAATTGGCACCAGCTCGTTGGGCAGAAATAGCGACTATTTTTGGAATAGACCCTGTACAGGACAACAAATGCTTTTTCTCTGTATATCTCCTTTGCGTACTGTAGCGCCTTCTTTCCGCCATACTGCATCTCGGCGCAGAGAATGTAATGAGCTCATATTCTTCTGTAATTGCATCGAATCGGATTGTACATGCGCATCGTGTGTTTGCCGCGCACGAAACAGGACCAAAAATGATTTTTATTTTTATCCGCATCCGTCATCCCCAACTCCTTCGCTTTGGTCGCCTTCTGACCCTTCAAGCCTTTTGAAGGCGTTATTGAACAAAAAAGGCTGTTGGAGAGGATGACAGAATTGGGCGCAGACAGCTTGCTGCACCACTCACACGTCTTGAGGTCTTAGGCCGCCAAAAATAGCGGGCCCAAACCGGTCCAAATAAACGAGACATTAAAGAATAAAAAGTGTCGTCCACAGCCATGTAGGAATAGACTATGGCTTGGACCCGAGAAATGTTGCGGCGCGCCGAATTCGGTATGCTTGGTATCCTGACGAACATGGAGAGCCGTCGAGGTTGACACCGTTTCTACAAGAAGAATCCTTATAAATACGGAGGGACCCTCGTCCACGTTAACTCTTTTTACTTATCAAACCCACCAAAACGCTTTCCATCGACCAATTCTTCAACTACCACCTCGCTACTATGTACGCGCGCTCTCTCCTCACGTTTTTGCTGCTCGCCTTCTGCGCTTTGACCAGCGTCATGGCCGCCCCTCAACCCCACCCCTCGACGGACATCCTGTCAGTGACCTCGCCCAAGTTCAACTCCGTCTACAAGGTGGGCCATAAGGTGCCTGTCAAGATCTCGATCGTCAACGGCACCAAGAGCGAATTCTACAAGAAAAACCCCAAAGTGGAGCTGTACCTCCAGAAGAACATCCATTTGCCTCTCTTGAACGTCCACCTCGGCTCTGTCCGTGCTAGGACTCTGCACAAGGACGGCTTCGAGTTCAAGGTCAAAGCCAAGTACCTGATCAAGGAGCAGTCCAATGTCCCCTTCCGTGTCCGCGCCTCCTTTGACCTTGGCGCCCGCAGTGGTTTCGTTGATTCTCCCTCGTTCAAGTTGGTCAAGTAAATAGCAAAGCTGAACTCGAAAGCAAGAAGGCAATAAAAAAAAGCTCCTCAACCACACGATTCTAGTCACCGAAGTGACGAACCGCACGCCCCTCCTAAGACTATGTGCTTGCTAATACACAGAATGTCTACAACTACTCGTCCTGAATTATCTTGTGCCTTGGAGAGTCCATCAACCCAGACGGTGTTTGTCGCTTGACCCCACCATATCCAACACGACGCTGGCAATCTCTGTTACTGCTGCTCACTGAGCAAGGCCTCTCAGTTTGCATCCATGAGTAGTTCCCATCGATATCTTTGGACTGGAGGTACAGGAGCCGCTGCTGGCTAATCAGATAGCTACGGACTGCATTCCTGATGTTGTAGCCGACCATGATATCGCGATGCATGAGCGTCATGCGCCTTGAACAATAAGGCCGGTGGATGCTGATATAACCAAGGAAACCCTCACAGCTCGGACTCTTTTCCGAGGTGTAATACTCATTTACACCTACAACAATGCAGCCAAGCGATCTGGCCTAGAAACAAATTGGAGGGAGAGGCGAGAGTAGTCGTGATGTCCCGCAAGAGAGAGCAATTGCAGGGTCGCTAAGGGACATCATTCGGCCACTTGCTTTCTGGACAAAGTACGATTGGAACGACTCGTGCAAAAAGGACAGTTTGGTCTTTGTAGAAAACTTCCCTAGACCCACGCCGATCACAACCTTGTTACTGTCTTCTCTCTTGGCGCCAATTGATTCGCTGACCAGCTTGAGAAGACGATTGGCAGTCTGCTTATACTCCTCGCCCCACACCCTTCTTGCGTCCCACTTGTAGTTTTTGGGGACCATTCTGCAGTTGTAGAAGGAATCGAGGTGTGCCTCCACATCCTTGAGCTTGTCAACGTAGACTGTGATACTTGATCCACAGCCGGCTCACAGAGAAGGAGCAGTCTTTGCATTACATCCTCAACGGTCGCGAGTGCTTGTGTGGAGGTGTGAAGAAGTGTAGAGACCTGCAAACCGTTCTATTGTCGATGCACGAAAACTCTTAAAGAGGTACGGAAGTGCTCGCTGGTTACATTCTTGCTAAATACTTAATTGTAAGCTGTCAAAAAAAAAAAAAAAAAAAAAAAAAAAAAGCCATTATCAGAACGCATCGCAGGCGTCGTCAAACACAACATTAGGCATACAGTTCTTCAAGTACCTGATACTTCTAGCGATTTGATAATCTTGTGGTTGGGTAATGATCCCAAGTGATGCAACTGTAATCGTTTTTAGAAGCTGCACAGAGCACAGCAAGGTGCACCCTGGAGATACGAAGACTCTACAACACACTCGGAACGTCGTACACCAGGAACTTCCTTCTCGACATGGGCCTCCAGATGGTCGTAATTGTGTCGTAAGCGAGCATATCGCTGTCGGACGATAGGATGATATCGTTGAGTTGGCAGGCGTGAGCAATCGCAATACCGGCCTCGGTAGGGCATTCTATGACGTTCCATCCCATGTTGCGCATGTATTGAGCAAAGCCTCTGCGGAAGTCCACGAACCAGTAGAAGGCTGCGTTGATTTGCTTGCTCAAGTTGATGAAATGACGTTTCCGCACTCTACGCACGTCCCTCACGCGTTCTTCCATGTCGCTGATACATTTCTGGGTGCGCTGTAATGCACCGGCGCAACGTCTTTCCTAATTCTCACAGGTCCGTCGTTTCTCATCTGGCGAAGGACCATCCAGATACAGAACTGAGCTCTTTGGGATCCCAGGCTCCGATACCACTTGTTCAAGGACTGTGTGGGCGCTAGGCGAGGGATGAGTTGTGTAAGTGTAGCGAATAGAAGGATAAAATGAAGATAGAACGTCGACACGAAGTGTGGGCGGTGAAACGTGGTTAATGGGGATGGGGGGCTGGGGCGACTTGAGGACACTGAGAATAGAGAACGGCCTCGTATCCAAGCTTTCGGAATGAGGGTCATAGGCTCATAATACACATCACTAACGCTTATGAGATGAGTAAAGAAGGTGGCCAAGATGGGACTAAGCAGATACTAAAGGATGTGCAGCGAACTGTGTTGCGGAAGAGGAGGAAAATGAGAGTGAAGGAGCGCGTGAAAAGATAAGGTTTATATCCGAAATTTTGACATTCGACGAGGCACCTCGACCTGTTATTGTACCTTTCTCTCAGAGCGTGTCTTTGCAGGCAAACCAAACGCGAGCGGTCAGTCGTGGTCTCAGACCCATATACCAAGGGCAGCCACAACAGTCAATAATCAACCAACTTCCAACAGCACGCACAGTACCAGCAAATAATAGCGCACCACCATCTTGGGCCTCACCAAACTTCTGTCCCAGCTCGCCAATACTCAGTGGCAACGACTGTCTTGATGAAACGAAGAATCGATGAAATCTCTCAGGATCAACCCTCCAATCATGTTGCTCCACATTAAAATGCCACTATCACAATACCTGACGACAATTTAACCAACGTTCAAAAAAAGACAAGGCCAAATATCTCCAATACGCGCAGAAACGACTTTTGGAAAAAGGCTGGAATGGATGTTTTACTGGATTGGGTGACGGACCCGGAAAACGATGCCTGACTAAGGAATACAGGAAGGGTCTCTGGCACCAAAGTCTGCGATATTCACCGGGAGATAGCTGTACTTGTCAACCAGCAATGTGGGACAGAGTGGAAGTCTGAGGATGTCAGGAGCAATATCAGAGGCATTGAAAAGAAGTACAAAGATGCCCACGCCTTGATAACGTCGACGGGCGAAGGTTACAACGGCACCAAAACATTACAGGAACGAATGTATGATATCTGCCCGCTCTATGACCGATTACATCAAGTGTATGTATCCAGCGTTATCAAGAATCCTCCTCCTCTTAAGCAATCTGAGCCTGGTCCTATTCCTGTTCCTGCTGCTTCCGGTGATAACTTCTTTGCCTCTGAGCTCGACAATGACGACGATTCTGGCGACGCATCTGAAGATGGTAATTGAGTAGTGGTTCTTTATTTGTGTAGTCATCGGATTAGCCCCAGGATTATAGCCCTGTAATGACTAATGGGCGTGTTGTATGAAGTAGATTCACGAGCGAGTAGGCGGAGCACAAGGGATGGTAGCGTAATAACCACGGCATCTACGAGATCCACAAAAGCGAGGTCGAAAACTCCAGAAGCAAATACTCTCCAGACACTTTCTGATACACTTCAAGAGGTGAAGGAAATTTGTCAGAGCCTTGATAACAGAGGGAATGCCTCGTCGTTGCCAGGTTATATGGAATCATTTATGCTGCGACGCATCCAGGAACTTGAACAAGAAAAGCAGGAACTTAGGCGCGAGATGCGAGTCCTCAAGGATCAACTAAGCGCGAGCGAAAGGGCGGCGATTAAGCTGCAGCTGGATCATTGCAACGAGAAGGAAGAGGTGCGGAACAAATTTGCCCAAGAAAAAGAAGAGATGCGGAACAAATTTGCCAACGAAAAAGAATAGCTTGTGCGTATGAGTACAATACAACACCAGACTGTTATGTGCGAGCTGGCGGCTACAAAGAAGGAGCTCAAACTGAGGGTTGCGCATCTAATGAAAGAGTCCAAGCAGATACTAATAAATATCCGATCGATTTATTAAACCTTTTAGTTCCTGCGTCGATGTCTGTTAGTACGGTTCTTATTTCTCAACACATATGCCTTCAGTCCCTCCCTCTTTCTCCTAGCCTCATTTCTGTCCTCCTGCTCTGCTTCAACCTGCCGCACCTCATTCTCCACCAAATCATCATTATCACCATCTTCAGCAGCGGGGTTATCGACGTCTTGAAGCACCTCGTCGTCCAGAATCACCTCTGTTGCATCTTCACGAACGAAATTGTGCAAGACAACACATGCACAAATCCACCTGGATGCCCTTTCGATATCTTGAACGCACTTAATCACGACTGGCAGGTTTTGAAGAGACGCAAACTTCATCTTGAGCATACCAAAAGCATGCTCAATTTTGACCCGGGCCGCGCCATGAAGGGTATTAAAGCGTGCTTGATCCGCGTCAGCATTCCTGAATCTCGGTATAATAGTGGCTGTCAAGGCGTACGCTGCATCGGCAAGTATATACTCCTGATCACTGAAGTATTCGTTTTTATGGGTATACAGGGGTGTCCTCTTGTAAGCCAACGCGTCATGAGTGGATCCGACGTAGCCGGTTGCAAAGTACGTAAATCGTCCCAAATGATCGCATACAGCGGTGGCTCCTATGGCGTAGTTGCATTTTCTTGTTATCCACGCATTAGTCTCCCAGGTTGGCGCCATGTTGAGGGGAAAGGGTACACCATCGACAGCGCCAATGCAATCAGCAAAGCCGTGCTATCGCTTGAACCAGTCCTTGATTATAGTCTTGCATGCGTGGTCTGGCCAAAAAACATATTGTTGGAACAGCTCGTCCAAAGCGTTGATGCATCTCCATGTGTACTTTACAACCGATCCAATACTAACGCCCAAAGTCCATGACACCTTCAAAACAGAGATTCCTTTTGTACCAAGGCGGAAGAGTGTGACCTTCAATTGAATGATGATGTCCTCCAGCGGCAGATGTTCGTCTCCACGTCTAAAATGCTCGCTTCTGCCAAGCAATAATGCGATCCTCTGGAGCTGGTCTTTGGTGAGACGCATGATGCCCTTGAACTTGTCTTCATCATATGCATTGAAGACGCGATCCCTTACGTCTGTGGAGGATGGTAATCGGGATCTAGGGTATAGGTATCTTTCATAATGTAAATTTGCGTGCCATTATCACGATACGCGCTGCAATTGGAGCGCGGGTTGACTATCTCACCTATTTGAATAAAGGAGCTTCAAAATCTCGACATTTGCCTCCAGCAATAGTAACCGAGCAAGCCTTCTTTCCTTTGGGGTCCTCACGACGGCAAGGGCAGCGTCGGTAAGTTCTCTCTCATACTTGCTAATAAGTCGTCGCTTGGTGGTGTATCTTGGCATCATACAAGAGGTGAGGTGGTGTGTGAGAAAATGCGAAGAAAAGAACAAAAAAAAGGACACAAAACTTATTACTCTTTCTCAGCAGAAGCGGCTCGAACATGGTCGAAGGGGAATATTTCAGGAATTTTTACTATTATCCCAGCCAATCAAAAAATGTCCCCGGTAGGAACTTTCCTGTCCTCATATTTCGTCTCTGAATGGGGCTCTGAATTTTTATTGGTCAATTCTGTTTTCTGCTCTTTTTCCCTATTCATTCCTCAACATCCGTAAAATCACAAGGGGACAGATTGACCGCGCTTTCTGCCTGGGATATGCCTCGACCAATAAAAATGCAGGATTACATATGAGGCCCGCATTGTCTGAAAAATTTCAGAGGATGCAAACACGGACTGTACCTGGCGACTTTATTTTTTTTAACGATAGTGGCACCCTAACTAAGTGGATTGTTCTGTCATAGAATCCAACACATAATTATCCTCCACAGTTCTTAGTCAAGTCTTTCACTCGACCTAATGTAAAGTGCTCCATCATTGTGAACATGGACAAGGCCCCTCTTTCTTGTACGTGTCCTGATTATGTCTAGCACAAGTCGCCCTGCAAGCACATAGTCTGGTACCAAGGATCTACAGAGGCATGGAGACCAACTGCGGAAAGGAGCCTGTACTTCCTCAAGAGCCACAAGAACCGATCGGTATTGAAAACTTGCTTTCATCGCAACTCCATCTACAACTACATGCTATGAGAGCTGAACGGCAGGAAGCACAGTGAGGAGCGGGAGAAGCAGGAATTGAAGAGGCATTTCAGCCTGAGAACAATAGTAAAAGGCGCGCACACCAAAGAAAACAATGGTCTGTGCACACGCCACGCATCTAACGTGCCATGTCCGAGTCTTCTTATTCGACGAAGGAGCATCTCGCGCACCCAAAAGTCGTCCCTTTCACTCTTTTGACACAGGCCATAGCCTCTTTTGTCTCGTCGATGGAGAGCCCACATCAAACGCTTTCTCGATCAGGGACATTCCCTCCTCGGACACAGTTGACAATCTCAAGCAGTTAATCAAGGCCAGGAAGGCCAATGATTTCCACAAATATCGATGCGGACAAACTCACGCTCAGGCGCGTCTTGATCCCCTCGCTGAAGCCTATGAACGCGACGTTCTCATGCTAAATGTCCTGGATTCAAAGGAAGAACTTCGTCCGCTGGACGACATCTCAGATGTGCTCCCTGAGGGTGCAGCCAAGAAAACAATCCACACCATTGTTCAGCGGCCACCACCAGGTAATGCATTAACCGCTGGCACTTGGACTCGTTCAGAAGGCTTGTTTTTTGCGTTACACTGTACCAAACCTTGCCCACCACTTCCTCCTTTTCATGCGCCTTCCTGCTACCTAGCTGCTCCTGTCAACGTTCCAGGCCATCTCTTGCAAGAATCTCGTCTCGCTTCTCCGCCTTTTGACTCCGATGTGTCTGGTAAGTCCGTTATCCATGCACATTGCCCCGCACTTCATTAGGCGTACTAATTCTGCCTCGCTTTCAGTACGATCAAGGCTGTTATGGCGAAGAGTGCAACAAGTCAAGCCAATGTTCGCCTCCGCTGGTCCATGCCTCTTCCGGATTAAGTTCCTGATACCGATGCTGACGTCTCTCTTCGTTGCACTCTTCGATGGCGCGATCGTACGTATGCATAAGATGCATGGTGGATGACTAAGGAGAGAAAATAGCATCAAAACTGTTAGAAAGGGAATATTGGCTCTAGTAAACTCGACTTTGATGCCTAAGCTTACTCGAAATAAAAGTAGATGGTGAAGCGCCAAGAGAGACGTGGACATGTTCTTCACGGATGGATCGAGTCGTGCTGCCTTCCATTTCAACAGCCTTGTTACATTACTTCCTTTTGTACCCAACACAACGCGATACGCTGTATGCATGACCCTACATGACGAAAGATAGAGTGGCATTCAATGCGAAAATCCATATGACGAGAAAAAACAATGACAATGCGTCCTAATCATACCTCCAATGACCAAATCTGACACTAGAACATCTCGCATCCTATCTGACCCTCCTGCTTCCATTGATCTCGCCATCATTACATCGTGCAGTTGCCGAGAAAGCTCGAATGTGCTTTCGTGGATGTATTTCTGTCCGAAGTCGTTCCAAGTCCTTGCGACCTCACCGATCCCCCAGTCCTTCTCTGGCGCGAGCATCGTACGCCATATGAGATCTGTTCGAACCCCCACCTTCTCTCTTGCTGTATGTGGCGTGGTATTGGTATGACGATCCTTATTGTTGCGACGTGTCATAGAGTCCACACCAGTCATGTCCCCTCTCAGCATGAAGCATCCGTGAACTCCCTTAATCAGTTAGCTGCAGACGCCCCATGCCTGCGACAGCCACCATGATTCCGAGAGGCTGCTTTCAATCGCAAAAGGAGATGGACTTGTCATCTCATACAAATTTAGCCTGGAAATATACGGATTAGAAGACAGACCTTAAATCGAAGCATGACGACTAACGCAAGGTGCTTCTGCAATTACCAATTGACTAAGCACATGTGAACCAGCTCGAGTTCCACATCCTCGGGACGATGGTTCAGCCGTGATCTGAGGTCCTCGATGGTCTTCACCGTATCGAAAGTATCCAAGTACGTCGAAGTTGTTCTGGCATAAGGCATAGCACTAGGAAGATCCTTCTTGATTTCTGCCCAGTTCTTCTTACTGAACAACCCTTGAGTGTAGGGATCTTGTATGTCCAGCATAAAGGAGTGAATTGGACTAGATCAACATATAAAAGAGAAACAGAAAATTAACAAAAAAGAATATGCCAGCAAAGGTAGGAACATCGAAGTGGACCCCTTACTGGCGAACTGTGAGCTCCTCCCCAGCCTTGAAAAGCACATCTTCCACGACAGTACCCGACTCCAATGTCCATTTCGGACCAAGGGAGCAGTGCCGCCGTTGCAACGATTTTCGTGCGCTATCGAAAAACTATGCATCACAGATCGAAAATATAGTGCATTCAGCGACCCAAGCAAGATATTTTTGTACAGAATCACAAGTCCAATCTTGTCTTTACCTGTGTATCGATATTTTTCTTCATCTTACCGAGATTATCTTCCGCACGACACATTGGTGGATCTTCGAACAGCTGTTTCCTTTTGGCTAATGCGATAACGATATTATTATTGTGTCAATAATGAAATTACCTAACGAGCAAGCCAACAGAAAGATATATCAAGAGATATGTACAGGTTAATGACTCTGAGTACGCCGTCGTGGGATCTTCCAGTGGTGTCACCGGCGAGATTAGGCGTTGCAAACGCATTAAGACGGAAAGCATCAGTGTCAAAGGTCGAAGAACACATAGCCGATATTCAACACATGAATAAACACATACGATCATCCACCGAGAGATTCTTATCGTCTGGAATATCGCCTGGAATATCGTCTCGGATATCATTCGGCAGTTCCGTATGACTATAAGAAAATTAACCTACAAATCAAACCTTTCAGTGTCGACGTTGTTGCGGCCGATGCTGCTGCTATTGCCGATTTTGTTGTTTTTCTCTCGTCTGTAGGATTATGGGATAAATGTTAATAATAATAAACCTTAACACAGGCATTACTGGCATCGTTTGTATCGACAAGCATCTTCGATTACCGTAGGCAGCTTCTGCATCCTGGAGACCTGCATTCTGCACCGCAAGAGCAGCCTTCTTCGCGGTTATCTCCGTATTATGTCTCAGGGCACGATTGGCCCAAAACTGCTCCTCATAGTGCTCCTGGAAATGTTTGAATGCCGCTTGCAGCTTCTCTCGGCGCTTTTGCAGGATTTGTGAAGACTGTAGGAGTTCTTGGAAGGCCTTGGTTGCGGATTCTCGGTTACTGAGATTAAAGTGGCTAACGAAATTCAAGATGTAGACATGCTCCTTGCTTTTCCGGTTGACGGCCCACTCCACAAACGCTTGTGGCATGCTTGCTATACTATATGAACTCTAGGCAAAGTGAGACGTTAAAACAGAATCGAAAACAAATATGTGTGTACCAAAAGTTCAATTGATACATAAATATCGAACGGAGGAGCCACATGGCGCCCATGAGAGCATATGCCATGAAGAACCCCTAAGACGGCCACCACTGTCGCAGATACTTCCCGCCCGGCAAACCATAAAACCAAAGAAGCTCATTAAATCTGCTAGAGCTAAAGAAGCAGACCACTAATGACAGGGTGTTTCTGCATGGGAATAAGAGTATTATTAAACGCACCTTGGAGGCAATGGCTAGGAGGCAACTGTAATGGAAGTGAGGACACGCGAAGAACAAAACTTTATTTGGCCGCGGGTGACGTAGTTGTATTTCTCAGTGGCATGTGCTGTCGAAACGAGGGGACTCGCAGCGATCTGAGAGCGAAGGGGTGAAGCGATCGAAGGGGATGGGTTCCCTTTCCATCACTTTATTTGCTCCTTCTCTTTCTCTAATCCCCATTCTCTCCTCTTGTCCCTTGGGTAAGACTGTCTTTCTCTCTATTCACATTACCAATCTTCACTCCTGTTTCCCCATCCTTTGACTAATTTCACAACAGCCATACAAGTTCGACATATCTTTTCATCAGCAACAAACGCCTCCTTTTTCGCGCGATCAGCATGGACCTGAGCCGAGTACGGAAACAACAGCTGCGATGAGATCGCCCCTTTGCCACTGTAGACCACATCCATCTACTGCAGCCTGAATTCTCAGCCCGGAAACAACAGCAACATCAATAGTGCTGAGAGTGGAACTGTCGACCCTGTTTCTTTTTTTTTCTTTGCGCGCTCTTTCTTCTCTTCTCTCCCCCTTTTTGTTTTACTTCACGATCGCCCTTGCCCATCCTCTTCACAGCACACACCCTCAACCTGACACATCCTATTGTTACATCGCGCCCTTGTTCGCTCTAGGACGTGCCATCTCACCAATAAGAAAACCACTTGATCGTGATGCCGAAGGATTACTACGGTCGTGGAGACTATTCGGACGACGAGTCCAGCTCCCGAGGCCGCGACAAGTTTCGGCGTGAGCGAAGCCCGGAAAAGGACGACTTTGGTCGAGACAAGAGACGTAGAAAAACGTCGGCTTCACCTGAAGATAGAGGTATGTGGGTCAAAACCATGTAAACTAGTATTTTTTTTAATTATCACCCCTGAGCAGCCTTGTGTTGTTTCAATGAAAAAGCAAGGGTCCTTAAGATGTAATTTCATTATTGATCTCGTTTATTCTTTTTGTCATAAACCTCATGGCAAAATGCAGAGAGGCGATCAAGAAGGAACCGTTCCTCCTCCAAAGATGGCGATGACGAGCCAGGCGACCGATACATCCCAAATTATGATAGAGACGGTTACAACCCGGCTCCGCGGTACAGTCGGCCAGACCACTACAATAATCGCTACGACAGTCCTGGAGCATATGGCGACTATCGTGGGCCAAGGTAAAGAAATGAAGACCATCTCAATTGGAATCGATACAGAGCAATCTCAGCCGCGCATTCATAAACGTTTGGCCAACCTTATTAACTTTTTTTACTTGATCTGGGAATATTATAGGCGCCGCGATGATGGTTATGGCGATATGGATGGACAAGATCCTATGCCTTATGGTGAGATGCCAGGCTGGGGCAATGCTGACAGGATTGACGACCCAATGAAGCTGGACCACTTGATTTCATTCAAACAGTACTGCGAACACCTCAGGAACCTCGACAGGGCGTCACATCGTTATAAGCGGTACACAGACGAGGAATTGCAGGTGAGATACGGGACATATAAGGAGGAATTTACAACGAAGCAGTATGCGTCGTTTTTTGACGCTCACAAGACTGAAGCGTGGTTCCAGGAAAAGTACCATCCAGACTACTCAAAGTCCCGCACAGAGGAGGCGCGCACTCTGCGGAAGGCACGTTACGGCAAGTTCATTGAGGATTTGGCAGCAGGGAAATACGATAATGCGACATGCGATGAAGCTGAGGCAAAGAAAGCTAGTGCATCAGCAGCAGAGACCAAGAGCGACAAGTCAGATGCGGATGGGGCGTCGTCTGATCAAGCAGATAAGGATGGCGATGTCAAAGTGGCAGACGAGAGCGACTCGGAATCATGGCTGTATCTGAGAAACGTACTTCCGAACGTTACCCGGAGCTCAATCTTGGAGGTACGAACATGCGACCATTGGTGTGTGGCAGGCATGAAGGACATCTATTTGCGAAAACGATATGACTTAAACTTTCCTATTCTTTGTTGCAACAGCGCTGCCAAAAGATTGAAGGGTTTTTAATGCTTTCATTATCAGAACCCCATCCCCTGAAGGAGCTTCAGAGAATCGGCTGGATCAAACTCAAGTCAGGAACAGACACCCAGGAGGCCATGAACAGCCTAAGCGAACCGGTAACAGAGGATTTTCAGGTGGTAACGACTCCACACCGCCCGACTCGCGCCAGATACACGCATGAAATCGCCAATACCGAGGCCAGGATTCATGCGGACTACGAACTGGCGGTTGAGCTCGCCAAGCTTTGTGACACGATCTTGATAGGCTCGACAGAAGTGGAATCAGATGCTGTCGTCATTGATGGTGTGTCACTACTTCAGGCGCGACTCAAGGATGTGATCCTGGACTCAAAAGACGTTGCGATGGACTGGGAGGATGAACAGGAAGACGTTGCTCAAGCAGCTACTAGGCGCGCGAACGAGGTGCGTTTTTTTTCTTCATTATTTCCGCTTTGGACGACCTACAGAAATAGTACAACCAGAAAATAGTACTGACCTTGTTATTATCTTTATCCTTTTTGTCACGTAGCGTCGCTCACTGGATCTGTTCATTGAGTACCTACGTCAAGTCCATTTGTTCTGCTACTACTGTGGAGGCGACAGTGATAATGCTGAGGAATTTTCTCGGAAATGCAGCAAGCATTACCGTAATCCAGATACCAAGTCTCCTATCAACTCAAAGGGTATGACTTTGTGTTCAATGGAACCGTATGTAATCATTTTGCTTGGACAGGTCTTATTGATAATAGTGCATCTCCTGCTCATAGGTGCCATTTGGGTGAAGAACTTGGAGCAAAAGATCAACTTGAAGCTGAAGCCCCCGACGGACGATGAGATTGTCAAGCTTGGCGGAAAATCGCTCGAAAAGTATGTACTATAGCGCTACAGAAAATCTACGAGTGCTTGCTTGATATAGATGGCAGTGTAAGATACTAACTTTTTGTACAATTGGTTTTACTAGAAGCGTTCTCAAGTTCTTACAGGGCAAGACGCAGCAGGATGAGCCTACAAAGTGGCGCTGCAAGGTTTGCACGAAGCCATTCCGAGGAGAGGAGTTTGTCCACAAACATATCCGAACTAAGCATCCGGATGAGATTAAGACGATCGAGGATAATGTATGTGCCTTTGGCAAACACGTTGAAACGACTCTGAACACAAGGCTCAATCACTTACAGTACACTTGACTTTTATTTCCGTGTAGATTCTTCTTTTTAATAGCTACATTCTGGACCCCAATCATATCAATCCCTCAGCGCAGCAACAACAGCAGCCTCAGCCGACAGGATTCGCATATGGCATGCCGGCCCCCATGTTTGGGGGACCACCCATGCCGATGAGCTTTATGCCAGGACATCCCATGGGCATACCATTCATGCCAGCGTTCCCGCCTGGGTTCATGCCACCCTCATTCCCAGCCACAGGAGCTCTCAGTGGAACGCCTATGGATCAGATCCCTCGGATTGGATTTGATCTTGGCAAGCGTCGTGGATCCGGATCGAAGGATGAAGGCGTAGACAAGTCAAAGTCGAGCAAGGGACCCGACCTGATTCCAACCCGTCCACCATCGATGATGCTGGATCCCAGAAGGTAATAATGATTTGTCTACGAGGGCCTGTTACAATGACATTACTGTGATGTTGTTACTGATGCAGACCCATGTTTATGTATATACATCACTTGCAGTAGGATTTCGGATCCCCGCAAGGTCAAGTCATACGTAGATCTGGATGCACCTGCTGAAGGCGACTTGGAATCAAAATACAACCTGTGGTAGAATATGAAAAAGGAAGGAAGGGCTCAACTCGCAACTCGCAATCACACTCTGGTAGGGAGGAGTTCTTTGTGGAAGTAATCTGTTTTTACAATCTCATTACTCTCATTGTATGGATAGATTGCAAACCCTTGCATTGCAATCATATTTATACACACGCCTTTTTTCCCAATAAATTCTTGGAAGCAACAAGCACAAAATGACTGGCTATGGTGCCATGGACAAGTGTAAGATGACCTTTTATCTTCGGGTCTCGATCTTCTCGACTGGGCAGTAGTCGAGGATGCGGTTCTAGTGCAGGTAGCGGGCGATCTTCCAGGCTTTGGGCACTATATGAAACTAGTGCTCTGGTGCCTAAAGCAGCACTTTTACAAATTTTCCGTCGTTTGGTGTGCACCACTCCGTGGATGAGCTCGCTCTGTCCATCATCATCCTCTTCCAGGATCAGTTTAGTTGGCCCAAAAGGGTTTTTGGACCAGAATTATTTGTGTGGGCCTGTCGTAGCAAACCAATTCCAGCTCGAAGAACGGGTTTCCAAGGCTTTAAAAGCTTGAGATGAATGCAGTGAACTTAAATTCTACCATGGTGCCTAGGGCCTGAGATGTCCTGGATTCTTTAGTATACCCAAGTATCAATTCATAATACATATTTTTGTCCACGATTTCTTTTCTTTTCAAAAAAAAACTTCTTATTTACTTGGAGACAACGAAGGAAATGACTGAATATTGAACAGAATGAATGGTTAAAGTGGCCTGAATATGCTTGTAGCGTAGGAAAAGATGGGCCTTTATCTTCAGGCCTTAATCTTCTCGACAGGGCAATACCCAAGGAAGCGATCGCGCACAAGTCTTGCGACGTTCTTTCCTGCGACAGTCTCGGTTTCCATGGTCTATGTGTACACAGTACAGAACAAGGCGTGAGATTCGGCATAGAAATGAAGCACGACTCCACAAGATAAACGACCACAAATTGCCTGGTTTCCTTACTGAGACCAAGGACTCGAATGCGTTGATGTAAAAGACACCAGGGACGATTTCAACGCGTCCCCAATCCAACTGCTGCTGCTGCTGCTGCTGCTGCTGCTGCTGTTGCTGTTCTGTCTGTTGTTTATCCAACTGATCCTTCTGGAACACGACCTGTGCTTTTTGCTCCTTCTCCAATCCCGCAAAGTCGTCATCACTGCGCAAGGGCAAGGGCTGGAGACGCGGGTAGGCCTTCCAAGCTTTGCTCTTGACCCAGGTGCGGTTCAGATACAACCTATCGAGGAGATCTTCTTGAATGGGTTCTGGCGAAAAGATCTTGGTGATGGTCTCGCCCGTGCTGAGCTTGCGTTGGACACTGAGAGATGTAAACTCGGCATTGGAGTTCGTGGTGAGGATGTGGGCAGGGAATTTGGCGGATGAGGTCGCGTGGAAATATCCTGGGTTGACGTGTCCACGCACAAAGGTTGCGTAGATAGTACGGTAGGCGACCTTTGGTTGTGGAGGCAGGTTTAAATCAAAGTCGATATTGCTCGATGCCTAGTTTCCATAGAGTAATAAGACAGGGTTTCAGTTGGCATGGGTCAAAACAAGCACAGATAAACACCATCCGAAGAGAATGATAGATATAGGGCATGAAAAGACAACCGAAACAAGAGGGAAAGCATACGATGGGTGCAGCGATGACAATGGCGTCAAAGAGCTCCTTCTGTCCTGACACGGTGGTGACCTCAAACCTGTCCTCGCCACCCTCATACGCAGGCTCAACCTTCCGAACCCTCGCAACCTTCGTGTTCATCTTCACATCGGCCTTGCTCCTCCCGACCATGCCCTCAAAGATCTGAAAGTTACCGTCCTGGACCTGAAGCGCATTGTCAGCTGCCATGGACACCAATGCTCCCAAGGCATGGATCTCGTTCAGGTTCGAGCCATAGTTGACTCTGGTCGCGACCTCAACGACCTCCTGGCTGTATTGCTGATTAATTCCGTTCCCCTTTAGGAAGGAGTCTGAGAATTGAGAAGAGACCTTGTCCAGGTTGAAGTGGGTCGCGAAATCGGAGATGGAAGTAAAGGCAGCCGTGGATTTGTAGCTCTCCAGGAGGTCCCTCACGGTCTTCGTTAGCAGGCGTTTCAGCTATGCGGCGAAACGAACCAAAAAGCCAGGGTTAATTGGCCTGTCTTATATACACCATCCCCCATTCGTCCGCTTGCTTACTTGATCTTTTCCCAACGTACCCTAATCGGCGAAAGACCCCATCTCCGGAGCCCTTTAAAAATACTCCAGAACTTCCACTGACTCTCCTCAAAGATAAAGTCCTTCCCATCCCAGATCGCGAGCAACTCATCATCCAAGGGCTTGGTTTCCAACCCAAACTCCTTCGCGGCCTTAACCAGGTTGTAATTGACCTTCACAAAGATACTGGCCCCGACTTCGATAAACTCATCCTTTTGGCCCGGGTTTCGGGCCCGGAAGGCTGAACACCGACCGCCGATCTTGTCGGATTGCTCAAAGATCGTGATTGCAAAGTCATGCTTGCGGGAGAGTTGTGGAGGCGACATTAGATCGTGGAGGTAATAGGCAGCCGAAGACCCTCCTGCGCCAGCACCTGTTTTGGAGTGTGAGAAAATAAATGCGTTAGAAAAAGAGACATGTAGTTGGCACGTTCAGTTGGTCTTCGAGTGTATTATCTACAGATATGTCGTGCCCGGACGTCCTCCTCTTCCTTCCAGTATCTCGCCGTCGTTAAATAACTCGTCGCGTTGTCCTGTAGTGTGAACTAAGCTGGCCGACGTGTGACAACACACACAAAAAAGTACAACTAAACGCGTATTTCGATAACAGACTTTCTAGAAGGGAAAGGAAAAAAAAAAAGAAAAAAAAAAAAAAGAGGCATTACCGATGATGGCGACGGACCTGATGGGTGCGAGCTCTGTGTGGATAGCCTCTCCACTGGAGAGGTGGAAGGTCCGTGGTGAGAACAGGGCCGAAACCGCTGCACCCACCTTGGACAGGTAGTCGATGCGCATGTGTGACAGGAGGGTGTTGTGATGAGAACTGAGAGTGATGAAGATGTAAAGAATGAAACGAAAGATGGAGAGTGGGAATGGAGAGGTGGATGAAGTAGTTGAAGAAGAAAGCGAAGAAGGGAAAAGAACCGCGGCAGCGCGTAGAGTCTTGTTGACCTTTTTCTTTTTTTTCTTTTTGGCGCGTCAAATGTCTTCTTTGGGTTGAGGGCAGTGCACCGACCCGCGCATGGATTTTTGAGTTCTTGGCTCTTTGCCATTGACGGTATATCGCACCCTCTCCCGCACTCACATACACACGAACGATGCTGCATTCTCATACCATCGGGACATTTTGGGTGGACAAACACCCTTTCAATGAGGACGATAAGACTGGTTGTGATAACGATGAATATAAAGATGGTATCGACTATGTACAAAAAAGAAGATAGAACATACTACGCTACGCTGCTCCATACAACTGGCCGTTACTCTTCGCCCCTGTCGCATCCTCCCGGTGTCCATTCGCCAGTCCTACCTGAGAATGCTCATGTCCCTGCGCGTGTTCCTGCTGCTCATGTTCAAGTTCTTGCTCGTGTTCATACTCCCGCTCCTGCTCCAGTTCCTGCTCCGGATCCTCCTCGAGACCTGCTGCACTGATAGAATCATTACCGTTGCCTTCGCCAATATACGACCCCGAATTAAGGTTGCTACTCCTTCCGTATATCTTGATCAGATCGTCCCTGCGTCTGCTCCATCTCGACAGCTCCTCTCCTCGCTGTGCGGCCACAGAACTTGCCGTTGACCAGGTTGAGATTGGTCTTCCCTTTGCATCATGTTGGATCACGACCGCAACGGGTGCGCGTGATCGATTGGCATCATAGTAAGACGTGCTCCTGCGTCGCGCGAGAAGTCGTTCCTGTTCCCCTTGTTCGTCGTCATCCGCATCATTGTCGAGGTTCAAATCAGGATTGTTGTTGTGATTCTGGGCGTAGTAGGATTTCCAGGAGGAAGAGGTAGCAGAGGGAGAGGGAGAGGTATGGCGGAGGGCCTTGAAGCGGCGGTAGAGACAGCGCGCGAGGATACCGGTCAAGCCGAGGATGAGGAGGAACATGGCGATGATGAGCACCGGTAGGAACAACGATATTGATTCTGCGCGTCGAGAAGCTGTTTTTGTTTGTTTGTTTGGGGGACATAAAAAAAGGGCTACGATGAGTCGCTTTATACACAAAATTCAGACTGAGGATCAGCTGCTCCTAACCACTTGCTTGACCCGCCTCTGCCCGCGATACCCGCTCCTATTCATTTTTGCACCCCATGTTCCTTACTTACATGGGTGTATTGAGGACTCTGCATTGATGGCGATGGAGAGGACAGCGGAGTCCTGCACCGTGGATGCTCCTTGGTGTGAGGACGGAATAATCATTTCTCTCTGTAGTTTCTTTATTGGCCCTCAGTGGTACAGACTGGAGGGTGTCTTCAAACAACTGGGCTTCAAGAGACAAAAGTCGGTTCCTAGAGAGAGGAAGGTAAGGTGGGGCTGTAGTGCTGCAGCAGAGTGTTGTTGAGTAGTCGGAATTGGCGCTCTGTGCTTGTGGCGATGTAGTTCTTGGCACCAGCAACAACCTTGACAGCTCTTTGCTGAGTGTGCAACTGAGGGTGAGGGGCGAGAAGGTGAGCGAGAAAGTAACCAGGAGAGGTAAAAAATAGGGGAGAAGTATGAGCTGTGCAGGCCGAAAGGGCTGATAGGAATGGACAGGAAGGAGTGAGAAGTGCAAGAAGGGAAGGGAAAAGTCGCTTGTGTGTGTGTGTGTAAGCAGGGAAGTGAAGGAGGGGGATGAGAGCTGCGGGGCATTGAACACTTCAAAAATCAATTGGGTTTGAGGGGTGACTGTTGCGATGACCAAAAAGAAAAAGGGAAAACCCTTTCTCTGTGATACCACTTTGCGCGTGGCAAAAGAACTTCACCAACGCAATCGCCATGGAGAAGGAGACCTTGCCATGGCATGTGCTCAATCAGATCCACTTGGACCAATGCTTTTCTCAACCGAGTCTTCTATCCAAAAGGTGTTCTGGAGGGAAGCAGGAATTCATTCTTATCATTCATTCACAATCGCGTCTGTTGTACGAACTCGTCAACGACACTCTGCTGGTGAGTGGGTGTTGAGATCAAAGGGGAGCTGCCGTGATGTCCGTATGTCTGTATCCGAGCAAGTGTGTATCTAATCAGTGGACTTTGTCTTATTTGTAATGGATGCAATCGTGTGTAAACAAACAGCACAGTTGGTCATTTCCTCACGATATCGTGTCATTCTGCTGGAACGATCTTTACAAGGGCCACTCAAGCATCTTCGTCCTCACCAAGGATGGACACATCTACAACCTCGCCCTAGCCTCCAACAACATTGAGTCAGGAACCACGTCCAAGGCTACATACAAAAATAGCAGTGCCACCATTATTGATGACAATCTATCCAGAATCACCATCAAGATCGAAGACAGCGACGACGAAGAGGTCGAGGATGTTGAACTCTGGAACGACGAGGACGGATTGCTCGAGAGTTTCGAAACTCTAGAGTCATCCGTCTCTCCTGCTAAGAAGAGACAGCGCACATCATCGCCTCTTCCTTCAAGGAGTTTGTCAATGACAAGCGGCACGGCGACATCCTCCTGTATCAAAATCGATCGCACAAAGCATTATGTCGGGTCTGAGGTACTGTGCGCACATCAAACAACATGGAATAGAAATATATGAAATCCATAACGTTTTTTTTACTTACCAGCCTACCTACTGCATCTTTGACATAGGACGATGCGATCAAGATCATCTGCGCATTCGATGGATTATTGATCTTTTATCGACTCAAGGATCCCGTCCTATGGATATCTCGGTACCAGTTCCGTCCCGGATATCCTATCGAGAGACAGATTATGCCACTCAACTTACAGCTGCAAGATAATATCAGTCGCGCAGTGAGCAGTGCGGACGGTAACCAAGTCTTTTTCGGGACCCAATTTGGTACAATTTATCAGATGCATTGCACCACAGGTCCAGAGAGAATCACAACTCGGAAATTGTACACCATGCAGGTAAGATAGTTTGGTCCGCCGAGACTGGACACTATTTTAACCATCACAGATGCATTGGCGACAAGCACTAACCAACGTCTTCCGTTCAATAGGAACAAGTGGCATCCATAATCCTGGCTCCTCAGCAAAACATAGCTAGGTTGATCGCCACAGGGTAAGTCGTTACCAGGTAAAAAGAGGAGAAAAAGGTGGTGCCATTATGGTTGACACAGCGTTGCTGATTAATTATGTAGGACAGTCGGCCGTCTTTGTGTAATCGATGTCAAGACAACAGAGACCACAGCTTCTCCGATAGTTACAGCTAAACAATTCATCAATACCTCCGCTCTGAACGCCTTTGCAGCAGACGTAAGGAAGCATCCGCCAATAGCCACTCAATACGCAGATGACTGAAGGGTTAATTCGGCTCGATGGTTTTTTTTTCATATAATTTTAGGGATACATCTATATTTTGACCTCCAAGGGCCGCGTTGTTCGTATACTCATGGCTTCGATAGGGACTGATAGAGACTTTACTATGGAGTGTTTAGACCTCCCATCTCTGCGCGCTTTTGTGCCTATTCTGGGCAGTGCAGAGCTTCTTGGGTTCTATGGAATCAATAAAACAGGACAAGTCCTTCGCTTCTCTGCAGATTTAATAAGGTATGTGATACTCCGCGCCCACCGTCTCTGCTGCCTTGCGAACCTAGCTCAGGAAAGAAACACTCCTAAATTCGGTCTAATTTGTGCTGTAGATGCGCGAAACCGAAAGCGGTATCTGATGCACGCGAGAATATCACAGAGGCACTTGCGGAACTCGAGCGGCTATCCCAACATGCCCGGCGCCTCGAAGCCGAGTGTCAGGCGAGTTCAACAAACAGTTTATCGTCAGAAGTTCTTGATGACTTTGGACGAAATCATGTCTAACATTCGGACGCTCACTTTCTGCTTGCTATGAATACGATAGCTCGAGAACCAGAGGCTCGCGACGTATAATCGACTAGTCTTTGAGCTACAACAAAGTATCCTGGCACAACCCGATCCAAAGACCTCCGCGGACGCGTATGCGGACTTTACTCCTCCTGTTGAGACTACACTCACGGCTTTCACACAAATACTCGCCTCTTCGTCTTTGGGATCGAGACGATACTACGTCCGCTTGAATATCAAATCGAAGCTGCATACCGATTGGAGCAGTGGCTGGTCAGGTATATCTTTAAATTCGTTTTCTACCGATCTTCCTTGACGCCAGTGTGTTAAAATCAAGAAATGGCTTTGAACGACTTGTTTTTCTTGCAATGTTTTGCTCCGCATAGTGGTAACAACCCTGACCTCAGATCCAAGCGGCTACTGTGCCCACAACGCCACCGCCCCCTCCAAATCTGGATACTTCTCCGAAACCCTCTCAAGCCTGGCAGGTCTCTCGCCTCAGACACCGTGGGTTCAAGACCTCGAGCTCGATTTCGAGTCCGGATCGCCTTTACGTCTACCCCTCACCGTCACCCTTGGACTCCAGTTCAGTCTTCCTCGCCAAAATCAAAATCAACATACTGCGTATTTTTTAGTAGAGGCCCTAAAATTGGACGCGATCCATTTTTCAGAACCTGCACGCGATCATGCAAAACACAACCCTGCCTTCTTGCTCCATAGCAGCGCCTTCTCGTCGACGATAGCCGCCTATTCCAAGGACGTACTTCACGAAAGCAAGGACATTACACAAGATTCGCGAAATCGAATCTATCGTCCAGCGGACGAATCCCCTCCCGAGAACAGTACCGACGATGATGAGTGCGAAAGATGCAAGGGCGAACGCCTTCAAACCCAAACTAAGCTACCCGAATTCAAATTCTCAACGGCCGACCTCGAAATCCCACAGTGTCTACCCGCGCTCCTGGGCGACAGTATCTCTTCAGATCAAGCGACGGCCTTCTTGCAAACCGCCTTCCGTGCGACGCTCTATATTCCTGAGCAATGTCTGCCCAGATCAAGAGAAAAGGCCTTCCTGGCGAACGAGAATACCAGGCCGGTGTTGCAGCAGAGCGATTCGGGATTTGTGTGGATAACCCTGGAGATCCAAGACAAGCACAAGCATAAGCACAGAAGCCAAACGCAAATGGAAAAGGAGAAGAGCGAAGAGTCGATCGTCCGGGCATGCGTCGATGTTCGGGGGCCAGATCCCGTGCGCGTCCAAGTGGTTCGTCGAGCGATGATCAAGCGGATAGAGGATCTCTTTGGATGATTCTATCCACTCATCCTTTTTTCACATCCGGCAAGAATAAAAATCGCAAGTGTAATCAGATATCATTGTCATTTTATTTGTTCTTTTGCAAAATCGACGTGTGCGCATGTTTGCGAAGGAGCGCAAGAAACTGTACAAGATGGTGAAGAAATATACAATGAAAAAGAAAACAAAAATGCGTCTTCAGAAAGTGATGCTTTGGTATAGTATCGAAACAAACAAAAAAAAAACAATGCTATTTAATGGGAACGAGAGGTTTCGGGGATGGCGACAAAAAACGTGAAAGGAAAGGTGGGGTATATGCAAGATGAAGAAGAAAAAAAAAACAGGGTTGGGATGCTGGTATTCCGGATCGCTGAAGTCCACCTCTACAGCGACGAGCTGTGGTAGACCATCGAACCGTACCAGGCAATCAGCTCCTTCACGCCCGTGACAGCCGTATAGACCTGCCAGAGCATGCCCGGCTGGTGTTTACGATGATGCTGCTCCGCGCGCCTGGCCACAATCGCATCCTTGGAAAGTCGCAATCGATGCGTCCTTCCCCTAGTCACTCCATTGAACTCATCGTCCTCTTCATCTCCCAGATCGTCATCATCCTCATCATATCCTTCATGACAATCATCGAAATAATATCCGTCATGGAAATCATCGTTGAAGTTGCACTCGGGCAGATCTTCTTCATCATCATCATCCTGCTGGAGATACAGTCTCGGAGATGACGACGACGCCTTTCCCAACCGGAAAGAGTCCTGGGCCTTGACCTTGATGAACGTCGTCGTCGTCGTCGTCGTATTATCGTTCGACGTGGCTGACGCTGCGGCCGTCGAGATCAGATTACCGTTTTGCTGACCCTGACCAGGACGAATGGAAGCTGGGATAGACACATGGGACGGCGCAATAAACGATGAGCACGTTGTCGACTGGATCGCCGGGTCCGAATGTGCCCTTGTCGGCTTGGCCCTCGAGATCCGGAATGGAGGCGAGCTTGGCAAGAAGATCAGTTCTTGGACCTCAAGGCTGAACCTCAGTTGCTTGGCCGCTGCCCTCGCACTCGCTGGCGACAACATCATCGTCTCTCCCTCGGTACCATTCGCCTGGATATTAATACCCAGGTTCAGGTTCACATTGAGGTTAAGTCTACTAGGATGGCTCGCGGATTTGGGGAACGAGGCGCGACGACGGTCTTGGCTTCGGAAGTGGTATTTCGTCGGCGCCGAGAAGATGGGGAGCAGGAATGCCGGCGACGTGTTCGACGAAACCGGTGAGATGGGCTCGGACCGTGCGCCCTCTGCGTAGGACAATGTCATGGCAGAGGCGGTGTCGGCCTCGACGTCAAAAGTGATTGCGGCTAGGGTGTTAGAGAGGGCGAGGTACTGCGGGCTGTGTGTGAAAGCCCGCAAGTCCTCAAAGACTTGGGTGCGCGTGCGTTGGCGCTTCAGTGCTGGCTTGGGAGGGCGGAAGACAGACGAACATTCCTCTGACGAGGATGTCTTTGGGGCCGCAGTAGAAGCAGCGGAAGTGGCTAGAGTCTCAGCTGGCTGCGATGCCGTAGACAGGGAGTCGACAGCCGATTCTGTAGGTGTTGCATCCGCAGTTGCTTCTGGTGATTCCGTTGCTTCTGAAGCTTCTACTACAGTGTCGGGAGTTGCTGCTGCTGCTGCTTCGTCTGCGGGAAGCGTGGAGATAAGGGCTTCGGTGTCGGAGAGATCGGATGGCGGAGATTGGGGCGGAGAATGAACGCAGTCTGGGGATGGAGTGGGGAAACAGACGCGTTCGAGCGGTGGACCGCGCAGGTCACTTTCGTTCTTGTAGGTTTTGTGGTTGCTGTACGCCGTGGATGACCTGTTGTGCTTGTGTTCGTCGTGTTTGTGCAGGATGCTGACCTCGTACAGTGGCCCGTACAGCCAAAGGACGTCGCACTCCTTTTGCCTGCAGACGTGCCACGTCCAGACGACAAATTTGCAACGCATAAACAAAAGAAAAAGAAGAAAGAAGCAGGGGAGCTAGTTAGCTGCATGGTCAATGCATAATACATGCGATACATGTAGCAATACGATACAGAGATAATAGTATAGTGTAGTAGTATAGTAGTATAATAGCGCAAGAGAGAGTGGGATGACGATGATACAAAGAGCAATGGAATGCTCGCCATTTTGGTTTGTGCATTCATTTTCATTCGCATGTTTGTACGTGCATATGCAAAAGAAATAAGAACAAACAAGCGAGATAAAGAGAGCCTAGTCGCAAGTGGAGAAAAAGAAAGCTAGAGCCAAGTATCCAAGTGCACAAGGAAAGGAAAGTGCGTTTTTTTTTTCCCTCCGCCCACTCTTCCGAGGGCTGCAGCAAGCGGACACAAAAATCCGCTGTTTAGAAAGTGGCCAAAGCTCAACCAACAAACAAGAGTAGACTACATGGTCATGTCTGATCGAGAGCTGCAGCAAGTGGAGCAGACGGCGATGGCATGTGCGGGAGGTGAATGTTGGCTCTAGTCTGTTTTTCTAGGGCCAGTCAAGTCTCGACCCTATTATCGATTTGACAAACAACCAGCCCATCCACACACCCACACACCCACATGCACCTGAACTCGCCCTTTCTGGTTGAAGTGCAGCATAGTGTTGAAGCGCAGGGGGAACAGAGAGCTGCAGACTATGGCCCCTGCTGATACGTCTGTGTGTCGTGTCTGTGGGAAGAGAGATGGGGTGCGGTAGACAGGGCATGCAGACGCACAAGCACCCCTGCCAACAATGGAGGACATGTGTATGCGGAAACAGACATAGTCAGGATAAGGGAACGACGATCCTTCGTTCGGCAGCACATACAGCACGAAATGTACGCAGCATGCTCTTTCCTTTGAAGAAAGGGGAGAGGGAGGAAGAGAGGAGCCGACTGCAGCAGAGGAGGTGGGGGGGAAATAGGTGTGCATCTGGATCGATCGATAGGAATGCACATTGGCCACAGACACACCAATACCGGCACACACACACCCATTCCACATTGTTGTATACACACCCATTCCATATTGCTGTATACACACCTATCTCGAGTCCCTACACAGACACACACACTCAGGGACACAAGAAAGAAAAAAGAGGAGTAAAAAAATAAAAGTACGACAAATGGGTCAATAGGAAAGACCAATGAGAAAAGGACACAGAGAGAAAAGGAACGAACAACAGCGCACATACGCATATTCATCCATTGACACTCCAGAAATAAAGGGAAAAAAGAAGAGGATATGGGTAGAAAAGATCGCTTTGGTCTGTGGGTCGGTTGGATAGACGAATCGAACATTAAAAAAAGTGGAGAGTGGAATAATGTGGAGTGCAGAGTCCAAGACAAGAAGGATTGGATTCGAATGCTTTTTTTGGACATCCCATCCTTTGATAACATCTACCCCCAGTATCATCCACCCTTCCTCTTCAGTCCACTTCCTATGCAGGTAATACAAAAAAAATATTAACTTACCAGTTTAATGATTCCGGATGCACAAGCGCCACATCTTTAGCCAGACTCGATTGGGCAGACCGGCGCCAGAGGGCATTCTGCATACGCTTCAGCTGCGATTTACACCCAACGGGTGCGGGTCGTTCCTTGGTTGAAGGGATCGCAAGGTTCTGGTGTTGACCCAGCAGTTCGAGCAGTGTCTGGGATTGGTGTTGGTACGATATGGCCGCATCCTTCGCACTCTGTGGGGCATGGGCGATCTGACGGGTGATCTGCTGGTAACAGACCAGAAGGTGTTCTGCAGAGAGCGGATGGGAGAGATAGTCCACGCACACAGACGCTACCAATGGCTGGCTCGTCATTTCGTATATATTTCAATAGTCTACTAGGGGATCGAACGCGTTTGAAAAGAAAGGATATGAACAGGAAGGAGCCGGTTGCTGGTGAAGATGCTCCTGGAATTGGGAGTGTGTGGGGAGAGGGAGAGGATGTGAACAGCAGTTGATGAACAGAGCAGGAAGAAGAAGAGGAGTAGGAGACAAAAGGCGTGCTTTTTGTACGAAATGTGTGGGATGCAGGAGGGGATAGGAGTGTCGGCTGAAATTCGATATGTGGAGGTATGCGAAGACGAAATTTATCTGCGGTAGCTGCAAAGGGGGGGGGAGGAAGAACAAGAAAGAAAGAAGCAGAGTGTGGAAATGAGCGGTTGCGATGGAATGAAGAAACGAATGGCGGAATGAGAAGAAGGGAAGAAGGAGAAGACGACGACGAAGAAGTGTTAGTGAGTGAATGAACTGGGACTGAATACTCTGATTTGAATGGGCATCATCCGCTGTAAAGAGGGCTGCAGGGAAATGGAAATAGACGTGTACAGGACACAGTAAAAGTAGGGGGGACCATTGGTAATGGCAATGGCAAAGGAAATGGTAATGGCATTGGCAGTGCTCGTTATTGCACCCTCGTCTTCCCCCTCACTCTCGCTCAAGCAAGAAGCAAGAGTGAGATCACGACCCCGTCTTCTATCTCTTCTATGTTTGCTCTTCCTTGGATCCCGCATTGATTGCTTACTCATTTTCAAATCAAAACCATCCACCAAGGTATCCAAACCCAAACCAACCAGACCAGACCCTCTCTCGAAGCACAACCTCACGAAGTAGCCCATTCAGAAATTACAACCCCGCAACAATAAAATAGCTTATGGAGAACGCGACTTCATTCAATCATCAAGTAAGAGTGGGTTCAGACAAAAAGAGCCAGAACAAAAGAACAAACTCCCACACACACACACCTACACAACCACAAAGCCAACAGCAGAATTTTATCGCCTCTCTTTTCTTTAATGTCCATGAATTCGTAGGGCTCCTCCTTTCTACTTTCTTCGATTGCTTCGTTCTCGACCTGCTCTTTGCACCTCAATGGACATGGGATTATTTGTTGATTTTTTTTACTTTACATGTATCTGTGGGTTGTGCGTTGTGTGTGTGGAGGAGGGGAGTAAAGGAGGGGAATTTTTTCCCCTTGTGTGCGCGTGTTGTGTAATCTAGGTGTGGTTGTGGGTTGTCAGTTGTAGCTGGCACAGGCACAGACTGGGAGGGAGGAGCTGCGGTCCACATAGATACATTTCATCCATTGCCCTGTTTTTTGTTTGCTTACTATCGTGCTTGCCCTGTTCGCTATCGTACTTGCCTGTGCCTACCTACGGTGTACGCTGTGCGTGCTTGTTTGTGTGTTTGTGCATGCGACGGCGCGTTATCTGCCTAGGCAAGTCTGTGTCTGCATCGATATGCATCGTATGCAAACTTACCCTGCCAATGTCGGTGTCTTTGTCCCATCCAATCCCAATGCACCCAACAAACCACGGAGAACACTCAACAGCACGTATTGGATTAGTATGTGTCCATCATGATTGTCAGGAAGCCGGACCCGTTCGTCCTTTTTGGCATTTTGTTTCGTCCCTTTGCATTTCTTCCCACTGGTCGGCATCCTGGAGAAATGTACTCGTCATTTGTAAAGACAAACGGTCGTTTCCTAATCAGACAGAGTTCATTCACCCGCAGATCTCTTTAGTGCTCCTCCTGTTTCTTGATTCACCTTCTGTTGATTTGCAACATTTTTTACCGGCAGGAGCCTAAAAGGAAAAATAGAAGGAACTTTGTCCCCCGCATAATGGATCTTCTTTTCATTTCTATACACATGTCATCTCCACCTGCAGCTCTGGCTGTGTCACTGTTGTTGTGTGCGACAACTACGTTCCACCAGCGGCTTTCTTTTTTCCTCCCCCCTGTCCTGCGCCCCCTAGACCGGAGTACCCATGAGGACTCCTCGTCAGAATTACTGCTCCATCCGCTCACTTGGCATCAGCAGCGCCCAGTGCTCGTCCTACGTTATCTCCTAGTCTTCGGACAAAACGCATTGACCAGCCACTTTGATCTTCAATGGACGTACCCGACCGATGGTTTATCACGATCTGTCGTTAGCTCGCTTCCCTGACAGCCACTGGTCTATTTCCAGAAGTGACAGGTAAACTACCATGAATCTCATTCCTTAGGACTAGGCCCCAGGCTACTATTATAGTCCAGGGACTTGGATTTTGTTTGATCTGAAACAGAGACCAGAGCGCGCAAGGACCCGGCCCGCGCCCTCCTAGGGCCTGTGCCAATTTCGCCATTGTGGAGCCCTGATTGGTCTGATCGCGCCATAGACTTGGCAAGTGCGCTCAGCAACTATCCTGCGGAGTACTCCTATCCTGCAGACGTCACGTGCAGCTTGGAGACAAGGCGTTTCCAGTTGTGGTGCCTGTCGTCAGCTCATTCGTGACAGGATCCAGCATCGACTAGACGCGTCCCTCTCGACACTATCGACGCCGACACACCTATATGAGTAACGCAGACTCTCTTTCAGATGTCGAATTCGACATGGACGGAGTTGAAATGACAGAGGAAGTGAGCCAAGAGACGATCGAGGCGATCGCCACCCTCACGACGTCGCTGGAGTCGAACCCGAGCCAGTACGAGCTCCATACACAGCTGATAGCGCTACTTAAAAGTGCATCTCTGCTGGAGGAGCTCCGAAAAGCACGCCGGGCCATGAATGCTCTGTATCCCCTTTCTGAAGGTATGTTGCCAGGCGCTTTTGATTTGCCAGGTATTGCTTTGTAAATGGATGTTGATCTAACTCTGCGTCCCACGTTTTGTTAGAGCTCTGGGTGGACTGGATAGGAGATGAACAAAATATGGCGACCCAGGAAGAAGAAAAGCAGCATGTTTTGGATCTATATGAGAAGGCGACGGCAGAGTATCTTTGTACATTCACGGCATTCATTATGATAATTGTCGTTGAGGTCATGGGCGACCCTTTGTATCAAACATGTTAATCGCTATAATACCCTAACTTCCACTCTCTAGCGGTACGCATCTGGAAGTCCTATCTGGAGTATGCAGTTCAGGAGTTCCGCGAATCCATGGAGCACCCAGACAATGAAAGCGTCGTCAGCAAAGAGTACTTGACAAACCTGTTCAAAAAAGCTGATAAGCTCACAGGGTATCACATCCCACAAAGTCATCTCGTATGGAATGTATGGAAGGACTTTGAGCTCGAACAGCTGGCCGCAGAGGACCCACCACAACCAAAGGATGTCAGCAGAGTCAAGGCAATGTTCATTGACAGAGTTGCTATTCCACACTCGGAACTGGAGGACACTTTCTCCAGTCTGTCATCGTTCATTACGCAATACGACGGCGAGAACTACGAGAATACCATGGTTCATTGCAACAAAATCGCAAGCGTCACTCGAAATGCTTTGTCTGAGATTGAGGGCTATGAGCAGCAGCTGGTAATTAATCAAGTCGTCGAAAAGAGTCTCATTCGCAGTGCAATACGGATGGAATGGGTTCTTAACAGTATATATTTCTCTGTGTAATAGGTTTCTACGAATAATGGTCTGGAGGCATTCATGAGTTATCTAACGCACGAGTTACGCAAAAATAAAGAACAGTTTACTCGGATCAGGACCTTGTACGAGCGGGCAGTAGCTGTGCATTGTTTAGTGCCAGCACTGTGGATCGACTATGTCAGCTTCTTGATGTCCACGGTAAGCAGATAGGCCCATTACCGGTAGCACCTGCTTTTTCAAACCTCGGGGCATCCCACTAACAGTTTTCGTCCGCATCCTCTAGAGTCATCAAAAGAAGGAGCATGACCTTACACCAGCAGAAGTTTTGGACGTTGCAAGAAGAGCGACCCAAAACTGTCCATGGAGTGGAGATATCTGGGAGAACCGTACCCTTTTGCTGGAGACCTATCTGAAGCCAGAGGATGAGATCAGTGGTGAGCATTCTGATACATGATGTTATGATCACTGTTACAAAAAAATTGCGCGATTTAACACCGATCCTTAGCTGTGTTTTCTAGCGCCTTAAATGATATGACATTACTGTCCAACCCGCTGGAGCTCTCCAAAGTGCTTTTGGCACAGTGTTCGTACACCCTCAGACACGCAAGCAAAGACGAGGGTAATGAGTGAAGGAATGCAATTCATGTGAGACCTGCAAGAACAATAGTTTCCACGAACTTACACTACTTTTCTCTTATAGATGGGTATAACACAGTACGAAAGGCATTCGAGTACGCTCTTACCGTTCTTGAAGCAGGTAAGCTGGCCGTTTTGTGAATCAAAGGCGGGTTAATGTGTCAGCACTTATCTCACACTCGCTTTTTCTCATGGAAATTATTAGCGGGCGGCGATCCGTACTGCAAGTTGGAGCGGTTGTGGATCGAATTGGAATCAAGCGCACTTGGAAACCATGAAAAGGCGCGCGAACTCTGGAAATCGATCGAGAGCAAACAAAAGACCCTCTCGGATTTCTGGATCGCACAAGCAGAGATGGAAAAGTATGTTCCTGAACAGCAAATGAAGGCAGCATGGCCGCAGATATATCGTAGTTATTAAGGAAAGGCTTGCTCCACTTTCTTAGGAAACTGAAAAACGACAAGGGCGCTCGTCAGGTTTACGCCCGCTCATGCCAGATTGCTACATCTCTGGACTGGCCCGAGAAAGTCTTTGAGGCATGGCTCATGTTTGAGAGGGAGAGTGGGGACCTTGTGACGTACAAGGACGCGTTACTTCGCTCGCGCGCTGCCATGAAGGGTGTGGAAGCATTTCGTGCCCAGAGTACCCAGGAGATATCGAATGCATATGCGGACCAAACTGCTTATGCAGTTGTACAGCCTAGTGAGCCTGTCATGGCTACGCAGGGGCAAGTCGAGAATGAAGGAGCCCAGGAAGGCTCCAAGAAGCGGAAGATGTCAGCCCAGAATAACGAGCCGGCCGCAAAGATCTTGAAAACAGAACCGGACCAACATAAGACCAAGGATGCAAAGCCGTTGAACATCAGTGCTGGACGACACGAGGATACATGCTTTGTTGTGAACTTTCCGCTCGACATGAGCGAGAAGAAGCTGACAGAGCTTTTCCAAGAAGTAAACAAACGTCGCGTTTTTGGTAACGATTATTTGCGGAGAAGCTATTAAAGTGTTAACCGTTTGTACTGTTTCCACATGTTGCCTTGGATAGTACGGAACAGTTTTGCGATGCACAATACCTCCTCCAAGAAGTGGGGAGATTAAGAAGCGGAGTTTTGCTTATGTCCAGTTTTCGAGTCCTGTACGTCCATGTTATCTCTGTATTCGCTGCGTGTATTATAGACAGGGCAACCTAGTGGCCTCGCTGACCATATCATGTAACGTTGAATATCATAGGAAGAAGCACACGCGGCCCTTGCACTAGATGGAAGAGACGTTGGTCAGCGTCGTGGTCTGTCCGTCAGGATCTCGGACACTAATCAAAAGACGCGTGGAATAGAAGGCGAACCACCGTATGTTGCCGAGATTATGACAAAGATAAAAGAATCTACACAGGTTTGTTTACAGTGCCCTAAAATTTTGTTTTCTCTGTCTTTTATGTGCTTATAGGCTGCCACGCGTGAGCCGCCATGAGGTCCATATCTCTGGAATCACAAATGAGTTGAAGGAAGAAGAGCTTGAAAAGCTGGTTGCACTGTATGCGCAACCCACAAGCGTATTTATTCAACGGGTTGCGCAGTCCAAGGGAAAACCATGGGCTAACATCAAGTTTGAGACTGAGGAAGACGCAGACAAGGCCTTGGCGTTGGACGGAACTATGTTCCATGGCAAGGAGTTAAGCGTCAAGCGGCGTGTGTTCCAGAAGGCGACTGCTGGTGGGGAAGAGGGTCTGTCGAGGAAGGAGAGGAGGAGACTTGCGGCTGAAAAGAAACAGCAGGCGGAAAAGGACGTTGATCAGGAAGAGAGTAAGGACGGAGAAGGAGCGCCTTCGACGAGCAGGCAGCAGAAGCAGTCTGCTGCAGAGTCTTCCTCAATGGACCAGGACACTTCACCAGCCGCCTCGACTTTAAAGGAATCAAAGTATGTTATTATTCGTCTTCGGAGAGCACTTTGTTCATTCCTTGCACCCTTGCATCTTATCTCGCTCACATTCTTCTTCCATTCCACGATGGATAGGAAACCTACGGCGACATTGACATCGATGCAGCCAAGATCTATGGCACCAAGGTCGCTGCAGCCACGGAATCTTAAACCGACTTCTCATACGAGGCCACCAGCCAGAGCCTTCAAGCCAGCGTCGACAACAACGACAACAAACATAGCTTCGACAGCTGAAGCGACGCAAGATGGCGGCGAGGTGGCATCAGTGCCAGTATCGGCACCGAAGAGCAATGCTGAATTTCGGGCACTGATGCTTAGTGGAGCGCTCAAGAAAAAGAACCCCTGATTCAAAAAAGAATTCGAAGGAAGCAGGAGGACGTGTTTTTGCTGAATAAATGAGGACCATCTTCTATTGCGTGGGTAAATGGCAGCTTATGAAATAGTATACTGAGAAATGGTCAGGCAAGAGCCCAGCGTGCGAGCTCCACAAGTGGATATGGCAGGCCATCACTCTTGTCCCGACCTTGGATCGAGTAAAGTACAATATCCCAGGACTCGTTGACACCTGGGGTATCAGCTTGTGACATTGGTATGCACTCTTGAACCATCCCTGTCGCCCAATCTGTCCACTCTACACGTTGATCCATCTCTTTGGCTGTGATCCTTTTCCGCTGGGTCTCCTGCTCGTCCCAGTAGCACAATGAGAGATGGTTGATCTTCTTAAGCCGCAGTTCGAGTTCTGGGAAGGCGTCTTTCCACGCCTGCATCATGTCCAGGAGTTCTGTGGGAGGCTCGATCGCGATGAGGAGGAGGTCTGGACGGGGGCGGAGCAATCCCCGTAGCTTTACGCGACTCGATGGTGCACTGGCGAGGCTGATTTGGTGGATATGCTGACCCAGATACTCGATTAGTCGGTCCTTTGTCGTGGTCGTGGTAGTGGTAGGACTGGGGTCGTCAAAGAATCCGACCATGGTGACATGCGCTGGGTACCGTGCGGCCTCGTTTTCGGACCAGGGCTGAGACTGACTGGCCAGGAAGAACGACTGCAGCTGTGTCCATAGGGTCGAGAAGCGCGCGGGCTCGAGGTATAGGATGAGCTCGGAGGTCATTGCAGAGGACGGAGGTGGGGCGGAATGAGCAAAGTGCAGGATGAGCTGGATCAGAGTGTTCAGATCACCAGCCAGTGGGGTGCAAGAAAGGGGTTCAGGCACAGCCTCCAGCGACTGCTCGCGTGGCTGGTAAGGTACATGTACAAGGTATTTGAGCGTAAAGCATGGGCAACTGGGTCTGAACAAGCAGACCGGGAACGGCATGCACATAGCCGATGACTCTTGCTGGTACCGAATGGCGGCCAGGACTACAGGGAGGAGTGTGTTCGTGAGCTAATCATTGTCCAGGAACTGGTGCCTGAAAAAAAGAGCCTGTCTGGCGTCGAGCCTGTCTGGCGTCGAGCCCCCTTCCCCCCTCTCTCCCGATACAGGAAAGGAGTTGATTGGTGGAAATCGTCTCTGGGGGGATTACGGTTCCATTTCCTAGGCTGACCTTTCTGCCTGCTTGTTTTAGCAGTGGCAAACATGAAAGGGTGTCGATGCCATACATGAACAACAGCACTTTTGGTGCATACATCGCAGACACCCTGCCTAGTCTCCTCAAGTCAGGGCAACGAACTAAAGCCCCGACAGCCATTTCCGCTGCTTCTGTTGCCAACTTTGCGAGGTCTAACTATATTGATCGAATATGGTACGCCTTGTCAGTGTAAGAACTTGGGGCAGTTCTCTCGCGCCCTCCTTGAATGTGTTTAGACAGATAAAAGATCGCTCGTTTGTTGCATTATCACGATTGCTATGAAAAATTTGCCACCGGAGTTGGCAATGCTTGAAGATACTATACTGTAAGTGCTCTCGCGGGCTATAGTTTATATGGTGCCAAGTAGGACGTGGACGTGCTCCATAGAGCCATGTCTTGGTCACACTCTGTATACATTCAGCTTGCTGGTAGTCTTTTTGCTGCTTTAGGTCCCAGGACCCACTGCCAAGGTCTCGAGGATTTGAAGAAGCATACTATCCTGAATGTTATGCGATGAAAGCCAATCTGACATTTATGAATCATTGCCACACCGGGACCCCTTGAGATCGAGGGTTGTATCCGGATTTGTTGTTGTTTGTAACAAGACTTTTTGGAGAGGATGATTCTATAGTTGTACGTCCACTTCGCCTGGTGAGCGTTGTTGTGGGAGCGCAGGTAGAACGATGCGGGGAGCCGTCTGAGTTCGCCACGGGGGCCGAGTGGGGGACTCGCCAAAAATCGGCGCGTCACGACTGGGGGAGTCCGTGAAAAACAAGGTTGCGCTCTTGGTTGGAGACAGGTTGAGGAATGTAGTGACAGTCTTGGCGAGCGGAGAGACTTGCGCATCAGGCCTTCGGGACACAGCAGGAGCTGACGCGCCTACGGATTCAGACATTGTGTGGTATATATCCAAGTCGAGGTATATTTGAATTGGGTTTTTATTGTAAAAATATTTGGGTCGCGACTTCTTGGCGAGGACTCTATTATCCAGGTTTTAAGCAAAAAACGAGAGCATGGTAAGTCAAGGCGATTAACGAATCAGGCATTAGAACAATACACTACCTGATAGTACATTCAAGTAGTAGCACACGAGAAAATATCACGAACAGATGAACCGCAATCGCAAGCGAACATTCAATGCAAGGAAGAAATAGCAGCCTCCCATCTCCACGCCAGTCCCCTGCCTAGTGGTCGGTAAACCCATTTCGAGCACAGCCAGATAGCCATACCTCAATGAACAGAAAAAAGGAGAGGAGACGAGCAAAGAGCGAGGTATGGCATATCCTTCGCGGCTGGTGGACGCCTCATAGAGGTATTAGGGCCGATGTGTGTAGTGGAGGAATACGTACCTGCTGGGTATTGCCAGCTTCCTGATGCAGGAGGAATGCAACACCGGCCCCGCACACCCTTTAGACGGCGCTTTAGAAGCGGACAGTGGTCAGACCCCTGCCAGCGCCCATTCTGCTAGCGAGGTCAAAAGACTCCCAATGGACGCCGTTCTAGAAACGCTGGTCGGACCGTATAGTCAGTAGTGGCCACTTTGAACCCAAACTTTGTCTTCCTACCGTATTCTCTCCATCTTAGGGATGGTTAGCGCGTAGCGATGGCGAGATACACCGATGCAGACAGGCCGAGATTGCTCCATATCATTTTTGCACTGTAATGAAATATGGCTTTGGGCAGATGTGCAGGGCGATTGCTTGAGGAGAAAGAGAGAAGGATCAATGGAGGTAAAGGCACTGCGTCACGTCATAGAGATCCTGCATAGGCTCCAAAGAGGAGGATAAAGACGCCCGATCCAGCATTTTGCTTTTAGTGAAGTACCTTAGAATGTTGCAAACCAGCAACGCTCACTAATTGAAGTTGGTAGAGGTGGCTTTTTTCGCATCTTTCTATGTATGGCATGCTAGACAATAACAAAAATAAAGATGCGCCTTGTCCGAAATGATGTGGTAACGACGCGTCTCTTGGCTTTTTTTTTATTTTTATTTTTTATTAACATAAATCCACATGAGCACGAGGCCGCAAAAGCAACGACGCGTCTCTTGACTACCTATCCTTGGAATTAAAATTATTTTCGCAACAGAGACAAACGAGTGCCAAAACTCCGTTTTTTTGTTTCGTTTTACTAACAGAGAATTTAGGTATGTATCTGGGGATTCTAAGAAGCGGCGCTAGTCATGAATTCTAGAAAAGAGACACCAAGGAAGATAGAAATGGAGGCAGAACTGGGGGTAGCAATGAAAGCGGGCTGCGGTTTGAGCAGTAGAGAGCGGAAAGAATAGCGGTAGAGAGATAGAGAGCGGGAACAATGGCTATGGATTGTGGAGAATGGCGAGGATGAGGGGGAGCAAGACCAGCGAATGCGGGGTAGCGATATTTAGGGTTGACGCACGGGCCAGAACACGGCCCACAGAACGCGGATATGCTTGCTACGCTGTGTCCCTTTCCACAGCGCTTGTTCTCAATGCCAGGTCTGCTGTATAAAGAGCTCCCGGGTTTATTTTAAATACAACTTCTTGCGGGCGACACACGAGTCGCTCGTTTCGATAGGGAATAGAGAGAGAGAGAGAGAGAGAGTTTGAAGAGAGTAATAGTTGAAGGGCGGCTACGAAGAGGGGATGAAATAATAAAGAAAAAATGACTACAAACAAGAATAACAAATAACGACCAATGAACAACTTTAACAACCACAAAAAAAAAACACAAAATTGAGAAAACAACGGCATTACAGGCAAAAGCTCTACAGGACACACATCAAGTCGTCCAGAATCTTGGGATGAATATGCGGCTGCATCGCCGCCTTCGCGATCACCTCCGTGTACTGCACCAGCAGATGCTCGTTATCCTTCGATATTACCCTCAACGTCTCCACTGTCCGCATGCTCGCTGACGTATAGGCCGGTGTCCGTACATCTGCCAGCAACACACTCAACCTTAGCAATCCTCTCACAAACCCGGGCTGTACTACCATATACCGCCTAAAGTCCGCCTCCGAGAGCGCCGCAAGGTTGTAGGTCGCCAACATCAGTGTTTCCAGATGCGCCAGCGCAGAATGAGGCATTACCAGTGCAACCGATTGCTGTTCTGTTACTGTCGTCAAAACCTTTGCCAGCATCCTCGACAGCGCCTCGAACATCGGTAGCAGGAATCCTCCATCCTCCCATTTCTCGACCGCATCGTCCACAGTCGACAGCGTTGATGTGCTTCTGTGTGTTGAGTGCCGAGGTGGGAGGCGACCTCCGTGACGTTGCTTGATCGTCTGTACGCGTAGATCTCGGTCAACGCTTGACAGCAGCAGCCGGTTGTCATGGCTGATGCCCAGTTTCGCAACGGCTTCCAGAGCAAGACTGGCGTAATACGTATCATGCGCGTTCATAAAGTCCAGAATTAAAAGCATGATCCACTGCGCAGAGTCAGAATCTGGCAAAATCAGATATCCAGACAAATTTGCCAAAATGGTCAGCACGTCCTTCCGGTGTTCCAGGATTGTCAACGCTCCAGTAGACGGCAACCACACCTCGCCTGTTGAGCGGGGCTCCAACTTCGTTGCCCACGAATTCTCATTGTCGACGGAGCCGAACGACCGCTTCAAGTCCTTCATTTGGAACGCCAGCAACGTTCCCTTGAGTACCTGCAAGAAACGCGGGTACCGAGCCAGGAACTCAAAATTCGCTGGCAAGAAGGACAGGTTCCTGAGGATGTTCGACAGGGACAAGAACCGTTCCTTGTTGGCTGACCATTGCTCAAAGCTAAGGCTAGATCGTGATGATGCCGAGCTTAGTTCTGAAAGCTCCTCGCAATCCCTTTCTTTCGACGACTGGCACTCCATGAGATGGCAAGCTTCGTCGACGCTGGCCTCAAACAGCTGCTGGTACGTATCGAAATTCGTCCGCTTGCTAAAAATCCCCACAGGTTGCTGTTGCTGCGGTTCTTGGTGCTCTACAGAGCCTTCCCTGTGTTCACGCTCCATTATCGTTCTCTGAGGGCTATCGCCAAGGCTCCAGCCCAGATATGTGTTCTCGAGGAGATCGAGTAGAATATCGAGCAATTCAGGGCAGTGGACCAAGTGAAGGTTGTCAATGTCCTGTCGAGTCAGTGTTGATAACGTGTTGAGGGCGTTCGTGACCTCTAATCTCATTCCAGACTTCAAAGACATGATCAACGCATGTATGTCGACGGTGCCTATAGGAGCAACAACAGTAGCAAAACAACAACTTGGTTAGCATTCAGCCATTATAAAAACGGTATACAACAAAATGATCTGTATCTCACACAACTTACCAAGGTAATCACGGCCCGGCACATAATGAGGAACAGAGAATTTCTCCATGGCCATGATATCGATACCTCCATAAGTGTCGACCGCCCTCGTGATAGGATGATAGGCTACCACCATCGGTTGAGCTGGAGTAGGTGCTGGGGTGTCCTCCTTGGTCTCGCCAGGCTTCAGATCAAGTGCTGCAGGCGACGGCTTCGTTGGCTTAACCGTGGAATCTGAGGATCCCTGTGACTGAGGCCCATGATGAGGCAGTGTTGACGGTAATGTAATGACAGGGACCGGAACAGCCATCATAGCCTGTGCAAATAATCCAAGAGTGGACTCCGATGCATTGGCCGATGCAGGGGCAGCCTGCAAAGCCGAACTAGTGGCCTTAACGCCACCATTTACTGCAGCAGCATTTGAGGATGCACTTGAGTTAGGCTGGCCACCATCGGATACTTGATTCGAGGGAGCTGACACAGAGGCCGACACTCCTGCACTGCTAACGTCACCTTGCGGATCTTGTCCATGTTGATCTAAAGCAACAGACGACTCTTTCAACTGTGCGCTAGCTGCCGTAGTTGACTGCAATGGGACCTCTGACTGGGAGACAGCGCCAACATCCTGTGTTTGCACCGACCCATCCTTAGATTCGGACACTCCTGTCTGATCCACACTGGATTCCTTGTCTTGAGACACCATACCATGTTGAGACTCCGCGCCCTGGTTTGCGACCAGTGCCATTCCCTGATCTTGCGCTTGCGATGGCGGCTGAACATGGGCTTGAGCTTGTGCCTGTGCTTGCGCTTGTGCTTGTGCTTGAGCTTGTGCCTGGGCCTGGGCCTGTGCTTGTGCTTGTGCCTGTGCTTGTGCTTGTGCTTGCGCTTGCTTCAACAGCATTGCAGTTGGGTAAGGCGAGAACCGTGCAGAAGCATTGGGAACAGGTCCTGAGCTCGTCATGCCACCCGGGGCCGGGTTGCGGGCGTTAGGCATCGCCTGCTGTTGCGCTTGTTGCGCCTGTTGCTGGAGCAATTGTTGCTGCTGCATTTGCTGTTGCATCTGCTGTTGTGGTAGCTGTTGTTGCTGTTGTTGCTGCTGTTGTTGATGCTGTTGTTGCTGCAACTGTAGCTGCTGCTGTTGATGCTGCAACATTTGCTGGTGCTGGAACTGCTGCATTTGATGTTGCTGCTGGAGCTGAAGTTGATTAGGATGGAACCCTTGCTGCTGATGAAGCATGGGATGCGCGCCAGGCATGCCCATCTGCGCCTGCTGTGGTGGGAGCCCTGGTGTCATTTCTTTACCAAACGGCGAGTTGGCTGATGACCCTATACAACCAATTGAGAACGAGAGATGAGTTAGCTGTAAACACAGCATCAGTACAGTCGAAGAGAAATAGGAGCAATTGTGTACCTTGAGTATCCATGGATTCTGGCAAGGGCAACACTGGAATAGCACCTAGTGACGGATGTACCGCCAAACCAGCGCTCTTAGCATTCATAATCGCTTCTTCGAAAGGATGAAGGAGAAGCGAATAGTGTTTGCGCAGTGTTTGAGCCGCTGTCGCAAGGGTATCGGGAATATCCAGCTGGCTAGAGATACTCTTCCATGCCTTTTGCTTCGATACCTAGATGATTGAAATGGCATGGAGCAACAAAGTGTCAATCATAGTCTTATATATAATGGATCAGGCGTTACAAATAGAGGTTTCGAGACTTACACTTTCCATTCCACCCATAGCCATTGAAATCCGGAACAGCAACAGTAGGTTGATCTTTTTGCTGCCCATACTTGGAATCTTTGTTGGCAGCGGGGTGTTCCGACTTTTCATGAAATCGCGCAGTTGGTCCTCGAATTCGTCGCAGGTGATTGTGGTGTAGTCGATATTCAAATTCGGCACCACATTGTTGATGACTGGAAGACTGGCATTTGCTGGCGATGGCGATGACTGGGCTGATGTAGGCTGAGATCCTTGCGGCTTTCGCGCTCTTGCAGCCATGCTTCCAGCGAGGGCATTGTTGCCAGGCATGTGGGCTCCAGATAGTCCATTCATGTTTTGCATATGCTGCTGCTGTTGCTGCTGTTGTTGCTGTTGCTGCTGCTGTTGCTGCTGTTGCTGCTGTTGTTGCTGCTGCTGTTGTTGCTGCTGTTGTTGCTGCTGCAATTGCTCGAGCTGTAGACGCTGCAGCATTTGGTGCTGCATTTGAGGAGTACCTTGCAATTGTGGTTGGCCCTGAAGATGCATCGGCATCGACATCGGTTGCTTCTGCGCATTCTGCTGCTGCGGGGTATAGGATGGCGAATTGAAAACGCCCTGTTGCTGGATCATATTCTGTTGTGCCAATAGTTGCTGCTGCTTCTGCTGTGGTGTCTGGGGCATTATGGGACTCGATATGGCATTAGGAGCCATCTTGGGGCTTTGATTCATTCCCTGCGCTGCTTGCTGCATCATTTGTTGTTGAAAGTTCCGCATTTGCATCTGTGCCTGGTATCGCTGTTGAGCAGCAGCTTGCTTCTTCATGTTTTCAAACTGCTCGTTCAGTGTCGCGATCATGTTCGCATCACCGTTCGCTCCAATCAATGCCTGCTGATGTCTCCTCTGCAGCTCCTCCATGGTGTTCAAGTAGCGCTGTTGGTTCGCCTGCTGTAGCAGATTCATTTGCTGACGCACCTCCATGGGAAGGAAGGGCATTCCTGGCGTCATGCCATTCCCGGCCTGAGCGGGTTGCTGTTGCGGCTGCATCATCATCGCCTGAGGGTTGGTTCCTACGGGGCTCATGCCATTGCGATTCTGATTCAGTTGCTGCTGCTGCTGCTGCTGTTGATGTGGAGGCATCTGTAGCTGGAGTTGCTGCCGTGGCAGATTCAGGTTCCCAGGTTGATTCTGATGTAGCTGCTGAGGCTGGGATTGCTGCTGTTGTGGGTTAGCATTTGGCTGAAGTGCAGACTGGACTTGTGATGCCGGAGACTGTTGGCTGAATGTGGCTGCGGATGGTGTTGTAGGTTGACCATTAGAGCTGTTAGGGTTAGTATTGTTGCTGTTTTGGTTGGCATTGTTGTTGCTGTTGCTGTCCCCGTCATTGCCGTTGCCTCTATTATTGTTGCTACTGTTATTGTTGTTGTTGCCCGTGCTGCTTCCACCGTTCCCTGGAGTACCTGGCTGAGCGGAGGGCGTACCATCATTAGAATTGGCAGCGTTGGAATCGGCGGCCTTTGATGGCGCAGAACTCGGACCCTCGTTAAAATCGACAAAGGACTCTAGGCCGAAAAGATCATCGCTCATATCGCCGCCAGCTTGCTGAGAGGCACTTGCCGAATTGGTTTTTGTCGAATCATTATTAGACCCAGAGACACCATCAGATGTCGTTTGCTGCGGTGGTTGTTGCAGTTGAAAGCTGTTCATTAATGGTGTTTGGTGTTGCTGTTGTTGCAATTGCTGTTGTTGCTGTTGCTGTTGTTGCTGATGCTGATGTTGCTGTTGCTGTTGTTGTTGTTGTTGTTGTTGTTGTTGTTGTTGTTGCTGTTGCTGTTGCTGTTGCTGTTGTTGTTGCTGCTGCAGCAGTTGTAATTGTTGATGCTGCATCATTTGCTGGTGCTGGAACTGTCGCTGCTGTTGAGTAAGAGCAGCAAATGCAGGGTTATTACCGTTCATCTGGAAGGGTGGACCGCCACCGACGCCGAGGGCCTGCCTCTGTGCCATGGATAGAGCGTTGTTCTGTCCCATCATTCCTGGGTTGAGGTTGGGCATTGCATTGGACATTGTGGGTGTTCCGTACATGTTCCTGATCTGCATCCCCGGGTTGACTCCGTTGGCTAGGATTGCCCGATGAGATACAATAGGAAGTAAAAAGGGATCAATATGTGTTATCTTCACGCCATAAGTTGGGTCAAGGAATGTATGCCAGATAGCTCCGCGCTTACCATTCATCCTCCCCACAAGTCCAGGTGGAGAGAATTGCAGCTGTGGATTGAATTGGCCGTTGTTGTTGGGTGTCTCGTTGGACATCGGTAGGAGCGATGACTAGATGATGGCAGGGATGATCGAGCGATTCCTTCTTGACGCCCGATCGCGGTTTCGTTTCAAGTCAAGACAGGCTTGAGGAGCGAAGCAGTAGTGATCTGTGGTCAGCAACTATCACGTCTCTGCGTCTGCAGAACCTCATTACAACGACGGCAAAAAGAAACACGCGCTTGCCTCGGCTTACCTTGAGAATGAAGTAGCGCAAAAAAAAAAAAAAAAAAAAAAAAAAGCGGGCGTGATCCAGGCAGCGACGAGGTGATGTGCGATTGTATGATATGTGATGTGATTAAGAACGCTGTGCCTTGAGATCTTTATGGAGCATGGCCAGCAGGTATGGTTGTGCTCAGAAATTATAGAGAAGAAAAGAACGATGGTCAAACGATCCAATAGCACAAAGGGCGGGGACGCGATGGGTGGATGTAGAGTGGAAAGAAAGGACAGGGACGGACAACGAGAGGGGGGAAGATGGAAAGAGGGAAGGGGTTGAAGCGGGGTTGAGTTGGGTTTAGTGGGCAACCGCGTATTGGATGGATTGGATGACCACAGGCCAGGCGACTGGACTCTTTCCCTCACGTGAAGACCACAGCACCCAGCATCTGGGTCAAAAATAAAATGGACGCGATAGCCTGCACAGCAAAAGAGAAAGAGAGAGAGAAAGAATGCCGCGCGAGAACATTTGAGTAATCCTTTATCGTTAATCTATTGTCTATCTCTCCAGCACAGCGAGGATGGCAGAGTGCTGGCCTCCTGCCGCCACCTTCAACACGCGGCATTTCTCAATTTGCTGCCCAGTCAATTTCAGAGGCTTCTCCACGTCCTCCTCCTCGCCATTGCCGCACGCCAGCATCTCTCCGAATCCCCATGCATACACTTCTCCTGTCTGTGTCAATGCTAAAGTGTGATTTCCGCCAACAGAGATAGCCTTGATTGAGGGAAGTCCTGGGATCAACGTAGGGTGGCGGATCGCTTTCTTGTGGCTGCTTGGGTCTTCAGATCCGGGAGCTTCAGTGTATCCAAGGCCGAGTTGGTGACTGTCTGAGCGGCCGAATCCATACAGTTTCCCATCCTTGGACAGAGCAATGGTGTGATGTTCACCTCCTTGGATGTCGATTATGGTCTCCAGTTCCAAGGCTTCGATCGAGGCAACAGAGGGTATGTTTTCGAGCTTTGGATCCTCATTTCCACACTGGCCATAGGTATTCAGACCCCATGCGTACGCCTTTCCTTCTTTGTCGATCGCAAAGGAGTGATATGATCCTGCGCCGACTTTTGTGATCCCTTTTGCGCCGACAGACTCTGGTGTCAGACCGTTCAACATTCGACGAGCGAGGATCCTGCGGCCAAGCTGCATCTGCTGTCCGTTGCCCCAGCTGTAAACCATGCCGTGGATATCGAGCGCCAAAACATGATCTGTTCCTGTTGCGATATCGACAATATCGTGAAGTCCTTGGACAATGGTTGGTAGCTCTTGCACCTCCTTCTCCTTGGAGTGACCTAGAATTCCTTCGGCGCTCTAACCATGCAGAGTGAAAATGAACAAAAGGTAATTATGATGGCTAACCACGGATGCACGTCTGCCATGACTAACACCTTTGCAAGCTCAGTTTCCTTACCCGAAATGTGCCCCAAGTGTACACATAGCCTTCATCGGTCAGTGCCACCGTCAACGAGTCAGAGCAGGCCACCCTGACGATTTTAACGTTGTCTAATCCTTCTACGGGAAGGGGAGTGTACTCATCACCAGAGCGACCAAGCGTTCGCTGATCGTTCACACCCCAGGACCAGAGCTGATTGCGTGGAGGCAGCTATATTAGTTTCGATGCCAATGAGATCAAGCCATTGGGAAAATACCAGCAAAAGGCAACCACTGACCTTCCCGTCCGCTGTGAGAGCCATGTTGTGCATACCACCCGCAGCAATGTCGACAATCTGCTCGTCATTGAGCGCTGCGAGATTGGCTGGCTTTTTCCTGGAGAGAATGTCCTCTCCTAGTCCAAGCTGGGCGCAATCGCCAGTTCCAAAGACGTACACACGGCCAGGGGTTGTATCGCGAGTAGGCTTTGGCAGCAGATCCGACTGCGTTGTCTGGTGCGATTTCGTCTTTTTAAGTCCTGGAGCCGCAAAATGACCTTCGCGTGCGCGTTTAGTTGTGCCTATTGAGGTTAAACCCAAGGCAAGGCAGCATTGGATGCAAGGGCGATAATGGAGGTGAACAGACATATTGAACGAGAATTCAGCAACGCAAGTTCATCAAATCAGGCAGAGGGTAGATGAGGAGAGGAATTAGCAAAACGAGGTCTGTGAAAACGCGTTTCTCATTGTTACCTTGGGACATTATTCTTGATGGCAAAGTGTTGAGGAAAGTGAAAAAGGAATCGATTGGGGTACCGAGGTAGTGGACCTTTTCGCTGTGAGGATGCCTCAGACCCCTTAATAAGGCAGTCTACGAGTGGAAGTCTGGCCAAGTAGATGTCATGTCTAATGTTCCGGCTGCAATTGAATTAGGCAGAGCAACATCGACGCTGATATATTGCTCTGCTCTATATCCGAGACTGAGCAGTGTCCGCTTCGTCCAAAGCACTTCGGAGTCATGGCCAAAGTGAGTATATCCGGCATTGTGCATATTTTATGTATCCAGAGCAGTCCTCTGAAGGCGAAGCTTTCTTGTGTTGAAACAAAGTTTTTAGTTTATGGATGAATGCTGACTATGTGCAAGTGCGGGATGGAGTATATAGGAGAGGGAGAAATGTAATGCTATTGTACAAGTTGAATTGATTTTGCTGTGCCTGGAATGGCGGGTGAAGATTGGGTGGTGTATGTGTGTTGCAATTGAGAACAAAGGACATCAGATCCCTTAGCGTTCTTATCCCTAAAAATACTTGCGGTCCAGCGAGAAAAGTTGCTTAGTAGCGGTAGTGCTCAGGCTTGAAGGGGCCTTCAGCGTTCAGGCCAAGGTACTCAGTCTGAACAGTGGTCAACTTGGTCAACTTGACTCCAATCTTGTCCAAATGAGCAGCAGCGACCTCCTCGTCCAACTTCTTGGGAAGCATATGGACACCCAGAGGGTAGGACCCATTATCGGTCCAGAGTGCAATTTGGGCCAAGACCTGATTTGAGAACGAGTTGGACATGACAAACGAAGGATGACCCGTAGCGCATCCCAAGTTAACCAGGCGGCCCTCGGCCAAGAGGATGATGTGGTTGCCGGAGGGCATCTGGAAGCGATCAACCTGGGGCTTGATGTTGACGTGAGCGACAGCATTTTTCTTCAACCAGGCGACATCCAGCTCGATGTCAAAGTGGCCAATGTTGCAGACAATCGAATCGTCCTTCATGGCCGAGAAGTGTTCGCCACGAATAATGTCACGGCAGCCGGTGGTGGTGACAAAGATGTTACCCTCCTTGACGGCTTCCTCCATCGTAGTGACCTCGTAGCCCTCCATGGCAGCTTGGAGAGCGTTAATGGGATCGATTTCAGTAATAAGGACGCGGGCGCCCATGCCCTTGAGGGCAGCAGAAGAACCCTTACCGACATCGCCGTATCCGGCAACGACAGCAACCTTTCCAGCAATCATGATATCGGTGGCGCGCTTGATTCCGTCAATCAAGGACTCACGACATCCGTAGAGATTGTCAAACTTGGACTTTGTGACAGAGTCGTTGACATTGATGGCGGGAACTTTGAGCTTGTTCTCCTTGAGCATCTTGTACAAGTGATGGACCCCAGTGGTGGTCTCCTCAGTGATGCCCTTGATCTCGTCCAGAAGTTCCGGGTGACTCTCGTGAATGAGAGTGGTCAAGTCACCACCGTCGTCCAAGATCATATTGGGACCCTTGCCGTCCTTGAACGCGCGGAGCTGCTGCTCGAGGCACCACATGTACTCTTCATCCGTCTCTCCCTTCCAAGCAAAGACCTAATCATATTTGACAACATGAATGCGATTCAATTGTTAAGTCTCTTTTTTCGAAATGTAGCTAAAGCAATTGAGGATACAAACAAAGAAGAAAATTGTACAGGGACACCAGACTCGGCAATGGCGGCAGCAGCGTGGTCTTGGGTCGAGAAGATGTTGCAGGAAGTCCAGGTAACCTCAGCGCCGAGAGCGGTCAAGGTCTCGATTAAAACGGCAGTCTGGATGGTCATGTGGAGCGAGCCGGCGATGCGGGCGCCCTTTAGCACCTGCTGAGGCCCATATTTTTGACGGAGAGCAATAAGACCGGGCATCTCATTCTCGGCAAGCTCGATCTCTTTGCGGCCAAAGGCAGCGAGACTGATATCAGCTATGGGCACGCAAATTGTGCGAAAGAATGGTTAGCAATTGCCTCAATTTAGTGGGCTGAGAAAAGAAGCCAGTTACTAGTTCATTCCGGAAGTTGATGGTGGATAGGAGAGACGACGGACAATGCCCGACTAGCAACAAACAATGCTCGAATTCCCACAGAAAGGGGTCATAAGTTATGGAAAGATCCTACTTCTTATTGAAGTGCCACAGATAGCACAATAGAACTGTAGAGAACAACGTGGGGATGGATGCAGAGGAAATGAGATGTATCGCGAATGTGATGCGGGTAGTGTAGAGGGCGAGGAGGGGCAGGGAAAGGACTTACCGATTTTGAAGGTCATGGTGCGGTGGTAGGGATGTTGTTGTAAGACCTATGGGGGTGTTAGTAGAGCGAAGAGCAAGGAAAAGGAAGGAAAAAAAAAAAAAAAAAGAGGTTATTTTTTAAGTGGATGAGAGTGTACGTGCTGCGTACGTATCCTCTAGGCGCAACAGCGCAGACGCCAATTGAATTCAGTCTCCAATCGCAGAGTTGACATAACAATATTGTATGTAGTCAAAATATGATTCGCGAGCATGGGAACAAGAAGAAATGGCATAAGAAGAAGTAGACGGAGGAAGCGCAAACGCGCATGGACCTGCAAGAGTCATTCTCTGTGATTAAACAAGCGTCGTGCTTGTCGTGCCTGGCTGCACGAGCGTGCAGAGTTCTTGTAATAGCATTCCGTATCAATCTCAATCCGTTTCACATTCTAAGTGGCCCCTGCTTCTGCAATTGAGCTACCGGAATGGACTCCACTTGGCTCCCTCCCAAACATTCTCGGCCCCTCTGCCCTTCTCTTGTTTCCAACTATTTCGTCTGTTTTTCAGCATAGATGTTCAGGCCTACATGTGATGTGAGCAGGCAGCCCCTGTCCAACACAACCCTTTTTTGCGGACGGTGACTTGTATTGCAGGAATCCCTTGCACTGCACATTGCATTCGCATCTTCCCCACATGCTTGATTTCGCCGCTGTTGATGCTGCACCCTCTCAAGTCATGGCAGAAAGCGACATTGACATCCCCACCATCGACGCCGTCTTTCTTGTCCGCTTCGACACCCGCCGGGGCAATATACTGGAATGGAGTGATTCTACGCCAGGTATGCACACCTGTTCAGCACATTCAACTGGATACACCATTCGTGGCATGAAAAGTCGTCACCGGATGCTGATACTGCAACAGTGTGTGCGAGAACGTGTCAGCAATGTATATCTGACCCTGTTCCCGTGTCTCATTGCCATCAATGCCTGCCTTAGGAATCCAGCTTAACGGCATTGAGTTCTCTGCCCTCCCGAGCGGTCTCCACAACAGTTCGCAGGACGTGATGTATGCTACAACCATTCGTGCAAAGACAAACGTGGGGAGTTACCGCTATACTGAGTTCGCGCTTGAACTAATACTAATCGACTTTGGTTTCCTTGCCCGGCTACTGTAGATATTTTCAGCTGGAAGGGTGTATTGGAGTATCGGTGTATGCAAATGTGCCGTCAAGTAATGTGGAGCATCGTGGAGCGCAGATGGCCTCTGTCGGGATCCTTGTCAAACCAAGTGCCGATACTGGGCGATGTGGACAAGTCTGGAGACATGTCCAGTTCTTGAAAGGCCAGGCAAGGTATGTGATATAACAGACGTCCATACCAACTTTGACTTGATTCTCCTCTTCAGATCATGGCTCCTCACTGACAGTCCGCTTTCAATGTAATCTATGCCTGCAGGCACCACGCCACCAATGACTCGGATACGACAGAGTTGGCTGCATATTTTGCTCGACATAAAACGCCACTGCATGCAGCGGGACCTTCGACATCCTCCAGCAAACGGGACGCTTATCGCGCTCGCAACATTCGTCGAATCAGTCGCTCTTTCACGCTTTCAGAACCTATTCCGGCAATCACACAATCCCAAAACGGACGCCATGAAGTTACGCAGACAGACGATATTCCTGTAAGTTTGGCTATTACATGTTTGTTTCTACAAGATAACTGCAGCATTTGATGCTAATGCGCTTTTACCGGTGTGTACCCCCTCGACCTGCCGACTATCTTATTCGCGGCTCCATAGGCATCACACCCCTCGCACCATTTTCTTCGCCTTGTACAGGCATTGGGACCGTCCATTTACATTCTTTGGAAGGCTGCCCTGCTGAGGAAGCGCATTCTCATATATACCCCTCCTCCAATCGAGTCTGCCTGTCTCTTTGGTACGTTGTGTGGCCTCATCCGCCTAAATCAACTGCTACGCGCGTTCAATGTTATTTACTAACGCACTTTGAATTGTTGTCATGTTTTAGTGTACAATGTTTGTCTTATGGCGACCGTGCCTTTCGGAACCAGCGTTATATCACAGAGTAAATCAAACGAGAAGATACAGCCGCTGTTTTGCGTTGGCATCCATGACATTGACCATATGGAGGCCTTGCGAGGCGGATATGTTGCCTGTAAGTCCCTCGAGAAAGCACTGCTCCACTTTATTCGCGGACTTTCATTGACTTCTCTCTGACGCCGCGATAACTTTTAATTTCTCAGGTACCACGGACAAACTGTTCCTATTCAAGTCTCAATTGTATGATGTCCTCGTCGATTTATCTGCACCAACTACGAAGGCAATATATGCTACTCCATCGAGTGCCCATCCCCTGATACAAATAGTTAAGTCAACAGGCAAAGGACTTGAACAAACAGAGTGCCATCCTAATGCGGCCGACAACCGTCGGTATTTTATACTGCTCCAAGAACTGGGACGATTCCGGAGGCGTCAGGAATGGATGCAAAGGCGGCTATACGCCGAGGCAGCATCCTCAGGGTCGTATACAGACCCTGGAGAGACCGAGGACGCATCAGAGCTACATGAGCCAGAGCTGCCCACCATCGATTCTACGGCGGGTATGCCTGTGAGTGGATTCAATATGTCCGACACACTTCGAAAGATGCTCACTGGAGGCTGGTGGTGGTGGTATGGAGGTGAGGATTCTGAAGAGGATGGATTAGAGTCGTTGCTCCCACGAGCGACAGTTCCTGAGCAGGAGCATGAGTCCCAGGATGAGAATGGACCGCTGAGTGGTGCGCGCTTGCAGGTTATACATACGCAAGCTAGTGGTTCTTCCGACACAGAAGCCATCAGGTAACAACCTGGTTTCTTTTGGTAGGATGCGGATGTGTTCAGCTTGATCTTGTCTCATACCACTGACCATCTTCTCTCTTGTGTGTCTGACCCCTTGCATTGTCTAGGTTCTTCCATAATCTCACTTCGATATTATTTATGGATCTGGGTCAACTGATAGCGTTCAAGGAAACAGCAGCCATTTTTGAGGAGGCTGAGTCTGTTTCGATTATCGCCGAGGAGGATGCGTCGAGACGACCGGTTGAGATATCCAGGCAGGACATGCGCCAATTGGGCCTGGATCCGTTCAAAGACTGCGATTTTGTCCATGAGCTGGGACGCCTGTACTTTGGTTCAGAAGTCCAGCTCGATGACTCTGGGTTTAGTGTTTGGTGCTGTAATCTTTCAAGCTGCTGTTTGCCGCCATCCTAAGGAACAACGTGGGGCATGTCCAGTGTTTGACAGTGCAGGAATGCTTATTGCGAATAAACATTTTTTCCGAGACAGCAAGCAAGGCTGTGCATACACAGAACAAATAAAGTGGATTTTATTCCTCCCGCTGGACGCATGACTACTCCCGTTTCCCGCTACTCTCCCACCGGCACTGGATCTGGGGTAGTCTGCTGGCCTTGAATGACGACTTTGCTGTCTACAAATGTAATTGTCTGGGTCTCCATTGCACCAAGATTCGCCTCTGACTCTGAAGGAGGCCCACAGAAGAAGCAGAATTACAGTAGGCACAGCAGCAATGGAAGCAGCAGAAGCATTATTACTCTATTATTTTCAGGAGTAGCAAGCATCTGCATTTTGGGTGTGATTATGATCGTAGTGAAGCATTGTTGACTTTGACTTTTGACTTTACCGTTTTTTTTTGTCTTGTCCTGTCAAAATCAACCAACCAACCAAATCCCCTTCTGCCCGCCCTGCCGCCCCGCCATCCGAGTCCTTTCATTCATCTGCCTCCACCCGCAGGTCAAAACTCCTTCCTCTCTCTCTCTCGCTCTCTCTCTTCTCGTCTTCTCGCTGCCGAGTCCATCCCTTGACCATCCCTGCCAGTCGGTGCTTCCTTCTCCCTCCATCTCTCCCCCCTCCCCCTCACCCATCCTTCACCACCGCCACCGCCACCACCATCTCCATCACCCCCTCGCGAGGAAAATTCACAACGACGCCCCGACACTTTTTTTTTTTTTTTTTTTGCGATTTCTCCTTCCTCTCTCTGTGTCAGACTCTCATCCTCTTGCCCCCTCGCAGAGAAGAAAGAAAAAAAGAGTTGCATCAACAACGTAAGACCAACAACACTCCAAGCACCGCCGCTGCGTCATCTGCTATTCTCCCCAATCCAGCAACAGTGCCGAGAACAAACCCTCATCTGTACCCCACCCTCCCTCTCCGAACCATCACGCACATCACACACACATCATACTATCACGCCATCACATCATCATACCATCCCACCATCCCGTCATCACACTGGCTATTCGGTATATATAGACTAATATGCCTATCCTTCAAGCCCTCCCTTCGTCACTCTGTCGACCGTTGAATCAATTGGCCGATATTCTTGACAATAGCAACAAACGCCTTTGTATGTGCGAATGTGTGTTTGGCGTGTGTTTAATATCTGCGTGTGCTATGTGGGTGTGGGTGTGTGTGGGTATGTGTGTGCTTCTGTACCTCCTCGACCACTCATACCCCCCCTTGCCCTTTTTTTTCTTGTTCTTTGTCTTCTTTGGTTGTTTGTTTGTTATTGTGCTCTTTCATTTCATTCTAGCCTTCGCCTTTGTCTGCATGGGTGAATGCATGTATGTGTATCTACGTTTGCGTATGTGTGTGCGCCTTCCAATCTGCCCAATGGGTCCTCACCCATCGGCCATCCATCGGCCATCTATCGGCGTTCCTGTTTGCGGAATATAGTTGATGGTAATGGCCCTATATTTCATTGAAAGAGAAGGACCCTTTTTTTTTTTCATTGCTCCGCAAATGACGAGGTGTCTTTGCTGCCAACATGGATATGGGATATGGATATAGATATGGATATAGATATGGACATGGATATTGGCAGAGCAATGGAGCAAATGGGAACTATCGAACCATCTTTGATGACATCTACACCTCTCCTCGCCCGTACACATGCACTGCATGTACCCTGTCCCCAGATGCACACATCTATGCGTTCTCCATACTTCCATTCCCGCTCGCATCCATTTACATCTTATCCTTTGGGCCCATAATAATTATGCCCCAAATGCATGTTTATTTATTACCATTTTATTATTTTTTTTTCTTTGTCTTCTCAGGGCTCACTGTTGTAACACTGTCCGACTCTCGTAGCACTGTTTGCAGAGATATATGCTACATTGTTGGATTAAGAGACTTTTTCTATTTTTTTATACCGTTGCAAAGGATACACACATGGTGATGTTGTTACAGAGGAAGAGAAGTCTCCATGTGTGTGTATGTGTCTGTGTGTCTGTGTGTGTGTGTGTGTCTGTGTTGTGCACGAATGTTTCTTTGCAGAGTCATCGACTGAGCTGCACCGCACCGCATCGCTCCGTCGCTCTTTCGTCCGCTGCACAGTCTGTCTGGCTTTCATCGGCTCTTTTTGCTCGTCTTCCACTCATTCTTCTCGTCTCCGTGCGTGGATGTGTGTATATGTGTGTGTGTATGTGTGTGTGTGTGCACTATCCAACCAATATGACGCTCTGTCCACCCACGGAAGCGAGTGTTGTAGAAGAAACGTTTTTTTTTACCTCCCTTTTCTTCATTCCCCTCCCTCTCTTCCTTTCCCTCTCATTTTCATCGAGCTATTGCTCCTCTCGTGTTTCGACTATACCTTCTTCCCTCTGTCTTATACCCCGTATATCTCGTTCTCACTCAACCGTCCACTCTGGCACTCAATTCCCCGATTCTCACTCATTCGCCCCCAATTCTATTCTCCTGCTCCAATTATCGCTCTCGGAGCAGCAACAGGACTGGGCTGACCCAGGAACCGGCAGTCTTACTTTTTTTTTTATCTTTTTATTTCTTTCGTGTGAGTCTCCACCAGCACCGAATCGACTACACACATGCATTCATGCCCACATACACAAATGCATACAAAGCCCGAACAGGCACAGGAAGATATTCCTGACGATGTTCCTGGCCGATGGAATCTTTGCGACTAATCCATGTATCGTCCTCCCATCCTTCACCCCTACCTTCACTTTCACTTGTACAGGGACAAGTCTCTCGGTGGCCTTGAATTTCCATGTCGGGCAAGAGTAACGCGTCTAAGGACGAAGGTAAGGAAAAAAGAAAAAAGAAAAAAGAAAAAAAAAGGAAAACCCCCTCTCCCCCTCTCGCTCAGCAGAGCGTGCCTGTCACGCTTGCCATCTACGTATCGCTTGGTCGCAGTAACACGCGAGAGTGCCTCAGCGATAGTATCCTTCCTCCCTCAGCCTATCAGCCTATCAGCCTGCTGCCAACTGCTGCCCCTTCCTCGTTAAGCGCCCCTTGGTCCTTTTTGTTTGCATATGCGATGCTCGTTGCCGCTATGCGCTCAATGTGTTCTGTCCTCTCTTGTCTCAGAGCATACGATGCCCCAATGCAAATGCGAGCACTCCCCTTCTGCGGACACCGAATGAAACGAAACGAAACGAGCACCTCACTGGCCTCATGTTACCCTGACCGACTCCTTCTTTCATACCCCCCGCCTCCTCTCCCATATCTCAACCCCATTTGCATGGCCTATGCCTACTTCCCTGGTCACTGACATGGTGTATCCCCCTTCTCTGTTTGCTGCCAGTAGCTTCCTCCGCTAGTCCCCTAAGTGACCTGTCATCTGGAGCCAATTCTGCTGTCCTGGCCAACGTCAACAGCAACGCCGTCCCCAGCAGCGGCAACAATGGCAACAGCAGCAGCGCCAGCGGTGGCAATAGCAACACCGGCAGCAACTCCGCCCATACCCCGACTTCGCCTTCCTCTGTCAAGTCGCGCAAGAACCCAATTGAGTCCAAGGCACAGAAACCATCGTTCCTGTCACTCCTCTTTTGCTGTGGCGCCAATTTTGTCAATGACAGCGATGCCTCGTTGCAAGTCGGAAGTCCTAACCGCCCTCAGACCGTGAGCATTGGAAAGGCCGCTGGAAAGAAGCCCATGGCTGCGCATGTGGCCGACGAAAAGTCACTTCCGGCGCAACCCACCGTGGTCGACGCGGCAGCACCTCCAAGCCCTGAGGAACCGGAGGGAGTAAGTTCGACTATTCGATTTGGTACCCCCCTGAAACGCCATTCACCATGCACCACACTGCACACTACGGCTATTCACCGGGACGACGTTGCGGCAGCGTATTGAGGAAGTGGCAAACCAGCAAACCAGCAAACCAGCAAACCAGCAAACCAGCAAACCAGGAAACCAGTGAATGGAAAATAGATGTGGAGTGCTGTGCATGGACATTCTGATCTTGTTCATGCATGTGCTCTTTGACAGCGGCAGACCAGCCGGTATGCGACTTCAGCTTGACGGATGTGCAAAGATGGCTCGCTCGCCAGAACGGATACAACAGGAAAGGGACCTGACTAATTTATCTCCTACACTACATTACTGTTCAGGAACGGGCTCACTATATCATCTGCATGCAATGAGCTAATGATATGCTCCTATGTTGTTCTTGCTACAATAGGAACACTTGCACTCGCAAGATATTGAGCTGCCCGGACTACTTGGACCGATCGCACCGGAGCATATTGGTAAAAAGTGCCTGGTGCTTGATTTGGACGAGACGTTAGTCCACAGTTCATTCAAGGTACAGTCGTGACGAAGATGCACTGTCCATTGCATTTTTAGTACGGACGGACCCACGGTGTCTCACCACACTCTGGCTATACTTTTCATTCAAATGCTAATAGCTAATCCCGCAAGCGGACTATGTCGTTCCTGTCGAGATTGATAACCAGTCGCATAACGTCTATGTAATCAAACGGCCTGGTGTGGACACTTTTCTGCAAAAGATGGGAGAGCTTTATGAAGTTGTGATCTTTACGGCCAGTTTATCCAAGGTAAATACGTTCGCAGTTGAGTTGCAGAACTTATTTCAGTGTAATGCTAGATGGAGCCGTGTTCTTATTGTTCCCGTCCTGTTTACCACGCTTTTAGTATGCCGATCCGGTGTTGGACATGCTGGATATTCATCGTGTCATTAAACACCGTCTGTTCAGAGAGTCTTGTTTCAACCACAAAGGAAACTATGTCAAGGTAAGGATTGGTGGCGTAACTCTTTAAGGAGAGCTCCTATCTGTGGCATTTGATCCAACAAAATCTAATCAATGAACCCATTATTGCTTCTACTAGGACCTCTCTGTAATAGGCCGAGACCTGAAGAATACCATCATCATCGACAACTCTCCAGCCAGCTACATCTTCCACCAGACTAATGCGGTGCCCATTTCATCATGGTTCAATGATCCGCATGATACCGAGCTGCTGGATCTTATCCCGTTTCTTGCGGATATGACGGTCGTGGACGATGTGAACCCCATCTTGGACATGGCCAATGAGGAACAGCAATAATACCTGGACTCTCTGCGTGATGCACGACGCATGTCCCTTCTCGCTCGCTCGCTCTCTCTCCCTCTTCCTTTTCCCCCCCCTTCCCTACATACTACACGAGTAAATAATCATTTCGTTTTTTTTTATCCCCCTCCCCCCTATCTCAATGTACCTCTCATGAAACCTGCAATGAAAAGCAAGGATGACAGCAACAGAAATCAAAAACGCCTCTTTTAGAAGAGAAGACGAGGCTGAAAAAAATAAAGAAAACGTATAATTCTAGCCGCTCATTGACTGAAAAGGCATTCTTGACCCTCAAAACTGAGGTAGGAAACTGTGGTGGTACCATGTTCACATAATCGGTCATTTTTGACGATGCAGCTGTATGCCTGCATGGTCTTTATTCTTCTCCTGCTGCTTCAGCCTTGACTCTTGCTAGGCGCCGCTGTTTCACGTCCCAGTTGTAGACACGGGCGGTGTTGACTTCCATGGTAGTAATCTGGTCTCGCAAGTAAACCAAATCCTCCTCCGTATTCTTTAGTGTCTTCAACGCGGCCTCCAGCTTCGAAGCCAACAGTTCTGCGGCCTCCCCAACAGGGTATTCCAGCATAACATTTGCCTATGGTGTCCAAGTGGTCAAAAGGCGTCAGTTAGTCAATAGAGCAGATCAATTTCAGAGACAATCAAAGGACAACACGATCCTCAAGCGACTCACCCCGAGCCACAAGCAGACCTTTCCTGTAGGCATAACCTTGGCAGTGGCGTATAATGTGTCGTTCAACTCGTATAGCGTTTCGATCTCCTTGTCCTCGTCTTCTTCAGCCTGCGACTGCAGGAATTGAACCATTTCCAGGGTCTTGCGAATCTCGGGGATCTTGGCGTCAAGATTACGCTTGCGCTGCAGCATGTTCACCTCCATGAACTTGTACTTGCTATGAGTGATAATGGTGTATGAAGACATGGCATCAATTAGCCATACTGCCTGCGGCCGTTTTTCTTGTTCCCGAACAACAACAAAACCGGCGTCCATCATTATGGTAGCCGCTTTGAAAGTTAATGATGTCCAAGTATGCACCATTATCTGTATTGCACGAGTCGCTGGTAGCTCATATCGGTAGAGTAACTACGTTCGATTCTAGTGCAAGAGCTGATGTGTGCCATCCAGAGAGCAGCTTCGCATTGACTTACGCCACAGCCTCCTGAAACTTCCTGAGGACAATCTCGACAGGCTCCTGCTCGGTGACATGGTCCTCCACATTCTCGACGAATGGTGCTTTGGGAATACCGCGTGGGTTGGTCTCCATGTTATCTGTTGTGCGGTCTTGCGGAAGTGATGATCAGATGAACGGACGCGCTGGCCTTCTTGAGGCCTTCGTTCGTGAGGTGAGGCAACACCCTTAAGGCATAGTCCATGGCGTCTCACGTGTACGAGCCCAAGTGTTTTCTTTTTCTTTTTTCCCTTTGTTCGATGGCCAACCGGCTGGCTGCTTTCTTTCATCACCACCTTCTTCCTTGTCATCCTCTCTTTTCATCCTCATCCATAATGCCGTCCGACACGCCCGCTCAGGATGCCCCTGGTGCACCAGCACCCAAGGTTGATTTCACCGCCGCTATGGCCAAGGTCAAGGCCCTCGCTGCCAGACTCGGCAACTCAGCCTCCAACGCAGCACCTCCAGCTGCGGCCTCTAGCGCACCGGCTCCCATGAAGCGCCCTTATGAAGACGACTCGTATAGTCACGGCCATGATAGCCGCGATGATGACAGCCACTATGGCAAGAGAATGGCCTATGATTCTGGTCGGGGTAAGGATGGTGAACTTTGCAGTCTTGTATTTTTATGGTTGCCTTTGTCAGAGGAACTAATCGATTGCTATACTGTTATTATGTGCCGCTGAAGATTCTGCTCCTATGCATCGTCCTGGCCTTGGAGCCCAAGTCTCTCACTATGCTCCACCCATGCGCAACGAGCAACAGATTCAGGAGGAGATGGGTGTGCCCGGAAATCTCGTCGGATTGATTATTGGAAGAGGTGGCGAGAACCTCAAAAGAATCGAACGCGAGACTGGCTGCCGCGTCCAGTTCTCACAAGGTAGGGCATTTCTTTTAAACTATTTGGACCTTCATAATTATGGATCCAGTGATGTGGCATATCTGTCTAACATTACTGTGGCTATTTTTTTCTTTTTCTTTTGTAGATGGCAACCCAGGCGACCGCGAACGTTTCGTCAACATCATTGGACAGCCAGCAGGAATTGCAGATGCCAAACGCCAAATTCAGGAGATCGTCACGAGCTCACAAAGCGGGGAACGTCCAGGCGGTTACAGCGGTGGTGGTTATGGTGGTGGTGGAAACTATGGCATGGGTGGAAGCGGAAGCGGAAGCGGAGGCGGAGGCGGAGGTTATGGTCGTGGAGGTACGACCGCTACCATTCAAATCCCCAGTACTAAGGTCGGCCTTGTCATTGGACGTGGAGGCGAGACGATCCGCGATTTACAGGACCGAAGTGGTGCCCGTATTGCTGTCACGCCTTCCCCACATGACCACAGCTCTCCCTCTAGAACCGTGTCTATCACTGGAGATGACGGCGCGATTGAGCGCGCCAAGGCATTTATTGAGGAGATTGTCAATGACATGGCGCCCAGAGGAGGCTACAGTGGAGGAGGAGGAGGCGGCGGTGGATTTCAAAGCACTCCCCCAGTCACCATGACTGTTCCCCAGGAGTCGATTGGGCTTGTCATTGGACGAGGAGGCGAAACTGTAAAGCAGCTTCAGATTCAATCACGCGCCAAGATTCAGGTTCAGCAGGTCGACCCTAGCATGGCACCCCCAACAGACCGTACTATCAATCTTTTCGGACCACCCGAGGCCGTCGAGTATGCAAAGCAACTCATCATGGAGAAGGTCGCCGGAGCGGTAAGTCGAATTAATTCTCATTCCCCTCGGATTCCCGTCATCACTGCATACTGTGCTTTGTGTTTTTTTTTTTTTTTTGAATGTGGGTTTTCTTTACCGATATGACATTTCAGGAGTGCAGCCTTCACCCATGGATCAACACGCACAGCATTGCAGGAAACCGACTCTGTGGAATTTATTATGCATGATGTATTTATTCGACAACTAGGTGACTTGAAATTCGGTCTCCCATTGCCTTTTTTCACTGCAATCAAGTCTACCATTACTGGATAGAGTGGACTAGCGACTACGATCTGGAAATCCACCACGACACACCCGACTGATCTCGTACCTTTGCGGGATGGGACATAAGGTTGCGTATGCCAATATGCCACATGGACGCTTTTGTGCAATGCTGTGATGCGCATGTATTCTCACGAATGCTTAATACCCCGACATTGTCCAAAAACACCCACGACACTATCAGACAAAGGTCACGATGATGCTGTTTATTTCTTGTTTAAAGTTGTATGGACGCTCTTTCATGTTCACTGGCGCCTTCTTGTATGCGTGGTGGTGGTGGTGGTGGTGGTGGTGGTTCATCCGCTGCGTGTGTATTCAGGATGTGTCATGTGGGCGCATCCTTCACGACTCGGGAATTTTGGGACAAGGATTGTGGACACTGTTGACCTCGGAGAAAATGCCTTCATAAATTGATAATCTTTTTGCTTCTTTATATTCTTCTCTGCTCTCTTTGGCCGCGTATTGTGAATGATGTCCTGTGCCTTGACATTATCTACTTTCTGCATCGACAAAATCGCATCAACTTCCCTCAAACAAAAACGCAAAAAATGAACGACTGCTTGTTATACCTGCTTTCGTCTCTATTTTTTTCTTTTCTTCAAATGCATCTTGCCGTCGCCCTTTTGCGTTTATGGTGACAATCATCTTGCCTTGCCGCTATGTGAATGCCATCTATTCCTGGTTATTGAAATACTAGCGCGACAACGAGCGTTATGGCGGACAGCGAGAGCAAGGGTAAGCTTCATGACAATTCAAGACTGCACTCTACAACTTTGTGGCAATAACGATATAAATTATTGATTGTTTTTTTCTACCTATCGCTGTTTGACGACAATAGAGGATATGGAAGTACAAGTGGTTATGGCGGTTACCAGCAACAGCAATACCAGCAACCAGCACAGGCGCAATCATCGAGTGGATATGGACAGTATGACAGCTACACGGCTCCAGCAGCTCCAGCAGCGACGACAGGATACACTCCTGAGCAGCAAGCTGTCTATGCTCAATACTACGGATATCAATATGGCGCTGGTAAGGGTCGATTACTGCAAAAGGATGTCCATTTATTTATCTGGGAACTACTTCCTGTTCGTGTTCTAATTCGCATGTCTCTGCTCCTTTGCTCCTTTGCTCCTTTGCTCCTTTGCTCCTTTGCTCCTTTTGCTGTTTTGTTTTCTACAGCTTATCCATATGGAACTGCGACCCCTGCCGCATCGGGAGCTGCAGCCACGACTGCTACCCCTGGAACAGGCACGACATCAGCTGCTGCGGCACCAGGTGCGGACACTTCAGCCTATGGTGCTTACGACTACTCTCGATACGCTGCAGGTCAGTATGGCACTGCTTCCGCCACGTCTGCAGCACCTGGTGCCTTGAGTTCGCCAGCAACCTCCGCTCCTGCCACCTCAGCACCCGGTGCTGTAGCAACTACAGCGGGCGGCGATGCCAGTGCTACTGCGGCCGCTAGTGTTCCTGATTATTCTGCATATTATGCTCAGCAAGGATACAGCCAGGAGGCCTATCAGCAATACTACAGTCAATATTATGGATACCAGGCAGCTGATGCTTCATCGGCCGGTGGTTCTTCGTCTACAGCAGCTGTCGAAGGTGCCGGATCATCTGATGCGACTGGATCTTCCTCTGCCCCTAGCGAAGTCGCCGCCGCCTCCGCTTCTGGACCTGGAACTGCCGCCAACGAAGCCGGATCAGCTAGGACATCCTCGACGGAAGAGACCAAGTAACACTGGGGCTCGTTGCAAAACGGAGTCATTGTACGGGTTAAATGAATTATTTGTTGAGCTGTTTGCTTGTTGTATCTATGTTTCCTTGTTTCCATTGTGTATGCTTGTCTTTTGCCCTTTGGATAATGGGATTAAGCTCAATAAAATTAGAGTACAGAACAATTCAGGCTCAAACACGTCCACAAAACGCATCCTTGCAAGAAAGTACAGCATCTGAGCTATGGAGTGTGCTTGCTGACACACAGATATTTACATAGTCTATTGTCGCTTGGCACCAGAGGTTTCCATCCCTTCCAAGGATAAGGCTGCTAGCTTGCATCTCCAGCGCGTCCTTGCCCTTGCCCTTGCCCTTGCCTCCATTGCGCTACTGCTGCTGCTGCTACTGCCCCCGGCTTCCGTATGCGGTCTTGCATCTTGCATCCAAGGGTACTGCCCGTTATCTGCTGGCTGAAGATAGAACGATCGTTATTGATGGAGTACATGACTGCGAACGACGTTGCAAATGTTGGGCCTTGCCATAATATCGCGATGCATGAAAGTACCGCAGGTTGAGCAGTATAGCCTGCATTTCTTTGAAATAGAGTATTCAATCATTCCAACTACGATGTAGCCTAGCCTAGGGGCCTGGCCTGAAGGACATCAGGACAAAGTCACTAAAAACATATATTACTTGGGTTCCCATCACGGGCGTCGAATCTTTGTAATATCTCGGCCCTTTGGGTGGCCCACGCCTGCTGACGTTCGAAAGCATCTCTGTGATAAGGAATCCAGGGGCCTTCTGCCCAAGTTAATCGATTGGGTCTTGCTGAGAAGGAATGATGTTCTTGTTCTCATAGTCCCACCAGTACTAACTCCTGGAGTTTTTTTCTTCATCGCAACATTTTGCTCCGGGTCATCGCCATCCTTATCTTCCTCTTCCTCGTCCTCCCCTCCTCTTCCTCCTCTTCCCCCTCCTATTCATCATGATCACCCGCACCGACCTCTCTCTCGACTTTGATCTTGGACGAGACATCTGGACAGATATTGCGCAATATATTTCTGTGTATTGTATCAGGCTCGCGTGAGGCAAAGAAGCTCTCAATGAACCCGCCCCATGAGTCGCAACCCCCTGTCGCTTGGTGTCAGATGTAACCCGAATAGCATCCCGGAGACACCTCTTGATTTCAGGTACCAATTCCAACTCTCCCAAGGCTCGCTTCAGATTGGCAGAAACGGTTCCAACATCGAGGGTCGCCATCGGATGATCCTAATTGATAGCTCGAACCAAGGGCAAGCTTTTCCTATCGAGGCGCTTACTGGCTTTGGCGTAGTCTTCTTTCTTCTTCTTCTTCTTCTTCTTCTTCTTCTTCTTCTTCTTCTTCTTCTTCTTCTTCTTCTTCTTTACGTCCTTCTGCTTCTTGAAAGAGCCAGTGTCGAAATCCAAGAAAGTGTCGGGTGGTTTCTTCCATGCCTTCCATGTGTACTGCTTGATTGCTTCAGGCGGTTTCATGCTCCTTGAGTCGAGTGCGCTGTTTGGCAGAATATCGCGGTCGGTGTTGCGGGGGTTTGGTACGAGACTGGGTAGGGTTCACCTCAATTGTAGCCTCTGCCCTGTGTGGGACAAGGTGGTCGATCGTGCGATACCTGTTGAAGGTCTGCGAAGGCTTGTGCTGCCGAGTCTTAGTACCAATTGACTCGCTGTCAAAGTTATCAAAGTTGATTGGCGATCACGACAGGTTAGAGTTAATTTTATGCATGTCTTCATGCAAGTGGGGGGTTCTTACAAAGCAAGGGAGTGTTGGACGTTTGTATACCTTCTCTCCGCCTCGTGTGTCTCTCGCATCTCCTTTTGCATTTGGGAGTACCGCTGAGAAAGACAATCGAACTGCTTCTGAAGACTGGCATAGGTCATGGCAGCTTGAGCTGAGGACGAAGGGGAGTGGGCCCAATCTGCACAGGGGTCTGTAAAAGATCCACAAAAACCTTCTGCGAAAGAGACAAACGTCTCCTGGACAGTATTCTTGCGCGTAACTTGATTGTGTGCCAAATAATGCTTCATCATCGTCGCAGCGTCTGCAAGCCAAGGGAAAAAAAAAAATGTCGAGACGTTAGAATTGATAATACGTTTTCTGCATCAGTGATATACACGATGATCTGATTGATCGGTTTACCTTCTTCCATCCAACTCCTTGATGATTTTGTAATTGGTTGCACTTCCGAGAGAGGGGATGTCGTACACAAGGAGTTTTCCGTTTTGAGATGCGTCGTCAAATGGTCTCGACGTCCTTGTACATGAGCATGTCGCTGTCTCTTGACACAACGATGTCAGCAGGCTATGCATTCAAGCCCTATCGTGAGATCTGCCCTAGTCGAGCACTCGACGATCGTCCACTGTTTCTTGCGCATGTATACGGCAAAGGCGCGTCGAGCGTCTAGGGATCAATAGAAGGCCGAGCTCAAGTGTTTTCTGGTGTCGATGAACTAGTGTTTCCGCACGCGAAGCTTTTTATCCACGCGAACCTCGAGCTCACTCAGACATTTGTCAGCGCGTTCAACAGCCTTCTTACGAAAGGATCTCTCGGCGCACTTGAGTGGGTCCTTTTTCTTCTGAAGGAAGGCCGTTCAGGTAAAGGGTCAAGTTCGTCCGGGTTCCAAGCTACAGTATCTCTCGCTCAACAATGCGGTGAGCGTCGTCCAGAGGTTGCGAGGAGGATATTGACTTGAATCGCCGAATTGTGATCAATGGAACTAGGGTGGTTGGATAAGTGGGGGGACTGATAACGAAGAATGCCTTTCTTTCTTTGAAAGGGCCACAGGCCCTCAATGCCCATGGTAGTCTACACGAATGGGGAATATGGTACTTTATTTCGATGAATGGCAGTGAAGGGAAAATGAGGGTATGAGAGGGGAATGACTATGGAAAGTGTGAAGAGTTCTAGTCGCGACATAAGACTTTTGACTAGAAACGCCTATTCATTTTCAAGTATAACCGCTGAATCGAAGTTTGGATCATTAAAGTGCGTATTACCCTTCCCTCTACAAACCAATGTTCGTCGTTTGTCAATATGACCTCTAGTTCATAGAGGCTTGAGCTTCAATGTTTTCTACGCAGAGTTGCGACAAGATGTCCCTCACTATATTGAAGGAGGGAAAAAGAGTGTAACAAGTGAAAGACATGATGAACGTGAATGGACTTTTCAAAAAATTATGATTACGTCACAGAATTTTTAGCTGCTTCCGTTGTCCTCGGATGTGCGGATCGTTTTTCACTTTTGATCATCAAGCAACCTTTGGCACCCAATCGCTGCACTTCTCATCCCCACTCTCTTTTACATTCTTTGTGCACATCATGTCGGCTGTTCCTCAACAAGAGCTGCCCCGTCCCGGCGGTTTCCCTGAAATCAGATACAAGCGATATATCCCCAAGGTTGGGCCCTCAGGCTTGGTCCTCTTCTCCGGTATCACCCTCATGTGCTCTCTCGGCCTCTACAGAACTGGTCAGGGCAACCTCGAGCGCAGGTAATACAAGATCAGAACACTGTCCTGTGCGATTCGCAAAAAAAAAAACCGACTCAAGGACAAAGATGCAGGAACCAGAATCTAGGAAGAGGCAGGGACAGGAGGGCGCGTGGACTTTTCAGTTTCGACGTTTTCGATCCTCTCTTTTTTTTTGTGTGCGTGACAATAAGCCGAGAGCGGGCAGGATAGCACCATTGCAGGCAGATCTGTGCAATCGGCGCCGACGTCTCTACAAATAGTCAAGAAAGCACCGATGGCGGTCCGTTAGGACAATAGCTATCGCGTGAGATGATATCGTCATTCCATGGATTCAGATCTTTACGATGCGCGCAGGGCTTGATACGCTAAGAGCAAAGGATCAGACACAGGCACAGGCACGAGCAGCAGGATTAAAGCGTCCATGTCCATCAAAGATCGTTCCAGGGGTACCATGATCATGTTCCATCGTTATCTGCGTTTCACATGCGGCCTGAATGCTACAGAAGCGTCCAGGGGAACTTGAGTGCTGCAGGAGTGTCCATGGAAAAGCAGGATCGCCATCAAATTTAACACGGACCCGGATATTTCCACCCCAACGCTACGATCAATCACGACCATGATCTGTGCAAAACGAACCGACATGTGGTGCTCATCGACATTTCCGAACAACTATGTCTCCTCTTCCTTTCCTCTTCTGGAACTATTAGAGAACTTGAGCGCGAGAAGGTTTGGTCGCGTATCCACTTGGTCCCGTTGTTGCAGGCTGAGGCCGACCGTGACACTCACCGCCGTGAGGTCGCTGCGAAGGAGCGGGAGGCTGAGATCATGAAGGATGTCAAGGGCTGGAAGACTGGAGATTCCGTTTATAACTCTGAGCGTTACACCCCAAAGACTTTTGTTGTTGTTCCATAAAGTTTTTTTCTTTTTTACAAACGACGCACCATGTGAAGACGACAAAATCAAGGCGAACGTTTATTCCTTTATTTCTTTTTCTTTCTCTTTTATTTTTTTTGTACGCAAGAAGATGATGTGAGGAGGAGAGAGAATAAGGAGGAAGGAGGAAGGAACTGTACGGTTATAAAGACAATAGAAATAAACATTATACAACACCCCTCTCCCTACTCTGTATTGAACAAAGAAAAAGAAAAAGAAGATGCGTTGCGTATCATGGTCGTGCCTTTCTCAACTTTGATCGCTTTGGCTGCGAATGGACAGATTTGTGCACAGTCTTCATATCGGCCCCAGTTATCGTGCAATGCAAGGGCCCGATTTATTTGATCTCGCAAGGTTCTGGGTTAAAGTGTGCGGGTCAGCACGGTGGCCTCGCGTCCGCTCTTGGCCTTCTTGTAGACGTTCTCCTCCAGACCTTCATGCTTGGCCGCGAATCTAGCTGCCGCAAATAAGTAGTCGCTTAGACTTTAAAAAAAAAATACGAGACAATTGCAATGAATGTTAGTATACTCGTCTATGGCCAAAGTAAATAAAAAAAAAAAAAAAAAAAAAAAAAAAGCAGGTTCTGGCTGGGTTAACGCATTGCGACAGGTGTTGAGGGAAAGAAAATAGGCGTACCGGTTGAGATACTTGAGAACAGATTCGTCCGCATCGTTGGCTTCGACGACAGGGATGGTCGTACGTTCGGCGCGTCGACAGATCTATGGGACGATTTGTTATTGAACAATGTCAGCTCTGTCAGCACTGTTCTTTTTTTTTTATATTTTTTTCCTAGGTCCACGCCAACGCAAGCGTAACTCTCGACATGAATGGCACTTACGGAGCGCGCTTGGTGCAAAAAGATGCTGGACTCTCCTCCGGAAGGCAGGATAAAGTTACGAAGCGGTGGGAGTTGCTATCGCATGCAGTGTTTTCCACCAAAAAAAAGAGGATGTGCTTGTGTTAGGAACTCCAGATGCCGTCGCTTTTGATTGCGTTCCTCTTTTTTCTTTTTTCTTTTTTCTTTTTCTTTTTTTAAATAGTCCTTAGGATTGTAGATAATAAAAAAAGAAAGGGCTGCGAGTAAAAACTGAATGGCTCCTTACAGAATCCAGGCGATCGATCCAGCTCTCTAACTTTTCGACGTGTCCCTCGTCAAAGGTCGTGTTGCCTAAAAAAGAAAAAAAAAACGTCGCCATCATCAATAAATGACGGAAGCAGAAAAAAAAATATTGGTTGGGAGAAAAGGAGCCCATTGAGTTCCTCTTTCGTGTTCTGGTTCTTACGGAGCTGGCTTTCGGAAGCATCGTTTCTGGGTGTCGCGATGTTGGATCCAATGTCCTGCAAATTGCACTGAATCTGAGTGGATTGAAAAAAATACATAGATACAAAACGGGTTGATGTTTAGTACCTCGCTTGCATGGATGTGCATCTTTGCCCTCATCCGCGCGCGTTTCCTGTTCTTTTACCTCGATCAATTGCTCCTCCAATCCATTAGCGGACTTTTTGCAGTAATGGTGTGCGATTCTAACGAAATTGTATCAAGACAACAACAATAACAAATATTAATAAGTATTAGTATTCATGGAAGGAACTGAATGAGTGGGATGCATAGGTGGTACAGTACCCGATACTGGAGTTGAGTTCATCGACCGCTCCCAGGGCTTCGAAGATCCGGTCGGTTTTAAGGCGGCGCTCGCCGTTGTAGAGCGAGGATTCGCCTAGTAGAGCAGACACATAGAGTGCGATCAATCATAAGTGTTCTGGGGTCTCGAGGAGAGTAGCGGGGAAAACATGCTTGATCTGCTGCGAAATAGAATACCTCGGTCGCCGGTTCGGGTGTAGAGCTGCGACTTTTTGGGGCTGGGATTAAGTAGGTAATAAAAAGGCGTGTAAGCGAGCAAGTCGCAAGGAGGGTATGTGGGTGCATAAGACGAGGGGGATGTGTAGTTACTTTTCAGATGCCATGTTGTCCGTTGGTTGATTTGGGATCGGGATCGTGTCTTTTGTGGGGATGATCAAGTTGGATGGGAGTGTGAAGGGAGGGGAGTAAATGCGATGCGGTCCTTTACATGGGGACTTGTTTTGTCTCGGCGGTGGATGGATCGACGGGGCACAGACACTCTGTTTCGCCACCAAAAGCGCGTTTTTGTTGCCACTAAACATGCAAGCACCATGCTCGCCCAGCACACTCCATCACAGACACACGCGCTTTTTTTTTTTTTTCTTTTTTTTTGCGGGGGATACCAGCACTTCCTCAGTAAAGAAAGGGGGGGCATGCACACAAATACATCCCGCAAGTACTCGACTGGAACATTGAAACATAGCGCGATCGACAGGGCTGTGGAAATATGTTGCAGCGAGCGGCCAGGAGCTGTACACGTTTGCGGATGCGCCTGCAGTTGTGGAGAAACCGCCTAGATTCTTTCTTCGACTATTGGATCATCCATTCATAAATGGTGGTGCGTGTGTAATAATAGCGGGCAAAATACTCGAGCAGAGGGTGAGAGAGCTCTGAAGATGTGAGTCAACGAATAGGCCCTTCGTTCTTTGCCTTCTCCCTTGTTTTTCTTTCTAGGAGCTCAGCTGGAGATCAAAAAAAAAAAAAAAAAAAAAAAAAAAATGGTACAGAGGGGGATTGCGTTATAGCGGGCCAGTATGAGCGAGAAGACGACTTTACTTGACTGTCGACTACAATCATGGCTCTATTGAATCGCCATTCATCATACAAACAGCGAGTCGTGGGGGGAGAGGATTCAATCGATTCAGTTGAAAGTGAGGTGATGTTGCGGGGGTTCAAGCGGATTGCCTCAAAAGGAACACTCTTTCTTTTCTTTTTTTTAGAGAGTAACTCGGTACAGGGTTTCTCAGGCTGAGAATTATTCCAGGTCGGTCGTTGGTCGTTGAGGGAATAATGATGATGGCACGGATCCAGTTTTTGATCTCGTCGTTTTTCTTTTGTTGTTCTCGACGACGTTTGGGCGCCATATATTCAACTCCAGCTCGCTTATTTATTTTTCATTCCCATCGACCAGAGAAGGAGAGACATCGCACAACAAATACGCACGCACACGCCCCAGACAGACACAGGCATCTTTATTATACCACAGAGAAGAACACTATGGAAGGGGGGAAGGGAGGGAGGATGGGCCTATTACCGATGTTATTCGTTGTACCCATGTCGATCTCTAGGTCGAGTTTAGCTGGATGTCAAAAAAAAAATACATTCGCCGACACTAACAACAACAACACACACCGCACACAGGCCAACAGCTAGACTACCCTGTGTTTGCTTCATAGGCTAGACTAAATTATGCCTGTGTGACACGGACGCAGGCCAGGGCTGGACAATAGCAGGCTGACTGGGCTTGGGGGAGTTAAAAGAGAGGATCGCTCACTGTTCAAGCTCGAGGGATGGGCATAAGAAGGAGAGGAATAACGGCTGATGGGTCAACCGATGGGCGTGTCAAAGACCCCCTCTTGCAGCGCGCAAGGACTATGTGGGATATGTGCGTAGTCTCTGGTACTCTAGGTAAGTGAGAAGATGTTTATTAAAAAGTGTGGGGAAAGTGACCACACCGACCAACCTATTTTTCAATTTTTGGTTTAGATATTTTTTCAATCTCCACAATAGTCCAGAAAAATAACATAAACAAAGTAAAATATTAAACCAGCACTCAATCAACAACAAAGTCGAGAAAAAGGGATGATGGCGGAGAAGGTGATGGGTGTAGCGAGCAGAGCAGTGTTGGGTGTGTGTACATGTAACCGCGCCATTGTTATTCCCATCTAGACCAGTATAAAGGAGGCTGCTGTCATTTTTATTGTTGGGTGACACTAAAAAAACAAAAAAAAAAACCAGGGTTCAAAGGGGCTAATTCTGTCTCGACCACTGCGTTAGTTCCAATGTTCTCAAACACGACTGAGGAACAAGAAGGAGGAAGTATCTAAGAACGAGCGTATAGCTGGGAGGGCTGGATACGATTGAAATCCATGGCGGCTAGTTTGGTCTGTATGGGTGTGTGTGCAGTCCAAGTGGAGATGCATGTGTGTCCCTACGCAGCCGCAAAACGAATTTTTGTTTTCTTCCCCACATTCAGACCGACATCCAAAAACGGACCAATCATCGACCGGTGCCGTGTGTGCTGTAAAAGAAAAAGAAAAAAAACGTACGAGGCCCTACTGCTCCTTTCAGAGTCGATGTCGATGTCGATGTCGATGGTGTTATATCGGCTGTATTATTGGGATTACTCACGTATACTTGGCTTCATATCCATACACTCACACCCATGAGTTCTCGTTGTTGTTGGTGTTGCAGTTGTGTGTCTCTGTCTACCCCACATCTCGCTGTTTAAAGAAGGACAGAAAGGAGGTACCTTGGGAATGTAGTCTAACGGGCAAGCGGACTCTTGACTCTTCCGCCACACCTTTTTCCGTTTTCAGAACAAGACAAGACACGACAAGACAAGACAGCGACAACAACAGCTCAGCTTCCACCTTGCTGCCTCAGGGAGAGAAGGAAGGTGTAGGACGAGGGGCGGTCGTTGTTGGTGTGTGTGCATGGTGCTTCTGTTCCTGAGACTGTTGCGTATGTGGGTGTGGTTCTTCCCACGAAATTGAAAAAGGAAATCGATCCCCAGGAAAAAGCAAGATGTAAAGCAAGAATAGAATACTAGAGTACTCGAGCCAATTCAGTCCTGCTCGTACAGTACTTTTACTTTTACTTTTACTTTTACTTTTACTTTTACTTTTACTTTGAAAGAAACATTCTTTGGTCGCTCCCCCCGCATTTCTTGGTGTCTTTTGGCCTCCATCCTCCTGGTCGTCGTATAAAAGGCGTTCCTTTTTCCCTTTGTCCTCCACAACCCATCCTTCTCCCATCCTCTGCATCCTCGTCTCCGCCTCCATTCTTCCGCCTTGCATTCTCCCATTTCTTTTTTTTTTGCATCTTTCTCTCTGCATCTGCATTCCTAAATAGATCCCCACCCCCCTAATACCTCATACAAAAACATACAATGATTGCATCTCCCCTTGCTGCTACTGACGCCCATCTCAATGGTGCGCATCCTCACACCATCAAGGACATGCCCGGCTACATCGAGAACGCTTTCCACGGCAAGGAGGCCCAGATGGTCGAGGTCACCCAGCACCTGAGCGAGAAGGGCTTCATCCCCGCTGCCTTGGCTCAGAACGAGGTCTCTTGGTTCTACGGGTAAGCAACTGTCGCAACCGCGCAGTAATCTATCGTAATACATCCTTTCTATTCCCTCGGCTAGTGAAAAAGGAGCAATCTCCGCTGATACTCTGCTGTTTCCTGCGTGCATTTCATCTGGTCCAATAGAAACCTCGGCATCGACGACATGTACTTTGCCTCCGAGTCCGTCGAGTCCATTGCCAACCACATCATGGCTCTCTATGGTGCCAAGATCTTTGCCTACACCAAGAACGACAACGGCCTGGATATCAATCTCGAGCGCGAGACTGACGAGGGCGCCGTTTACATCCACACCTCCCATCCCGGTGTCTCGCAGCTCTATGGACCCCAGCACGAAAAGAGGTAAGCAGCATCCTCTGTCTCCCCCCCTGATTCTGGGCGCATTAAACACCTTAAGACTAATTTTTTTAAACTATATTCTCTTCCTCATCAGAATTGACGCCAAGTACCTTGATGTCAGCAACACTGAGCGTGCCTTCCGTCTGGAGTCTTACCGCTCCAAGGGTACCGTCTCTTCCTCGTCCTCGACCCAGCTCCGCACCTACTTTGTCCACCAGTGCTCCTTCGTCAACCCCAAGCCCACCAAGGAGCAGGAGAACGATATCCGCGAGACCGCCGACAAGAGCTTCCTCGAGAAGGCCACTGGGAACACCCTTGAGATCTACTCCAACGTCATGAAGCTGGCCCTCGCCAGAACCGGTCCCGTCATCGAGATGTTCGAGGTCGAGGGCTCCCGCGAGCGCCGCCTCGTCATCGCCTACAAGCAGCAGACCACTCAGTCCTTCTTCTCGGCCATCTCGGATTTGTACCATTACTACGATCTGTACTCGACCCGCAAGTACGTCGAGCAGTTCTCGAACGGCATCACGATCGTCTCCCTTTACCTCAACCAGATCCCCAAGTCGACTGCTCCCCCAATTGAGCACTCGATCCACCAGATCATCAAGGAGGCCTCGTTGATCTACTGCTTGCCCACGACCCCTCTCCAGAGCTTCTTCCAGACCAACAAGCTGTCTGTCCAGGAGTCGATCTATGGTTACATTGGCTGGATCTTTGCCCAGCACTTCTTGAACCGTCTCGGAAATGAATACGTTTCGCTCGTCAACATCCTCGATACCAGCAACTCTACCCATCAGGATGTCCTTACCAAGATGAAGAAGCGTCTCCGCACTGACACCTTCACTCGTGATTACATTCTCGAGATCATCAAGACCTACCCCGAGCTCGTCAAGCTGCTTTACATCAACTTTGCCATGATCCACTATGTCAACCCTGCCGTCAACTCGCTTCAGCCCACACTCTCGTACCAGCGTCTCCGTACCGACACTGTCTTGAGTGAGGAGGAGCTCCACGAGAAGATCCGCCGCACGACCTCGAACTCGCACGAGCTCATGGTCTTTGAGTCGTTCTTGGTCTTCAACAAGCACGTGCTCAAGACCAACTTTTACCAGCCTACCAAGGTCGCTCTTTCCTTCCGCATGGACCCCTCGTTCTTGCCCGAGATCGAGTATCCCACCAAGCTGTTCGGCATGTTCCTCGTCATCGGATCCGAGTTCCGTGGTTTCCACCTGCGCTTCCGTGATGTCGCCCGTGGTGGAATCCGCATCATTCGCTCCCGCAACAGAGAAGCGTATTCGATCAACTTGCGCTCACTCTTTGATGAGAACTATGCCCTTGCGAACACCCAGCAGCGCAAGAACAAGGATATTCCCGAGGGCGGTTCCAAGGGTACCATCTTGTTGGATGTCAATCAGCAGGACAAGGCCCTTGTCGCTTTTGAGAAGTATGTCGATGCTGTCCTTGACTTGTTGATCGTCGGCGAGACCCCCGGCATCAAGGAGCGCATTGTCGACTTGCACAAGAAGCCCGAGATCCTGTTCTTTGGCCCCGATGAGGGTACTGCCGACTACATGGACTGGGCTTCTGCTCACGCCCGCGAGCGTGGTGCCTCCTTCTGGAAGGCCTTCACGACCGGCAAGTCCCAGTCCTTGGGTGGTATCCCCCACGACACCTATGGTATGACTACTCGCTCGGTCCACCAGTACGTCCTTGGCATTTACCGCAAGTTGGGACTCAAGGAGGAGAACTGCCACAAGTTGCAGACCGGAGGTCCAGATGGTGACTTGGGATCGAACGAGATCAAGATTTCGAAGGACAAGACCTGCGGTATCGTTGACGGATCCGGAGTTTTGTATGACGCTGAGGGTATTGACCGTGAGGAGTTGGCCCGCTTGGCCGCGAACCGTCTCATGATCTCGAACTTTGATGCTTCGAAGCTGTCGCCCAAGGGTTTCCGCGTGTTGGTCGATGAGGTGAACGTCAAGCTGCCCTCGGGTGAGGTCATTGATGACGGTCTTTCATTCCGCAACAACTTCCACCTGAACCCCATGGTCAACTGCGAGGTCTTTGTTCCCTGCGGTGGTCGCCCCGAGTCGGTCGATCTCCAGAACGTTGGCCGTCTCTTGGATGCTGACAACCACCCCCGCTTCAAGTACATTGTCGAGGGAGCCAACCTGTTCTTCACCCAGGAGGCCCGTCTCCGCCTGGAGCGTGCTGGTGCTGTTGTGTTCAAGGACGCTTCGGCCAACAAGGGAGGTGTCACCTCATCGTCGCTGGAGGTGTTGGCTGCCTTGGCGTTCACGGACGAGGAGTTTGCTCAGCACATGCAGGTGACTCCCGAGAACACCCCCGAGTTCTACCAGGAGTACGTCAAGGAGGTCCAGACGATCATTGAGCGTAACGCCCATCTCGAGTTTGAGGCCCTGTGGAGGGAGCATCAGCGCACCAGGACTCCTCGCTCGATCCTTTCGGATGAGTTGTCGCTTGCGATTGTGAAGCTGAACGAGAACTTGCAGCACACCTCGCTGTGGGACAACATTGCTTTGCGCAAGGTTGTTTTGGAGGAGGCCTTCCCCAACATGTTGTTGAAGCAGGTTGGATTGGAGACGTTGATGAAGCGTGTTCCCGAGAACTATGTGCGCGCGATCTTTGGAGCGTACTTGGCCTCGCGCTTCGTATACAGGTACGGCACGGAGCCCAGCCAGTTTGCGTTCTTTGAGTTCATGACCCCTTACTTCTCCAAGGTTCAGCAGTAAACGAGGCGGGATGGATCGATTTATTTTTTCTCTTGCAATGTATATAGACCAGCAGCATATTTCTTTATTAAACGAGTGCAATTAAAAAGAAAAAAAAATCTGTAATGATGACAAAGTGAGGTATGTGTGACAAGGACGAGGATGCAAGCAAGAGCGTAAAGATGGGATCCCAGTAGAGTCAAGAGCTGAGAGGATGAAGATGTTGGTATGAAACCAGGAAAGGATGACACGGATTGTTTTGTCTGGAGGAACTAGCTAATCCCGCCCTGAGGGTATGAGACCTGAGCTATGGCTAGTGTCTTGAACAGGGGGGAGGAGCAAGTGTCGGAGATGTGGTCTCCAATCGTGTGTACAGCAGCTGGCGGCATGGGATGGGTTCCTCGGGCTCTGATGTTTAGCATTGCTGCAGCACAGCAATCGTATTCTGGTGACACACACAACATGTGTAGGATGGTAAGCATGCAGTCATGGAGTCGTTCTACGTATTCAGTACAACCAAAAAAAAAAAAAGTCGCCACCAAATAAGGGTCCATGCAAGCATAGAAACTCTTCCTCCTCCATTCTCATTCCGCTCCTTCATTCCACTCCTCCATTCCACTCCTCCACCCTCCTCTTCTCATTGCAGACCCACTCTCCACCTGTCTTCTTCCTTCCTTCTTTACCGCCTCTCTCTCCTCTTCTTCCCTCCCTGCATATCTTTTCATCTTTCATCTGTCATCCTTCATCTTCCAGTCCTACTTTCTGATCCGTCGTCGTTAAGAAAAACAAAGACGCTTTCATTCTATCAGGGCATTTTGCTCCCCTTTGCGTCGGGTCCAGCAAAAACAAACACAAACAAGGACACACACACACATCTCCCCCTCTTTACAGCAACCACAACTGCGATCTTAACGACACTCACTCCCCGCGCAATGAACGTCGGAAACAACAGTACCGGCACTCCTACCAGTGTCAACAACGTCACCAATATCTCCATCAAGGCGTTCACCTCCTCACTGTTATTCAACGGCGCCATTGGTATTGGGGTCTTTGTCGCCTTTTGTATCGTACGGCATTGGAGTAAGAAGATCTATCAGCCAAGGACATACCTTGTCACCAAAGAGTAAGCACAAATGCGCATTCACACAGCTCCCACAGCTCCCTCTCTCTCTCTCTTTCTCTCTCGTCCATCCACTCACATACACATATTCGCCTTGGTCGATCTATCTACCGATCTATCTATCTGTCCTTCTCTCCATCCGTTCGACCACGCAACCACACCTTTGACCATAAAGCAGCAGATCAATATGCATGCACCATTAGAGCTAATAGTGTTGCTAGTGGGTAAAACCTTAATTGTGATGTATGTCCTAATTCGTTTTATTTTTTTCCCTCGTCGTACATGCAGCATTCGATCCCCGGAACTACCCCCGGGCATCTTCAGCTGGATCACGGCCTCGTTCAAAGTCAAGGATACAGAACTACTGGAAAAAGTTGGCCTTGATGCATACATGTTTCTGAGATTCCTCCGGATGAGCGCGTATGTGTTTTTCATTGATAGGCACAATGCATGATGATGAAATATGATAAAAAAAAAAAGAAAAAGGCCAGCTTCTACAGTGCGACAATAGATATTTGGGCTTAGGGGTGATTACAGGGGGAACTAAGCAGATGATGTAATTTTGCTCGCCCGATAAGAACAAACGTAGAACAATCGACTAACAGATGGAGTCAACTGTTGCGCGGAAAATTCTTTTAGGATGTTCTTCGGAGGTTGCTGTGTGCTGTCGATGCCTATTCTGATTCCATTGAACATGGGGGATGGGATCATCAAGCCAGGAGAAGGAGGACTGGCGAGCATGAACATTGGTAACGTCAAAGACTCTTGGCGCCTCTGGTTCCATCTCACGTTGACCTATATCTTTACTTGTAAGTGATGATTTCTACGGAACAGCAAAAGGAAAAAAGTATGCCGAAAACTAAGACTGACCATCTCATCGTGATTTAAAAACAGTGGCGGCGATCTTACTGCTGTGGCGAGAGATGCGCGAATACACACGCCGCCGCCATGCCTATTTGATGAGCGAGAAGCACACGAAGACACCCCAGTCAACCACCATCCTCATCACCGCAATCCCAAAGGGTCTTAACACGGAGGAGGCACTTTACAACATTTTCAACCGGTTTCCAGGGGGCGTCTCCAAGATCTGGTTGAACAGGTATACGGAGTGATCAGACCTAATACGCACCCGACAATCTGTAAAAGAAAGGATTATACACCAGGCATAATGGCTTATACTAAACTATGCCGCCTTTGTTGCTCTGACTGTTGTTGTAGGCACCCAGAAAACCTCACGAAGCTGTGCAAGGAGCGGGACAAAGTTGTGAAGCATCTGGAGATGGCAGAGTACAACTATATCCGATCTGCCTATGGCAAAAAGTCCAAAAAGGATCCAGAGATCAAGGAACCACAGCGCCCTATCGGCAAGACATCCACCATTCCCTGCTTGGGAGACAAAGTCGATCTCGTTGAATTTTACGCCGAGCGACTCTGCCAATTGAACCAGCAAATTCAGCAGGCCCAACAATCGGGATCAGTCGAATCACTCAACTCGGCCTTCATCCAGTTTCGCAGCCAATTTGCAGCCCATAGTGCAGTGCAGACAGTCGTCCACCCCACACCGTTCAGGATGACGCCCATGTATGCGGAGATCTCGCCTCTGGACGTTGTGTGGGACAACATGGACTTGAACACGCTAGTCAGAAAGGGACGATCCATGGTGATCCTCGTTTCTTCTACGGTTATGATCTTGCTGTGGACCATCCCCACTATCGTCATCTCTTCGCTTGCGACAATGTCCGATATTGTCAACGTGTTTTCATTCTTGTCTTTTTTGGAGGACCTCCCAAGTGGGGTACTGGGTGTCGTCCAAGGTGTCTTGCCCCCGCTTCTGCTTGCGGGTCTCATGGCTCTGCTGCCCTTCCTCTTGACTATAATGGCAAAGTACGAGGGCCATGTCCAATACAGCAGCATCTCCCTCTCGGTCATGGCCAAGTACTTCTTCTTCCTCGTCATCAACGTGCTGCTCATCTCAACGCTTTCGGGTGGGGTCCTCAAGACACTCAATGAGCTCAACAAAGAAGGATTCAATTTCAAATCGCTCATCTCTCGTTTCTCAGAGAAGCTCCCCAACGCTTCGACGTTCTTCATTACGTACGTGCTCCTTCGTGGATTTACAGGACCAGCTCTGGAGCTCTTGCAGATCGTGCCACTACTACTCAATTTCATGTTCACCCAATTGCTCGCCAAGAGTCCACGCCAGATTTGGGGTGTCCAAGGCAGCCTCGAGTCTGTCAACTATGGCACCCTCTTTCCACCCCAGACGCTCATGTTCTGTATCGGGATCTTGTACTCGACCATTGCGCCGCTGATCCTGCCCTTCGTGGCCTTTTACTTTACGATGTTCTACTTTGTGTACCGCCACCAATTTCTGTACGTCTACCACCAGCCGATCGAGACAGGTGGGCTTGCGTTCCCAAAGGCGGTCAAGCAAGTCTATACGGGGATCTTTATTTCGCTCATCACCCTTTTCGGTATTTTCCTGATGAAGCAGGGCTCCTCGGCGGTGCCTCAGCTGGTACTGCTTGTCATTTTGATCGTCGCCACTGCCCTCTCGCTGAGCAATATGAACGAGGCATTTAATCCTCTGGTGACCTATCTGCCGGTTGCCCTGTTTTCTAAGGATCTCCACGTCGACAGGCATGGTGTGGTCACGGAGGGAGACGAAGCACATGAGAGTGTGAAGCAGCCGGACGAGGAGCAGGTGGAGCCAGAGGACGGAGGCATTATGCACATGAAAAACCTTTCGCAGAAGAACCTCACCTCGAAGCAGATCCCAATGCCAGAGGACAACCAGTCTCGGTTTGTTCTGAACAAGCAGCTGTACCACGACGGCGACGACTACCACGACAACCATAACGACGATCATGATCACGACCATGACCACGTTTTACCTTCGCAAGACGACACTTTTTCAAATTCGAGACAATCCTTTCGCCATCGTCATCCATACCACCTTGAGAACTCATTGTCTTTTGATGATTCGAAATTCCTCGTGCCTAGGCCGAGTCCACGGTATGGGGAGCTACGCAAGCCTGACCGAACCACGCCTCGTTATAACAGTAGCCCGATTCTTGCTCGACCAAGGTCATTCATGGACCGAGCACCTTCATTCAACAACGGTAGCAGACCTGTCTCGTTTGTGGACCGGCCAGCGACTTTCAGGGCGGAGCGTGTAATACACGAAGAGCCAGAGCAGTTGTCAGAGCACAGCCCAGCAGGCGTGGAGCTGGAATACCTACAGGATCAGGCATATTGCCACCCATCGACTTATGATGTCCAGAAGCCGGTGTGGCTGCCGATAGATGAGCGAGGACTTGCACAGGCAGAGATTGATTGGCTGAGGAGTCGGGGGATCGTTGTGGCCACAGATGGCGCGGTTCTGGATTCGGCCAGGGCAAAGGCGAAGGTTGCGGGTATTATCTATGCCCCTGGCGACGAGACACGGTACCGCTTGGAACGTGGCGAGTAGAGTTGGGCGCCATCTAGCATTTGTTACTTCATTGCTCATGTACAGAATATTCAGCTATTATCCCCCTGTAGCATAGTTACACAAAAGAAAAGCCATTGTTTTCAACATCATCAAAATGATTCAAGCGAAACTGTTTGCGCTACTGCCGCATGTATCTTTATTTGATTGATTTCTATGGTCGCACTGGGAAGGGGTTTTTTTGGTGGCAACAAAAAAAACAGGTCTTTGATCCACAACGCGCTCGCGACGCGTATGACCCCTCCCCGTGGTACATGAAATTGACTGATTGTCCACCACCATCCCCACGGCCACGTTACTAGACTACAACCACAGCGCGGTGGATCCGTCGCGAATATCCACTACCAGATTATTATTACTATTTCCTCATTGCGGACTCGCCGCTTACCGTTCCTTGTCCGAGCATAAAGAGAAAAGAAGGCCGCAGAATAAAAAAAAGAAATGCGTTCGGAGGGAAACCCCCAATTGCTACCACTCTCGGTCCTTTGTGTGCATTCACACTCGGCTCTCTTTCATTATACAGACTACACAATGAGGCACCGCACGCGTGCAAAGGGTCCGATGAAGCGAACGCGAAGGCCTGGCAAGGATAGCCACGAGCGCTGTTTCTTTGTTCGGCAGGCCCGACAAAGGCATGGTAGGGTGTAAGGGATTTCTCGTACAAAAAGGCTAAGAGAACCCACCTCTTTTTTTTTTTTTTTTTTTTTTTTTTTTTTTGTTACTTTGTCTTGTTCCCTACAGAAAATAAAAAACAGCTACGTTTCGTGAACTTTTTATCAAGCATTATCTTTTTCTACAATCCCAGACTCAGAATCTCAAACCCAAACACGTCCCAAACATGGCATCAACCCCGAAAGCCAACGTTCCCAATGGTTCTCAGAACCCGGGCGATCCAAACCAAACCCCCAACGATCCCAATGATCCCAACGACCCCGATAACATGCCTGGCCCCATCCCTCGCGAAACCCGTCGGATGGCGAAGGCGAAACTTGCTGCTGAGGCAGCTCGCGCCGCCGAAGCTGCTGCCGCCCAAGATCAGCAAGAGAGACCCACCATGGTAACCCCTCCCGATTCGAGCAGTGCGCCGACGTCCGATGTCACGACTCCCCATTCTTCTACGCCGGCTGCGGATGCTCGAGCAGTAGGAACAGCAGCAAGGGAAGTGGTAGCAGCAAGAGAAGTGGTAGCAGCAAGAGAAGTGGTAGTAGCAAGAGAAGTGGTAGCAGCAAGAGAAGTGGCAGGAGCAACAGCAGGAACAACAGCAGGAGCGGTGACTGCACCGACAACCGCTGCAGCTACTCGTGGAGGACGCAGACGTTCTAGAGCTAAAGCTGCGAACCCGAGGTCGCGATCGACGACTGTCACGACCACGGTCATGGCCACAATCTCGACTACCGAGGCGGTCACCGCGGCGTCTGTTACAGCGGCACCGGCTTTTGCGAGGACCAAGGCGACGAAGGCCGCCCCGAAGGCCGCCACGAAGGTTAAAACAGCTCCACCTGCGAAGACACCGGCGCCGAAGCGACAGCGTCTGGGTTTTTCGAGCAGCGGCAACAAGAAGAAGTCTGAGTCCGAGCCTGAATCCGAATCCGAGTCTGAGGAAGAGGAGGAAGAGAAAGAAAAAGAAGCAGGGGAGCCTGAGAACATCGCAGATGAAAACAAAAATGGGAATGAAGGTGAAGGTGAAGGTGACATCGAGGTTGAGATGACCACTTCCGTGGATCCCTTGCCGAACCAGAGCGCGTTGCAGGCTGCACAGCCCGCGCAGCAGCAGCAACGGCAGCAGCAGCAGGCGATTGTGGAGGAGGAGAATGGGTTACTGGGTCAGTGGGAGATCCCAGTCCCTGTCCGGACCACGGTCTCGGTCGAGGAGCCTCCGGCTTCAGATTTTGTGCCAAGACGTAGTTCTCGACCGCGCGTTGCTCCTTGCCGCTATGGTGCGAGCACTGCTCCTCATGCTCCAGCCGCAACTGGAGCGAAGCGAGGGCGCGGGGGAAAATCGAAGCAGCGAGGTCCTGCATCTGCGCAGGCTACAACTTCTACATCGGCTGTGGCTCCTGCAAGAACTGATTTTCGGGCGGGCCAAGTTAACATGACAGCGCAGAGGCCGGTATCAGGTTCAGGTACGGTCTCGCAGCCGGTCTCGCGTTTGGGCTCGGGCTTGACGGTTGCCGGGAGACAGAGAGTTGCACCTGCGACTTTGAACAATGCCAAGGTGAGTGGGCCTAGGACTTACGAAGAAGCCTTCGTCACGCATGCACAGCGTGAACGTGAGCGCGGGTCGCATTCTGGACGTGCGCTCGAAGCACCTGAGCGCGGAGTTCCACAGCGCCTTCGATTTGTGGCCGAGAATGGAATGCCAAGTGACGGGGCAGGTGAAGGTACCGAGACCGACTCCAGGCCGAGCGCGGCCGGTAGACAGAGGGAAATTTATAGCCCGACTACGAACAACGCGGTAGCAACACTCGTATCCATGAGGAGGCAGCGTTGGCTTGAACAACAGCAACAACAACAGCAGCAACGCCAATACCAGAATGGACAGCAGGTTCCTGCTGTAAATGGGTACCATCCGCCTCAGTCTCAGGCACAACATCCGCAATCGCAGCGACCGTCCTCACGGCCTGAACCCTACTACGTTGAACCCCAGGCCTCGCGCCCAAATGCCCATCATCCCTATCACCCCTATGCATACAACAATCAACCGAACGGTCTCCAAGCTCAGAGTAGTGGTACCCGCCTTCCATCTCCACCACGCCCTCGCGGCCCCCGAAGCATCCTTCCACGGCCTCCACAAGATCACGGTCGAGCCCCTTCAATTGACGATCGACAGCAGCAGCGGGGCCCGGGCCCTTTGTCGGGGCAGTTAAGGACGTACTATGAGGATGCTTATAGCAGGGGAAGAAACGACGCGCAGGTCGAGGCGACGGATCAGTGCGAGAGTGCGTACAATGGTATGCTTTCGCATCGTCAGCAGCAGCAGCCCTATTACCCACCTTCGTCTCCACCTCGTCTAGAGCCCCAGCCCTACTATCCACAGCAGCCTCATACCCAGCAGCCCCATACCCAGCAGCCCCATACCCAGCAGCCCCATACCCAGCAGCCCCATATCCAGCAGTCCCAGTATTATCAAGAATACGAGTATGGACCACGTCAGCCCCGGACTCTGTCTCCACTCCAGCACATCACCTCCTACAGCTATCCTCCGATCTTGCACCACGGAGACCAGCGTTACCAGTCTCAGCCTCATGGCCATGAAACACCCGCTGGATACGGGTACCGAGGCAGTGCCCCTCCAGGCGCTCATTATGCCGCTTACGAACAGCAGCAGCAGCAGCCTCAGCCTCAGCAGCAGCAGCCTCAGCCTCAGCAGCAGCAGCCTCAGCCTCAGCAGCAGCAGCCTCAGCCTCAGCCGCAGCAGTATCAGCCGCAGCAAGACCTTCGAGGCCGCCAGTTTCCGGATGAGACTACTTCACAGCAGCAGCCTCCAAACCCAGCCCAGTCCCAGACCCAGTGCCAGTTCCAGGATCAGGATTGGGGCCAGGGCCAGGGCCAGGGCCAGGGATATGAGCCCCAGTGCGAGTGTCAGCACCAATGCCAATCCCAGCACAACCGGCCGCTGATGCACTCCTCGGACCATTTCCAAGATGCTCGAGGAGGCTCGCAGAACTTGGATGCACCCTTGAATTGCCATCTTCCTGTGGGTCGTGTTTCCGAGGGCCCTTTAATGAATGGCCCACACCGGACCTTGCCCCCGATTTCGAGTGTCTACGCGTTTCTGGGACCGCCTCCAGAAGTGCCGGACGTGTTGCCTTTGGTTCCTATCCAGGCGGAAGAGACTTTATCAGGTAATGGGGACGGAATTGAGGACGGAAGCGAAGATGAGAGGTTTGATGGAGATGAGAGTGGGGCAGACGGAGGAGACGAAGACGAGGGCTCGGGGGAGTGGGTGGTCAAAGACGAGAGAGGCCATTAAGGTCTTTTGGTCTGAGAAGGATGTATGTAACCGGGAGGCTTCTGGAGGATGTGCGCGCGCTGTGCTGTGCATGAGCCATGCTTTGCTGTGCTGTGCTGTGTTGTGTTGTGTTGTGTTGTGTTGTGTTGTGTTGTGCTGTGTTGTGTTGTGCACAGCTAAACTATCTTGGCCATTGCTTCCCCCATTTTTAGTTAATACGAAAGTACTCCCCCCCTCCTCCGCAGTAAACGAATTTTTTTAGCAAGTGTCTTTCACGAATGTTGTCTCCGTTCCTTCAACAAGTACGGGTTCTTTTATATATATATATACTTCTATTCCTTGAAGGAATGACATTGGGTGCATGTGTACAAGTGTTCATTTGAGAATAAAGAAGATGAAGGAAAAGAAAACTCGATGAAGGTGTTTGTTGCTACGCAGGGCCCCGTCGTTGTTATTTAATTAACTTTCTTAGCGAGCTCTGCCGTTCTTGGGCTGGGCACGAGCCCTTATAAGCTCGCGTTTCTCCTTGAGCTTCTTCCAGAGCCGCCTCTTTTGCTTCAACACATGGTTGACCGAATCCCGGCTTTCGTTCAACAAGTCGATATACTGATTGCTGCAATTGATGTTTTCCTAAGCAAGACCAACGAATAAAAAGGTATCAATGTTAAGCAAGCATGGTCCCCGGATACTATCAATAAAAGTTGCAAAAGAAAAAGGAAACAACTATACCATCAACATGGCCAGGGTCTTCTGAACCTGTTCCTGATCCTCGCCATGCTCCTGCCATGTCTTATTGCCTTCAATCAACTCCTCCTGATCGGGCTTCCCCCTCATCGCGGTCGAGCACCCTTCTCCCATTCCGTAGCCCAGCTGCGGATATAACGGATCGTCGCCCTGAAGGATTAACGCCACCCGACTCATCATCTTGTTCACCATCTTTTCGCGCTCAATCATCGCCATCGCATGGACGGCCATGATCTGCAACTGTGGACTCTCAAACAGCTTCCTCAGCTGCGGCCGCTGCAAAATCTCGGTCGAACTCTCCAATGGGGACAGGATCTCGCTGATATTGATCCCCGCATAGGGATTCTCGTCGTCCGAAATCTCCTCTGTGACATCATCGCTTCCTGCAGCAACGACGGGGCGAATCTGGATGACTTCCCGCCTGCCGATCGAAGCCGCTGCTGTAGATACTGCTGCGACTGAGGATTTGGATCCAGGGGCTGCTGTGCCGGTGGTCGCAGCAAGGGACCGCCGAAAATTCGATCGAATCTCTTCTTCGTTGTCGTCGACTGTGGGGTTGTTGAATTCCGGGACGATAAGTCGTGTCCCGCCCGTGATGGGGTTCGCCCGATGTTTGAGTTTGTTCCCGCGATTATGGGGCACAAAGCCAATCTCTTCTTCGTCCGACAGCTCGTCCCTGACCTTGCGCGCCTCTGCGGTAAAGTTAATATTAAAAAAAAAAAAAAAAAAATTACAGGGGAAATGAGGGACGGATTAGGTGGTGAGGAGGTTTGAGCCGGTTGAACAAAGGAACGTTGCATTTGCAATGAGTTGATTGAAAAGGCTTTGCAATGACTAGAAGCGTACTTGGTGTAGGGGCAGACGCCAATGGTTCTGGCAAGGGAGCCAACCTATCAGGAACAGAGACAGGAGGCGAGGTTAGCCGCGCTGGACAAGGACGGGAGCTGTGTCCGATGCAGTTGGATGTGGATGGAGAGGTGAGCCAGAGTCGTGGGGAGGGGTGGAAGCAGAGGGTGGCTGAGGAGGAAGAGAGAGAGAGAGAGAGAGAGAGAGAGAGAGCGGGGTGGGACGCACCTTTTGCCATGCCTCAGGGCCATGAGGTGCTCTGCATCCAATGTGCTCGACTGGTCGAGCATCGAGGGCAAAGAAGGGGGGAGTGGGTGGTGGGGAAAGGCGAGGAGAGAGAGAGAAAAGAAAGAAAGTAGGAAGGGGAGAGAGGAAGATGCCGGTGGAAGAAGGGAAGAAAGGAGAATGGAGTGTGAGCGAAGGAGGGGATTCTTGCCGGTTGATGGAAGGAGGCGAAGGAAACAAAGTGATCCCCCAGAGGAAGGAGGGGCAGTCCCACGATGCTCTCCCATGTGGTTGCAATAAGAGAGGGCAGCACTCTCGCCCTGTGCACCCCGCTCACTCCACCCAGGGCAGATCCGATTAGGGAGGGCGAGTCGGTCCGCCAGTGAGAAAAAAAGAAAAGAAAAAAAGAAAAAAGAAACACAGTGTCTGTGTGCCTGGTCTTGGTCTGGCCTCTTGCTCCTCTTCTCCCTCTCCTCCCTCTTCTTCTTCTTCCTCCTCCTCCCCCTTCGTCTTTTTTCTTCCTTCGTCTTCATTCCCCTCCGCTCCTCCTCCACTGCTTGCCGCCCACTTGCCGTCGTCACCCTCGACACGTTTCTATTCCTCGCCAACCCTAATAGCACACCTCCCCCGCTGCACTGTAGCCACTCCCTCCCCCCTTCTCCTTCCTTCTTTTTTTTACCCTCTCAACAACCATGTCTGCAGGCGCACCCTCTACACCAGCGATCGTTCCTTGCAAATACAAGACCGGCCGGACACTTGGTCAGGGCACCTATGCTGTTGTCAAAGGTACTCACTTTCTAATTAATAATAATAATAAAAATATAAAAAAAATCACACGTTTTGCTCTTGCCGTTTCCTCGACCTAGCAGAGTTCTGACTTACCCATTCCTGTTCCTTTCTTATTTATGGTCGCGTCCATACAGAGGCGGTTCACGTAAGTACCCATGTGAATGTGGTGCCTTGGATAAGAAAATATCCTTCTCGACACAGAGAAGTTTCTTTTCTACAGCATCCATCCGAAGGAAGGAATGATATGTCCGTTTTCCCTCTCCACCCCACTCTCCCACCCTAAACCGTACTATGCGTGTGGATCACCAATGTAGATTGATACCGGAAAGAGATATGCCGTCAAGGTGATCAACAAGAAGCTGATGGAGGGCAAGGAACACATGATCCGCAATGAGATTGCTGTCCTCCGCCGAATCTCCATTGGCCATGCCAACATCCTCACCCTCGTCGACTACTTCGAGACCCTGAACAACCGTACGTGAGAGCCACACCCGCGCGCCAGCCCAGCCCAGTCCAGGCCTGCTCTGCCCTGAGCGAATGAATGCGCTTATCTTGTCCAAGACAAACCTTTCGAGTGGAGGCCAGACTAAAAATGAGTTTGTTCGTTTTTTATTTATATTTTTGCATAGTGTACCTGGTGACAGAGTTGGCTGAGGGTGGCGAGTTGTTCGACCGAATCTGCAGAAAGGGCAACTACTACGAACACGACGCGGCCCATCTCGTCCGCACCATCTGCAGTGCCGTTGCCTATCTGCATGAGCAGGGCATTGTTCACCGAGGTATGCATTGCATAATCCTGCAGGATCTTTTTCTTTTTTTCTTGCCCTCGTTCTCTCTCTCTCTCTCTCTCTCTCTCTCTCTCTTTTTTCTTTTTTTTTTTTCCTCCTCACCATGACCTTTTTGTGCGGAGTGAAATACACCGGCCGCGGCTTCTTTTTTCCTGAAGAAAAGAAAGCAGTGCTATGATGAGACATGATGAGAAAATAAGAAGAGAGCCTGGATACGTCGGATAAAGCCCAGGAGAATGAATGTGGTACGGGATGAAGAACACTCTACTGATAACCGTAATTCTGTTCGCATCTATCTTTTTCTTTTTCTTTTTTTGTCTCTCTCGCTGGATCGGGCTGTTTCTCCTTCATGACATCCATGGATGGTTTCTAGACTTGAAGGTATGTTGTTTATCCGGTAAAATGAAATCGAAAAACCTCCTCGGAGGACAATGGCGCAATTCGCTGGTCTTTTTGGGCTTTGCTGTTTTTTGCTCATTGCTTCCCGCTTTAGAATGCAATGGAGGTCCGATCGCTTTTCTAACTTGAAATATTCTGAACATCATTCCCATCCACTCTCTCTCGCTCTCCGCGCCTCATTATTTGCGCGTCTCCGTGTCCGCTTACGCCCTTCTAATGACGAAATCACCGCCCTTTCTCAATGCCACAGCCCGAGAACCTGTTGTTCAAGACCCCAGCCGAGGACAGCGAGTTGCTGATCGCCGACTTTGGTCTGTCGAGGATCATTGACCAAGAAAAGTTCCATTTGCTGACCACGACCTGCGGAACGCCAGGATACATGGTATGTCCAAACTTCCAATTGATGGGCCCTATCATATTGTCACTCGCGGTTGAAGCCTGTCTTGTTCCCGCTCCATGGCGTCGCTGAGAAACACGACGGATTGAAATCGACCAATTGATCGCTTAGTCAGCCTGTGTGTGGGGATGCCATACCCTCTTTCGCAACCGCACGAAAAACGGACGCTGTGGTCATCGATCTGATCAGTACTTGAGGTACTAACAATCTCGGGGAGGGGGGTTATTTTTTCTATTCTGTTTGGTTGGTAGGCTCCCGAGATCTTTCAAAAATCGGGACATGGCAAGCCTGTGGATATGTGGGCCTTGGGCGTAATCACCTATTTCCTGCTGTGCGGCTACACCCCATTTGATCGTCAGAACAGTATGGATGAGATGCATGCCATCTTGAACGCCGAGTATCAGTTTGCGCCTGTAGAGTACTGGCAGGGTGTTTCTGAGTCAGGTACGTTGATGCTTTTGCGTTTGCTTTGCTTTATTTTGTCAATGATCGTGTGATGAATGAAGAAAATGGCACTCTGTACTGATATTGACGCACTTTTTGCCTTGTTCATTGTGGCCCTCTGACGACTTTTTAGCAAAGTCATTTATTAACGGATTGCTGACGGTCGATCCTAGCCTCCGAATGACGGCTGCGGAGGCATTGGAGCACCCATGGCTGGCACAGTCTGTCCAGAGACAACAGGAGGCAGAGCAATTGCTGCAACAGCAACAGCAGCCCCAGGATCAGGGACCCCAGGATATGGAGGGAGTCGCGCCCCACGATCTGTTGCCTTCCATGATGTCGCGTATCAAGGCCCGTACAAAGTTCCGCAACGCTGTCGGAGCTGTTAAGGCGATTAACTCGATGCGAAAGCGACATGAGGAGTTGCGTGAGGTCCATCCCGAGGAGGTGTCGCATGTCTTGAAGCGTGAGGATGAAGATATGGTCTAAGGGACGTTATCGAGGGAGAGGGAGAGAGGGAGAGAGAAAAGAGAGAGGGAAAAGAGAGGGGAGAAAGAGAGAGGGAAAGACAATACGATATCTATTCTATTTTTTCGACCATCGTCGTTCAACGTTGGGTGTGAGAGAGCTTGATCAGCAAGGACGGAGGTAGAGAGGGAGATGGACGTGGGATCTTGGGATCTTGGGAAATGATTTACATACAGCCTTGGATTGAATAAAATGAAGTAAGAGACAAATATCTGTGGTTTTTGGCATCTAATGCTGCTGCTGATGATATCGTAGGCACAAACAGTATATATATTCAAATAATAAAGGTCTTTTTTTCGTTTTTCGTTTTTCGTTTTTTTTTTTTTTCTTTTTCATTTTTTTTTTTCTTTCATCTCTTTTTTACAATCCTGTTGCATGGAAGACTTGGTTGATATGCTCGACGGTATTGGGGGAAGTAATCTTGTCGCTATTTTAGAAATTACAAAAGGAAAAAAAAAGAAAGAAAAAGAGAAAGAAAGAAAAGTGAAAGAAAAAGAAAAATGAAAAAGATGCGGTTTTTGATATGTCCGGTCAGTTTTTTTTTTTTTTTTTTTTCTTTCGATCGAGGATGGCGCCATGGCAACCAGCCCAATTTGAACCAAATTCCCGGTGCGGACGAAAATATTTTCCGGGGCAAAAAGAAGAAAAGGAATGGAAAGGGGATATACACACGCAAATAATACGGGGGATGGAAAGAGATATACACATATTATACATATATACATATATATGAAAAAAAAAAAAAAAAAAAAAAAAAAGTCGAGTCGTCATGCTCGAACATTTTGCCGCACGGCTCCTTGATCGCGTTCCTTCAGTTCCATAATCGTCGTCAGAGAGAAACAGATAGCGGTATGGGGGCCCGGTGTTGTTCACAGCATGCCGGATTCGGTCAAAAGTCGAGCAATCTCTTCATCCCTGCGCTCACTGCAAGTTGTGGATAAACATCGAATCAGATCAGACTGTGGATCTCTCTCCGCGCAGAATTCTCAACCCGGGAGGGGGAGGAGAAATAGGCAAAAGTGGAAAGAATAAAAAAGAAAAAGAAAAGAAAAGAACTCGACCGATCGAGCGGAAAGATAGAAAAAACGGGGGAACAAAATGCGCCCTACCTCCCAAGAAGCTACACAATGGTTGTGAACGACATTAATAAAAAAAAAAAAATTCAAGCTTGGCCAAGCAAACTTACCGAGGCTCTAATGCCAAACTCATTTCATGCAAGTCCACGACTGATTTTGTGCCATCCAAACCTCTGCGGATAAATGCCTGGATCTCGGGCACGGCCGTCAGACAATACGGCACCGACTGGTACTGCTGAATCTCCCGGATCACCTCCGCCGTCTTTACGCGCTTGTAAAAATTGATGAGATGGCTTGACTTTTTCAAAAAGTCACCGTTACCGTCCTGGATCATCACTAGGTCCGTCAGGTACATGCCCACAAACGGTACACAGGGTGGGTTGACTGAGTGCAACTCTTCCCTGTACTCTGCCCAGTTCTTGGCAACGCCCATCAGCTGCTGGAGATCCATAAACGAGGTCATTGTTCGTGTCGGAACCTGCTCCCACGTCCTCTTGAGGCGATGGATAGGTGAGAGTGATAGTGCCGCCATGGTCGTCGACAGCATACTGAAGTTGTTCAACGCGCGCAGTTTCTACCAAGCGCAATTAAAGAAAAATAAAGATCGGGTCGTCAGCTTTTTGAATAGTCTCCACCACTTCCTCCTCATTTGGTCATAAACTCTTCTTTTACCTCTGCGATCAAGACAAGATGCCGGATGACGAGGACACGTTTCTTCAGTTCCTTCTCGCTCAAAATCAGCTCGCTGATCCAGTTCGCGTACAAGTTGCTGGTCTCGATCATCTTCTTGATGTTCACAGCCCTGGCTGCCACATCCTGATCATCACTCGTCCATGCCTTCGCCAAGCACTCAACCGGCCGGATCCTGTTGAACACCGTGGCCTCCATAATTGTCAACTGGCGAGCAAATTCCAAGGGATCCAGCTCCAGGAACTTGATCTTTTTGAGGTTACGCGGGACGATTGGCTGAGGCGCCTGCGTCGTCAGGTTGAGCACCATCTTCCGGAACGCTCCCTCGGATTGCTCACGCTTCTCCACCAGCTTGATCAGCTGGACGGCTGCAAAGCTCATCGTATCCTTCATAGCCGTCGAGCCCGAAAAGTCCTTGATCATCCCCAGTGCATCTCTGTCGTCTGACTCGTCCTCCAGATAATATGTCTCCAGCCAGGATTTGATGATGTTGAACACACGCAGTCGGATCGGCGTCAGTTTCTTCTCTGTCCAGATCTCCATTTCCTCAGTGTCCAGACCCATAGGTGGCTGAATAGTGAATCGGTGGAACAGGCTGTTGAACAGCTCCTTGGTCGTCGTAAATGAGCGGTAGGTGAGCAAAAACGTCGCAATGAAATTCGAATCCAGTCCATCGTGCAAAGTCAATCGCTCGATCAAAGCCGGCAGCGTGCCTCCCTTCACTTGTCCCTCTGGATTCAACACCAAGTCGCCTTGTTGGTAGTCATAGTTCAGGAACCAGTACATGGTCGAGGCACGACCGGGGGCCTCATCGCCCAGCAGCTTCTTCAGCTTCTCGCCACGGAGATCGTACCGTCCAGGGTTACTGCTGTTAGCCACGCCCGTGAAAGTTGACTCCGAGGGTGATGTCGGGAAGGGAAATCCGCCGCGTCCACCATATTCATTTCCAGGAGTATATGGACCAGAGTTGTTGGAATGGGCCGAAAAAACAGATGGCTGCGAGTCCGATCGACCGCGATACGGCTGAGGAAGCGTTGTGTTCTGGGAGCTGGCTGTTGATCGCGGCCCCATATCGGGTTCGATATCTGAATCATTATCGTGGTTATACATGATCTCCTCGGTCGTGCGCTCCATTCCAGGTGCAACTGAGGCCTTGCGTCCATGGGAGTCGTAAATTACCCTGCCGGCAGCAGAATTGGCATCTGCCATCTCCTTCTCCTGAATCAGAGTCCGGGCTGCGTGGACAAGGCTCTGGGCTGCCTTGTCTGTGGTCAGAGTGGTGTTGAGGGCCAGGTCCAAGGTATGACCGACGGCGAGCAGATCCGTCGCAGACTGAATGGCCATGACCAAGGATGCTGTGCTGCCATGAAGTGCCTGTTTCGCTGCTCTAACATCTGCAAAGTACCTTTCTGGGACATTGGACTGGTCCTGCTGAACGCTAGTATAAAAATCCGTGATGAGCGTCAACAGCGAGCCCAAGTGGGAGATGGTCTGTCGAGCCTGCGTAACCAACTGAGCCGACTGGGCAGAGTTCATCACGGGAGCCGAGGCAGCGATCCCGTTGTGGCCGCTGTTGCGGAGCGCCGGCGCAGGGTTATCGATCAACTTTTCAATCTGCATAGCCAGCACGTTGATGGCCTTGGAAGCGCTCTTGGAGTAATAGTCCAGCTGGCTGAGAATACTCTGAGGGCTCATCTGCGCTCCGAAGACCTTGCGATCAGCCGTAGGACCATTATCGCCCCTCAGCGATGTATTCGAAAGAGCCCTATCTAGAGACCGAGCAGCAGCTTTGGCGCGAAGTGGGCTCTTGACATCGGTCACAAGGCGTGCATCGACTTGGTGGACAGAAATATCCGTAGCCATGGCAGTCGCAACGTAGCTCTGCGCTGCCGTCTTGACCTCCCTGGCATCAGCCTGCAGCTTTGCGATAGCATCTACAGCTGGCCAAACACCCGAGGCCATCTTGGCAGAGAGCACAAGCTTTGAGAGAGCAGCCATGATCTGTCGATGCTGCATCTTGAGCCCGCGGTGCTGCCGCATGATGGCGGCATCCTTATCGACAGTGCCAGAGGCATAGAGCATGACGCGGATGGCCTCGACAACGATGGAAGACTGGATGAGATAGTAAGGCTTGTAGCCCTTCTCGGCAGAGGCGAGCAGGTTGTCGACTGCAGCGGCGGTGTGGTCAGCGAGCGACTGCCAAGTGGGTTCTGGATCAAAAGGATTGGGCAGCTGTGGCAGAGGCGGCAGACCCTCAATAGACTCCTGGGGCATACCGGGAGCCAGCCCGGAAGGTTTGCGTACGGTAGCCAATGTCTGGGCGGGGTCTGTGGAGGACCCGGTGGTACTGCCAGCGTCTCCGCCAGTGGCCTAGAATGATACGGAGAAAATGTAAACCGAATTAAGGTAAGTTGGCTGTGATTGGCCACGAGGAACTTGTCGAAGACAATATAAAGTTTAATGAACGCGATGCACTACCCCATGGCGAGAGAGCGCTTTTGCGGTGAATGCATGAGCTGATAGAAATAAACCCCCACCCTAGAGAGGCGGTCATCCCGATGGTTCCGGAGATCTCTATTACCTTATTATTGGTAGAGGAGCGTGTGCTGGACGTACGAGACAGTTGCGAATCGCCCTCGTGTGTGCGGCCATCATGGCTCTCGCCATCGTGTTCTTGATGTTGCTCCTGTTCCTGGTCCTGATCCTGATCCTCGTCCTCAGCCTCTGAATTATACCAGCCGTTGCCATTCGATGTCGATTGTCGCACCGACCACCCGGCTTGGCCTAGGTCAGAGTTGCAAAGATGCAAAAATGTGTAAGGAACCACATCATGGACACACAATTATTTGTATACATTCAGTCAAGAAATCGAACTCAGCACAAGATTGCGTCTGGGGGCATTTCTTTTGAACACAGATCCGATAGAACCCCTGTTATATCCGCCAAAGGCATGGAAAATAAAAGGGCCTTACCTGCGACATCCTGACTGGCGGTATCGGTGGTTCCCATGCTTACGATGCTGGCCCGGTCCTCTGGCTCGGGTATGGTCCAACTGGACTCTTGTGTACGTTGGTTGTAGTAAAAGACCTGGCCATCGGGCGTTGTCTGTGGAAGCCAGAGATCATCTGCACTCTGTAAGAGAGTTCATTTTAAGGCGTCGCCATTAGTTAAATGAATAGAAAAATAAGTATCAGTTTGCCAATAACCTGATTTTGCTCCTCGAGATGCACTCTCGAGAAAACTAGACTAGCCACATAGGGTCGATTGTCCGCTGTTTGTTTGTTTGCCGGTCAAGGTGGCTCACCAGGAGCAACCATGACTCCGCTTTGCTGCACATGTTTGTGTCCAGGATGGGTGTTCCTTGCGTTTAATATAAGGCCTTGTTGCTGATGCAAAACACGAATAGGGATTCTCGTTCCTCCATTGTGCTCAATCTCTCTTTCCAGCCCAACAAATAATGCTCACAACCACAGGCAAGCAGAGATATAAAACGCGCGCATTGAACGTACGTACTCCGCTGAGCAGCATCACCGGAGCAACTCCCCCTTCCTCTCCCACTTTCTCGCACGAGAGTACATAGATGATTGAAATCGAGGTCTCGCCCCCCCCCCCCGTACCAGTATTCACTATAGACCATGCCTGTCTGATGGAGAATCACTAGTCTACTCTCGATGGCTGATATTGGTGATACGACAAAGAAAATAATGCATAGACGACAGGAAGAAGGACGCACTGCGTTTTCCCTCGTACTTCGGCGGTGTCACCAATAAATACAATAAAGTATAGTTTTCAGAAAAGATGGAAGAGAGTGAAAGGGATGAGGTGTGAGCGGAGGAGTTGTCTTACTTACATCAAGATCTTCTCTTTCTTGGTCTAAATCCTCGTCCTGGCTGTCAAGGTCGTCTTCGCCGAGGACCTGGACGTAGTTGGATGGGAACCAGCCCTGACGACCCTGGCAATGGCCCGCCCACCAGCCCGACTCGAGCTGGGCCAGAACCTGGATCACATCGTCCTTTTTGAAGCTCAGGTTGGTGGCATCCTCCGACTCATAGTCGTACATGGCCCTCACCAGGACCTGAATATCAATGGTCTCAGAGACCATCCTGAATTAGTGTTGGCTGCTGTCCTGCTGTAGAGCGCTCTTTCAGGTACGAGGAGTGGGTGAGGAAAGAAAGAGTCGTCAGAGAGCAGTAGAGTCTGGTGGAGAATCAGAACTGTGGAGGGGCAGGGTAGCGGCTCAGTTGCAGTGCGGAGGGAAGGGCGTAGGAGAAAGCACTGTGTTGGATAAAGAGGGAGTGTAAAAGGAATGGAGACGAATGAGTGGTAGGTGAGATGATGGCGGATGGAGAAGGGATTGACCCTGTTCACTGCAGGAGGATAAGCACACGCAGGTAAACAAACAAAAAAAGAAAAAAAAAAAGGTATGTGTGAGACAGAGCGCGAGGGTGGGATAAACAATACAAATAGCAACCAAAAATAAAAACAGCGGGGAGGAGGAGAGGAGGGGGGAGGAGGAGGGCGGAGGAGGGATGACGAGGAGGAGCTGATGGGCGGAGGAGGGATGATGGTGAAGAATGACAAGGGGAGACTAGCACACTCTATCCATATATTTATTTATCGCCTTCTCGAGATAGGGTTCAATTGAACGCCTAGAAAGTGAGGAGTGTGCACTGAGTGGTTGAAGCGGACGCAGATCCCCACTCCTCTCGGCTGGGTCGGAGTGTTGTCGTTTAAGGGAAGTTCCCCTTAACGGGTCCAATGGGTTGGGTCGTCAGCGGACCCTGGAGGCACCAGATCGGGACGAGAAACAGGGTGAGCGGAAGAATCCACAAAGCTAACTATGCAATTCACCACGTCTCTCTCATCTTATGCACCACTAATGAACATTCCTTCCTGAATCATATTGCCCAAAGCACTTAAAATGTCACTTGAACAGCTGCAGTCCACGACCTGGGGAAAGATGGGTTGACCCATTCAGCCACCAGCCGTTGTGGAAGTACTCGCCTGCATGCTCGTCAATTCTTCTGCAACCTCCATGAGGACTGTTTGCTGGCTAAAGAGTTGCGTTTTGCTGAATAAATGAGGACCATCTTCTATTGCGTGGGTAAATGGTAGCTTATGAAATAGTATACTGAGAGATGGTCAGGCAAGAGCCCAGCGTGCGAGCTCCACAAGTGGATATGGCAGGCCATCACTCTTGTCCCGACCTTGGATCGAGTAAAGTACAATATCCCAGGACTCATTGACACCTGGGGTATCAGCTTGTGACATTGGTATGCACTCTTGAACCATCCCTGTCGCCCGATCTGTCCACTCTACACGTTGATCCATCTCTTTGGCTGTGATCCTTTTCCGCTGGGTCTCCTGCTCGTCCCAGTAGCACAATGAGAGATGGTTGATCTTCTTAAGCCGCAGTTCGAGTTCTGGGAAGGCGTCTTTCCATGCCTGCATCATGTCCAGGAGTTCTGTGGGAGGCTCGATCGCGATGAGGAGGAGGTCTGGACGGGGGCGGAGCAATCCCCGTAGCTTTACGCGACTCGATGGTGCACTGGCGAGGCTGATCTGGTGGATATGCTGACCCAGATACTCGATTAGTCGGTCCTTTGTCGTGGTCGTGGTAGTGGTAGGACTGGGGTCGTCAAAGAATCTGACCATGGTGACATGCGCTGGGTACCGTGCGGCCTCGTTTTCGGACCAGGGCTGAGACTGACTGGCCAGGAAGAACGACTGCAGCTGTGTCCATAGGGTCGAGAAGCGCGCGGGCTCGAGGTATAGGATGAGCTCGGAGGTCATTGCAGAGGACGGAGGTGGGGCGGAATGAGCAAAGTGCAGGATGAGCTGGATCAGAGTGTTCAGATCACCAGCCAGTGGGGTGCGAGAAAGGGGTTCAGGCACAGCCTCCAGCGACTGCTCGCGTGGCTGGTAAGGTACATGTACAAGGTATTTGAGCGTAAAGCATGGGCAACTGGGTCTGAACAAGCAGACCGGGAACGGCATGCACATAGCCGATGACTCTTGCTGGTACCGAATGGCGGCCAGGACTACAGGGAGGAGTGTGTTCGTGAGCTAATCATTGTCCAGGAACTGGTGCCTGAAAAAAAGAGCCTGTCTGGCGTCGAGCCCCCTTCCCCCCTCTCTCCCGATACAGGAAAGGAGTTGATTGGTGGAAA